GTGGGAAGCTCTCAGCAACACGTCGGTGAACCAGAACAGCACAGTGATGGATGTTTTGATCGAGTCTGTCGGTTCTGCTACAAAAAGACAGCTGGAAATCGGAGCCGTTTGATTGGTGTGTTTTCAGCGCTGAAGCATCCTGTTGAATTTCAGGGACCCTGCAGTTCTCCCAAAGGCTTGAACATCCCAGAAGTGCCCACCTGAGCAGGAAAGTGAATCGTGATGACGTGAAGCGAAACCTTTGACACTGAGAGACATTTACCGCTTTCATGTGTAATTCGAAATTCATCTACCATCATGATGCAGCTCAACTGCAGGGTTTCTGTCTGAAGAGAAGATGAAGTGTCGTGAATGAAACAAAAAACATAGACAGTGTGCGAGTTAAAGCTCCACTAAGGAGTTTTTACATTAAACACCCTTTTGTTTTTGCAGGAAGTGTGGGTGTGTTGTGTTTATGCACTGTCGTCTACATCCCTGATTGTGACTTAAAGACGATAAAAAAGTCTAATGTGAACAGAATGCGTCCGTGAAGTGACCCGCATGCGCACAAAGCAGAAATGGCTTTCCACGGCTGTTTGTGTTGTCGAACAATGGTGACGTTTGTCGCATATTGATGACGTCAAGGTCGGATGAACGCGACCTGAGAGCTGTTCACATGAAAAAATCTGATATGAGTCACATATGGTTAAAAAATCGGAATTGACCTGCAGTGTGAACGTACCCTTATGTTAATTTCCATAACGAAGACGCGACGATGTCTAGCTAACATAGGGTGACCATATCCTGAATCCCTAAAGAGGACACGACTATGAGTTGTGTGTAGTTAATTTTGAGAGCTTTTCAGGTCGCATCGAGTGTTTTTTACCTGCTTCTAACTCAGTAGATCCACGCGACACAAACTCGAAACCTCAACATTTGAAGGATTTTATAAACATCCCCGGACAGACAGCTGCCAAAAAAGAGGACATGTCCGAGTAAAAGAGGACGTATGGTTACCCTAAGCTAACAAGAAGATAGATAGATAGAAGTTAGTTGAAAAATGGTGCTACAAGCTAAATCTAAGAAACCAAGAATCCCAGAATGCTTTGCCCAGCAAGGCAGCTAATGTCCGTTGCCAGAGAATTGCACCAACTTTAAGTCAAATGGTCCAGTTTTCTATATTAGAATTGCACCAACTTTAAGACTCTGTTTCCATAACGAAGACGAGACGATGTCTAGCTAACGAGTAGGTGAGTTGGTGAGGAATAGGTGAAAAAATCAGGCTGTTTGCGTTCACACATGCAGAATTGTGAGGAATTTTTGTGAGTTTTGAGCACGTGTGAACACGGCTCTGTCCGGCGCCATATTCTGCAATCATTCTGTGCGTCCTCACTTTAAGACGTTCTCTCTCAGGCCTTTTATTTTGTCATCTGCTGCCACATCTCTTAACTTCTCCTGACACTCAAAGTCTCCCGTTTGCATCTCTTCTTCATGTGCAGCAGCAGCAGCAGCGCCTCAGAAATCCCCTCATGAAACAAGAGAGCATGATATTGTTGAAACGGCAAACAAATGATAGCATTATGCACAAGCTCTGTGGTGCGGCGGCTCCTGCCAAATGTTGATGGAATCGTTGGCCGCCGACCATCAAGACATTTGCATCGAGTTGTTTACCGGCCAAAAGAATCGCTGTGAGGACGCGCTGTGGGAAAAGAAACCATTCACGTCTTACTCTTGATCCTATTAGTCCAAACAATGGGAATTTTCTGAGACAATGAAGACACGAAACAGCTGGTAGAATCAGCTGTGCATCAGGGGTTTAAAGGACACGTCAGCGGTGAAGGCGTCTCTTCAGTTTTATCATAATCGACTCAATCTAAGATGTTAAATGAGACACATTCAGCTTCACTGACAGGAGGAAGCGAGGAGACTTTCTTGGCTCGGCGGTGACATCAGCCGAGAGCGTCATAGCCATGTTGTCATCTATACGAAGACCCGGGGAGGTCATCCGGGGTGACAAACACAAACAGCCTCTCACGCTCGCAGAAAAGCCAATTAGTGGCGCACAAACTGAGACGGAGTCAAGTGGTCTTTTTATATCTCGAGGTTCCGTCATCCCTGCCGAGTTTGAGAGAGAGAAACAAAAAGAATCGAGAAAGTTCCCATCATGCAAATAATCGTAGTCCCTGTTAAACTTTTGCTAAAACTGAGGAGGAGTTTTGGTGCACGACTTTATTTTCAATCAAAGAAGTGGAGTTTGTCAAACATGTGCAAACGAGCAAGTTAGGAATCAAACACTCTCTGTTTACGTCAAGAATCATCCTCATAATCAGAGCTATCACACTGATTCTGAAGCTGCAAAACCCCGCAGAGCCGTTTCTCTGAAATAAAGTAAATCTTCCCTATTTTTCACTCCCTGCACATGTGATGGAGCCGTGAAAGGCCATCTTTCTCCGTCTCTGCAGCAGCAGCAGATAGATATTCAGCGGCCTCTCTCTGGGTGGGCGTCTTGGTCTAGATCAACATTCCTGCTGGGGTTCAAGGATATCTCCCGTGTTTGTGTCCCACAGCTCTGCTGCATGGCCGCTATTGTTTCCCCTGAGCTAGGCCTCGACCTTCCAGCTGCAGGAACAAATCCAAGAGTCTTCTGGACACGAGGGCACAAGCAGTGTGGTGAGCCCACTCTCTGAATTCCAGTGTCCTACCTCTGTTGGGCCCGTGGGTGCTGCGCCGAGCCTCGGCCCTGAGGGGTAAACAGACACAGCTCTGTGCACAAGGCGAAGTGGACAAACATGTCTCCCTCTGGGTTTATTCCCATTTTTATGTGTTTATACAGGAAGCTGAGCCGCCATGTTGGCTCTGTAGACCTCAACGGTGTGGAGGCGAGTTCAAATAAAGTTTCTACGTTTTTACGAGGACCCTCTGTTCATCTGTGAGGCTAAAACTAAAGTACTGATGATAATAATGGGTGTGGTAGTGTGTCTGACAGGGTGCAAACATTAGCATCAGAGGTGGAGGAAAGAGAAATACGATAAGACTCGACAATCTCCGTCCTGTAATGAAGCTCTGTAATCCCACAGCATGACAGAAGGGGATCTCAGAAGGGAACACGCTCGTTTGGCACACACTGTACCTCTGTCACTGTCCATAAATGGAAAACAGGTTCATTATTATTCACTACATGTCTCAGATCATGCGTCTGTATCCATGTTGAGTCTAAAGCCCCGTGCATCTATTTCCTTCTCATCATAAATCATAAAACTGTTTTTTCACGTGTTTCCATTTCATCTACCTGAATACAGATTCAGCTTTTTGCCCACATCTACCGGTCGGACCAGAAATACTTCGTCTTATCTCTGAAAGTAAAACAAAAAACATCTGTGCTGAAATATTAATATTCTGCTGCTGCAGGGGCGTTTTCTGTCACAACTTTCCCCAAAACAGATCCGGCTTTGTTCTCCGACTGCTGCAGACTCTGTCAGGACTCGTCTTGGTGTTGTGAATATAATCAGGCAAAGACATCAAATCATGTAACCGAGTGTTCGTACTGTTGCAGGTTTTCATTAACACTCAAGGTCTAGACTTTCAGTGAAGTTTTCTCCACTTTGGAGACACTTTGAAGGGCCTTTATAGAGGGGGTACAATGTCATAATCCCTCCCTAAAAGACCAACTTAAAGAGCACCTTATTTCCTTTTTTCCCCGCTTGAAGGTTTGCTCATCTCTCATCAAGTTTTTTCACCTTAAAGGGTTTAACTCTTTGTTTTCCATCTTGTGTTTTCTCCACTTAGTGAGCATCCTTGAGGGTCCCTTCTCTCATTTTCTCCACTTCTACAGAAACCCACATTACAAAGATTTCCCACCTTAAAAAGGACACTTTGTTAAGTACAGTTGTCTCCAATAAGAGTTGCTCCCTGATGGCGTCCTGCACTGTTTTCTCCACTCAGTGAACATCCTTGAGGGTCCCTTCTCTCATTTTCTTAACTTCTACAGAATACTGTATTACAAAGATTTCCCACCATAAAGCGGACACTTCATTAGGTACAGTTTTCTCCACCCATCTGATTCTGTTTTCTCCAGTATAAGTTGGCATGCTGCTCTGTTTTCTCTGCTAGAATTGCACCATCTTTAAGGCAAATGGTCCAGTTTTCTCTACTAGAATTGTGCTAACTTAAATGCAAATGGTCCAGTTTTCTCTAAGAGAATTGCACCAACTTTCAAGCACATGGTCCAGTTTTTCTACTAGAATTGCCCTAAGATTAAGGATCACAGTCCAGTTTTCTCTACTCCAATTGCACCCACTTAAAGGCAAACAGTCCAGTTTTCTCTAGAATTGCACCCACGTTAAGGCGCACGGTCCAGTTTTCTCTACTAGAATTGCACCAACTTTAAGGCACAAGTTGCAGTTTTTTCTCCTAGAACTTAACCTGCTGTGGAATTTGTCTCACGCTAAAACTTAAAGCTGCACAGTCACTCTGAGCCGATCTCGTTTCATGTAGATGCAGATAAAGCTCGGGCTCGCTCTTTCTTCTTGGCGCCTCCATATGTTAATTTGGGATGACTGTACTTCAAATTTAAACCCGATCCATTAAGAAAATATACGAGGCGGATTCAACAAAGGCCTCACAGTGCAGCGGGCCGCTTTGCATCAGGGTGTGAGTGCAGACTCAGAGATAACCCTTGTTGTCCCTGCAGCCGGGGTGAAGCAGATGGGTAGAGGAACAATGGGCCGGCCCATGCGGAGGGCGGCAGTGACTGACACAGCCACTGAAGATTGAAAGAATGCCTGGACCCGAGCCAGAGCCATGGACCGGTCTGCCCCCCTCCTCACCGCCCTGACCATCCTCATGTCCCATGGTGCCCTGGGACCGAGGGGGCATCACCTTCAAAGACGGCCCCTGTGCGTCAGAAGAGCCTGAAGGAGCAGCAGAGTCGGGTATAGGCACTGCGGACCGGGACTGACTCGGAGGAGGACTATAGAGTAGATCGAAAAGGTCAACCCCACCCAACTTCGCCAACGACTAGCATGGCTACAGCAGGCACCTCAGGGCAGAGCACCTTCGGGCTCGGGAGGAAAAAGAAGGCACCTGGTCTCATGGATCAGATTAGCAAGTTCTTCGGAGGAGACAAAAAGAAAAGGAGCAAGGTGAGCGAAAAACCTTCAGATTAGATTAGAGATTAAGTGATGTAACTTTGAGCTTCTTTTGGTGGTTTTCTTGGAGTGAAAGGGCAGAAAAACACAACTTCTAAATTTAAGATCTTCTATCGTTTCATTTACACACGAGCAGGATTGTTTCCAAATAACTGGAAGCCGTTTTGCAGCTTTGGTTGAGCATATTTTAGGATCTTGCATGCATTTTATTCTTACAGTTTACACAAAAATGTGAATTGAGGAAAACAGTGCATCTTCAAACTCGTCTCCATAACTTTTGAAAAACTTTCGTTGCCCTCTAATGCCTGAAACCACGAATTATGGCCAGAAAATTCTAATTCTTTTGGAGCTGAAATGTTTATTTTACTTACTACTGAAAACCAAAAAAATCAAAATGTCTTTAAGATTTAATAAATATATTTATTTATCTCGTTTGATACATGAGATATTTTGGAAACTGATAAACTACAAGAGGATATTTTCATCATTTATCGGACTGTATTCAGGTGTTTTTTTAGTAATTTGTTGATCGTACAGATTTGATAGAAGTATATAAAAGTATATATCAAATGTGATACAAAAGACATTAAAGGGTTAAACAAAATCAAGTATCTATATTGTTTAAGAATTCATTAAAAAGTTTTAAAAACACACTTATTCATACAAAAAAAAATTTTTGTTTCATCAAATTTACTCTGAATTAAGATGTGACTGATGAGCCGTTTCTGCTGAAATACTGATTTGTTTATGTTGTCATTTAGTGATATGAGTTTTTGCTGTAACATCTCAGCTTAATATGATTTACTGATATTGTAAAATCCATGTAAAATGGTAAAATGATTATTTTAGTATTTACTGGGATATTTTTCTCAAAGCCTAAATCTAACTCTTTGACGTTTGCGAGCAACAACCGAGAAAGGACGAACCCAGATTTACGTTTTCTGTTCGACCTCTTCGGTTTGTGAGAGCGGTCTGACTCAGAGCTGCAGAGAGAAAAACCTCAAACAAAAACTCTCTCTGTGTGTGAGGGGAGGGGCCCTCAGGAGTCCGAGCCGCTTTCGTACAAACAGACCTCCTCCTTTCATCTGACCACGTCTGATCTCCGTCAGTTTTTGTGTTCTTGCTCTGAGTTTGAAGAAAAGTTTACTCTGAATCAGACTGAGCAGACAGACAGACAGCAGACTGTGTCCATGTCTCCATTTCTGCAGGATGAATCATCATCACAATGTGCCGGCCTGATGTTACACCTGATGATGACACTAAAATGATGTTTCCTCATGTCTCTTTTTCTCATATATATATTCGACACATTTGCAGATTCTTGTGATGAGACCTGGTTCTTCTGGACCTTTCTCATTATGATTCATATTAGAGGGACTATTTTAAGAGCTGCTATGGTGTAAGGATACTGTTTTATGACGTTAATGAAACACTTAGAGTCATTTGTTTATCTCCATCCTCGCAGGGGTCTTTCCGGGGTCACCTTGCCGCCTCACCTCAGCAATCCTCCTCTCGCCGCCGGACCAATGAAAACGCAGTGGTGCATTTCTTCAGGAGCATTGTAAGCTGGATTAAACCGTCTTATTGTTTACACACATCATATCATAAATCATACACATCTCATACTAACATCTTCAGTTTCATTCAGATTTATTCAGACTCCACAGATGTAATTTTCCTCCAATTTGCACTGATCTAACTTTTGGCGTCAGCGGTGCGGCGGCTCTCAAACGCAGCACGCTCAGCCTCCGCTCTGATTACAGATCTGTGTGACTCTCTCGTTTTCACGCCAATAAAAAAACAAAACTACAGGAAGTTTCAATCAGCTGCTCACAGAGTTTGTTCTTCTGCTTTTCTGCCTCACACAATCAAATGTTTTCATCCTTGTTTGTCACTTGGTGTCCCTCAGGTTTCCTCTCCTCGTCCTAAATCCAGGGTGAGTGTCTTTTTTTCGTCATACCTGTTTTGCTGACTGTTGCAGGACTACACACACACACACACACACACACACACACACACACACGACATGATTTCCTGATTTATACGGATGTTTTCAATCATATATCACAGAGACAGAGTTTTTCTGACACAGCAACAGCAACTGAGACGTGGAGTTGAAGAAAACCGCTTTATCGTCCATAACTCATCTCCTTTAAATGGATTCATATTGTTTAAAATACAGAAAGTAACTTTAAGAAGTGTAAAACGTGTTTATTTCTGCTGAAATTATAACATGGGTGTCAATGGAGTCTCCTTGACTTTCAGACAGAGCCCCAAGTGGTCGCTTTAGGAACTGCAGTTTTTTTGTACTTGTATATTTGCTGCCCGGTAACCTAATCAAACACTTTTAAAGTAAACAGTCAAGACTTCACTCATTATTATTTACTAGTTCTCTGTTCTGTGACCATAGACTGTATATACTACTGCTGTGTTCGAGTTATCTCAGAAGTCAGATGTTGGAGATGATGTCACATCTGAGTTTCAAGCGTTTCGGTTACCAAGTCGGAAAAAAGCAAAATCGGAGGCGCAAACAAGATGGCTACATCTACAAGTTATTTTAGCACTTGCCTTGTCCGACTAAAATCACTTTTTTAGATGTAGCCGTCTTGTTTCTGGCCTCTGATTTTACTTCTTTTACGACTTGGTAACTGAAATGCTGGTAACTCGGATGTGACGTCATTTTCAGCTCCGACTTCTGACTTCCGAGGTAACTCGAACACAGCGTAAAGACAACTTGGCTCTTCCTCCCGTCATTGTACGAATTTGAAGCCGAATTGCTCTCGGTATTCCCGGGATTTCCTCCTCTTCCTGGAACCACCACTTGTGCAGGAGAGTCGCTGTGATGACAATCGGCTCAAACAGCGACTCGACCCAATCTTCGTACGCCCACAGTCTGTATCAAGTGTCAATCATGGAAAACATGAACCCTTTAATAACTTTTAAAAATGGAGCTGTACAGAAAAAAAAGGACTTGAGCACAAACCAGTCTGACAGTAACTACATGTCAAGTTTGTCCACAGCTCCATAGGGATTGCTGGAGGAGGCGGGATTTATGACCTATACTGCAGCCCGTCACCAGAGGGTGCTGTTCTCCCAGCGAGGAGGCCGATGGCGTCCGTTCTATATACAGTCTATGGTCGTGACCCTGAGATTAAAAGTCGCCCAGTAATCCAGTTGTTCGGATGCTAAATTTCAAATGAAAGGAAAAACTTGATTTGCAGTATTTCACCGTTTTTCTGTATTTGAGGAGAGAAGCAGAAAGATTCACCACCTTTACTCGAGTGTCCTTCATCGTGTCTGTCGTCGATGAGGTATTTCTGATGCCTCTCTCTCTCTCATCTCACCACTCTCTGTTTCTTTTCCATGTCCAGTGGAGAGACGTCTTGGGTTTGGTACGTCACACTCCCTCACCTCCTCCTATCAAACAAAAGCTCTTCTGCTGATTGCACGGCCTCCCTCTGTGTGTGTTTGTGATCCCGTTTCTGCCTGCAGCAGCAGCAGCAGCGTCTTTTTATCTGCAGCCGCACACCTGTTCCCTAACCTTCACGCCGGCTCTCTCCTTTCTCGCTGCGTGTTTCGCTGCTTTTCTACTTGGAGAGGAACATCTTTTATGTGATGTGGAGATCTATTCATAGGAGAGCAGATTCACCTGCTTGAATAGGAGGCTTAGAAAGGGACCCTCCTTTTATTCAAATACATATTCATCATCGTGGTCATCATCGGTTTCATTCACACCCTTCTTTGCTTCAATCCAGAGCGACTCGCTGCTTCTGGATGACTTTGAAACAGCTCGACTGTTTATGAGCCACAACCGGTAAAGATTTTCTCTTAGGACCTCCTGGCCTACACCTCTTCCACCACCTCCTCCTCCTCCTCCTCCTCTTTCACATCTCTGTTTCTTTATAACACCTCCACCCCCCTTTGTGCCAGAGATGACTCATCAATCCATCTGTTTTTGGCTTTCCACCTCCTTTGTGTCCTCTTGTCTCTTTCTGGTGATTGCAGACGGCGCTCTGTGTCTCATTCGGTGGTGAAAATATCCACTTGTGTCCGCTGTCTTTGTCCTCGTCGTCTCACTCTGCTTCATGTCTCAGCCTCTCTTACAATAAGACAAACACGGGAAACATAGATCTGCAGGTTTCAGGATTTCTCCTCAGCTCTCTTGCAAGTCTGAGCACAGGTAGACTTTTCTAATGAAACGCATTAATCACCGTGTTTCCTCCTAAACTTGTTTTTAACACATAAAGGTTATCGCATTACAAAAAACCTGACATCAGACCACTTTTTATCGATCCCACGAGAAATTCAGTGTTTTAAAACTTAATGAGGACATAGATCTGAGCTCCTAGAAGGTCGATCCTAATGCAATTAAACCAGGATGGATTACAAACAAAGAGGTTCGGTTTGCAGTGAAAAGGTTTGGGTAGTTTTTTTAATTTGGAGGATTTGTTTTGTGTAGAAATGTGATTTTTGTCCAACATTAGTGATCAGGCACGTCTATTTAAAGGTTATTCAGTGACTAAACACCAGCCGACCCTCAGGCCTTGTTTCCAGGTTTCCATGTGAGCTCTAAAACATCTTTTTCTAGGCCTCATCACCACGGGCCGAAAGCGCAAAGTCGCCGGTCAGACGACGCAGAGACCAAAGCACACTGTCCAGACTCTTCAACCTGGTGAGCTTCACACGTGTTCGTGTTTCTGTCTTTAACTCCATGTTTCTCTACTTGTTCAACTGTAGGCCTCATAAACACTGTTTCCTGTCTGTTTGCCCAAATACAACAGTGATGCTCTCCTCAGAGACCAGTGAGTAGAAACATATACCAAGTATAACAATCCATCAAATGAACTGGAGTATCTTCATCTTTATTTTCTTCATCTACATCCTGATTACAACAACAGTCATGGTCACCGTTAACTAACCAGCGGGAAGTTCCCATGAAACAGTAAATTCTGCACATTTACATGTCGACGAACTTTCGGAAAATAACGAACTTTTATTCAGGCTTTTTACACAGCAGCCAGCTGTTTTAAAATATGATTTAAAAAAAAACGTAAAAACCAGTCAGCAGAGGGAGCTCCAACTGTCTCCACACACTAAGTGCAAGTAAAGTCATTACATGTTTAGTCAATAGACGCCCGTACTACTCTGGTGGCGCAAATGGGCAAATTGGGCAGAAGCTGAAAAATGACGAACTTTTATTGAGGCTTTTTACAGCCAGTTGTTTAAAAATATGATAAAAATGCAAAAAACGTGTCGGCAGGGGGAGCTCTAACCGTCTCCACACACTAAGCGCGAGTAAAATCATTCGCGCGAATGAATTACATGTTAAGTCAATGCAAAGACGTAATTAGATGCTCAAACTACTCTGGCGTTGAGAATGACGCAAATTGGGCAGGATTTGAAAATCGCTGCGTTTACATGGGCACAAATAATCGGAATAAATGCCAAATCGGAATAAAGATATGTAAACATATCGATTGTAAGATTCTGATCCAATTCAGCTCGGAGAAAGAAATTGTATTCCGATTGAGAGGGGTGGTTTATGCCGATCATGATTCCGAAACACGTCCATGTAAACATTAATTCCGATCTTGACTCTCTAACCTGACTTGATCTTCACTCTTTAGCCTTTAGCGTATTTATTGAGGTTTCATTAGTAACACAACCGCAGGTGTCGTGTCTGCTCCTCCGATAACGTAACAAGGCGTACATACAGTGTAATGATTTCACATCTGCATGCACATGTAACCTTTGACAGAACAGTAAAATAAGTACGCAAGGGCGCCATCTAGTGACAACATTTAACAGGGGGAAAATCCCAAATCAGATGGAATGAGCCACTACCGCGTTTGTTGGTTTGTTGACAGTGCAGGCGTCAATACAACTCTTCTTCTTCTACTGTTGATTTAGCGAAATCAGACAGCTCTGCGCATGTCCAAATGCTTCCAATCTTAATAAAACTCAGTGCATGTTTACGTATTATACGGATTATTTGATTTTGCACCCATATAAACAGTGGATTCAGATTATCGGATCCCTCAAATTTTTAATCGGATCATGAAATTTTGCACATGTAAACATGGCCAGTGTCTCAACTTGAGCAGATATTCGCGTCATGATAACCAATAGGCACAAAAGTTGTTGGGTGACGTATGAAAAAGGACGGTTGTTCACTGGTAGCTAAAATGAAGGACAAACTGATTGTGTCGGTGTGTGGGCGCCCCGAATTATATGATACCTTTTCTTTCAATTATTAAAACCGGAATAAAAAGGAGCTCGCCCAGAAGAAAGAGAGAGAGGAGGTCGGATTACCTGGTAAGTTGTAAAAAACTTTGTCTATCACTTGATCCCACCGGTTGAATTAGCAAAGATTACAGTAGAAATTAGCATAAACGGCTATCCACATATTTTATTTAGATTTGACACACAAATGAATCAAGTAAATACTTTTGATTCACGCGTCTAGATTCACGCGAATTAAGCGAGTAAATGATTTTACTAGCACTTGGTGTGAGTGCCCCATAACAGTTTTGGCTTCACTTTAGAGTAGGGGGAGCTGTTGAACCGTCCATCTTTTATATGATTAGTGACAAAAGTTGAAAAGAAAACACTTCAGCTGTGTTTTAAGTTCATGGGAGCTTCAAAAGAGTCATTTTCATCATCACAGTAACTGAACATGTTCATTCAAACTCACTGACTGATCTTTATTTCACTCTCCTGAGGTTTTCTTCCCGGTGGGGCCGATCTCGTTAAAATCCCAGTAAATGTGAAGTAGCAGACAATCACCCCTGAAAAAAACCACACCACTCCAGACCGGCTGTTTGACCCCCATCTCTGGATCTGAACATTTTTTTTAACCAATCATCCTCTTTTTTTCCCCTTCAGGGAGACCCTAAGTCCCGCCCACCCACTAAACGCTGGAGCACCATCTTCTGAGCTCTCCGCCGAGGACCAAACCACAGATTCAACAACGCCAATGGAACGAGACCAAGAAGGAGGAGGAGTAGGAGGAGGAGCAGATCTGCAACCGGCGGACTCACAACCTCAAGAAACATTAACAAACTAACAAACGACACCCTTAAGTTTAGGCGATAACAGCACATAAAGCAGTGTAAAGGTGCAGGTGGTCCTTTTAATCTTGTCTCAATTTGGTCTTTTTGTGAAACTCTTCATGGGTGTCTCGGTCTGATGGTGCTAGTGTCTGCTGTCTGAGTTTCGTCCATGGCAGATGTTTGTTTTTCTATTTCGTCTTTCGTCATCTGTATTTTGTACACGAGTAACCCTTCATATATCAGATTATTACACTTGAGCGGTCCTGTTTGTTGTCACTCTGCTTTTGTCGCAAAAAAAACGCACCTGGAAATCGAGGGTATACGAGCAATAATGACTCTAATGTGCTAATGTGAGGGTTTTGTTTCATTATGCCGCAGTGTGATTAATACAAATGTACAGTTTAATGTCCTTTCAGAATAAAAGCGCCCTTTTCAAATGCACTGTTAAGTAGAGAATCACTAAAACTCCCTAAAAACCACAGATCTGCTCTCCTCTCTGTAAAGCCGCTTTCACACCTGTCTCATTTAATGTAAATTATTTGTTTTCAGCTAAAACAGAGTTTGAGATCTTTGTGCTTTATTTAAAAAAAAAGACAGAAAAATGTTTGTTTATGTGATGGTCAGAAAGTAAGTGGTTCAAAGGCTCACGGCTGAAGCTCAAAGAGGGTTCGAGGAGTCAGGGACTGAAGGACAGCAGGTTGATTTGAAAATGTTCTGACTCATAATTCAGCGGCTGTATGTTGTTTATGAAAAATGACACTGCCTTTCTTTCTTTTTCCTTTTTTTGTACATACTGTTTGTGGTTAATCTAAAAAAAAAAAACTGTCACACTCGGTCTGAAGTTGCTGACATTTGGTGGTGCTACATAAAAAAGGACCCATGCTTAGAAACCTGGAGGTTATGTTTCCTTTTTAATGTAAATGTCTGTTTTTAATGTTCATCTCTAACATGAATAAACACGACGTCTTCACTGAGTTCAAAATCTGACTTTTGTCTTTGTTAAATCAGGTAAATCCAAAACCCTAAACATGATGATACACGTACGCACACTGACTTCTTAATTTGACGGTTTGAGATGGAAGAATATTGTTTCCTGTCAACTAAAGAAGTGAAAAGTTAAAAAGCACCTGACAGGTATATGAAGTAAAACAATCCATCAAATTAACTGGAGTATCTTCATATTTATTTTCTTCATCTACATCTTGATTACAACAACTGTCATGATCATCGTTAACTAACCAGCGGAAAGTTCCCATGGAACTGTAAATTCTGCACATTTACATGTCGACGAAATTTCAGAAAAATACAAATTTTTATTCGGGCTGTTAACACACAGCCAGGTGTTTTAAAATATGATTTAAAAAAAACCCGTAAAAACCATGTCAGCAGGGGGAGCTCTAACTGTCTCCACACACTAAGCGCGAGTAAAATCACTTGCGCGAATGAATTACATGTTAAGTCAATGCAGAGAAGCATTTAGACGCTCGTACTACTCTGGTGGCGCGAACGACGCAAATTTGGCAGAAGCTGAAAAATGATGAACTTCTATTCAGGCTTTTTACACAGCAGCCAGTTTTTTAAAATGTGGAAACCATGTCAGCAGGGGGAGCTCTAACCGTCTCCACACACTAAGCGCGAGTAAAATCATTCGCGCGAATGAATTACATGTTAAGTCAATGCAGAGAAGCGTTTAGACGCTCGTACTACTCTGGCAGCGTGAATGACGCAAATTGGGAGCTAAAAATGTCTCAATTTGAGTGGAAATTCACGTCACATATAATCTCATCCCAGCTGCTTCATACTCGGTTGCGAACTGATCCAGTGAGAGCTGAAGGTCACGGTCCGGTGAAGCCAACAGGACCACATCATCTGCAAAAAGCAGTAGCCCAATCAAGAGACCATCAAACTGGACCCCCTTAACGCCGTGACTGCACCTCGAAACTGTCGGTTTAACCCTCACCGAGAACGAGTCTGTTTTCCTCAAATGTCGGGAAATTCGACGTCTACCCTACAATCAGTCACAATCAAGTTCAACTTCATGCCGAGACTGTCTTCACATTCACTGTGAGGAGGAAAGAAAGTACGAGAATTAGCCCCGAACTCAACCCAGAACTCATCGATTAAAAGACTCTCACACGCTCTTGAAATATCCTCTAGAGGCCAATCATATCTCAAAGACAGTAATCCTGATATCAGAGTGTCCCACAGGCTGAAATAACAAGGTCTCATCCACATCAGGCTGTATACGCTCTGTCCTTTACTTAACCCATAATGAGGATGATACTCTGAAGTGTAGAATTAACGCTGATGTTAAACTTATCAAGGACAGCTGCGCCTAAAAGCACAATAATCAAAGAGCTCAGCCTCTCCTGCTTCCTGATGTAATTGGCTCGGTGGTGAAATATCTACATCACACAGATTTTCAGCCCACATCACCTCACTTTGAAAGACAAGATATACGTATACTCAAGCACCACGTCAACAAAGTTCCTTTATATTTCTTGTTTTGTTGTAATATAAGGTCTAAAAATGTAGCATCCACTCACAGGCTTTCTCTTTGATAGTCACGCCCTCGTGTTTTATTTTTGAAATGCAAATTTCTATAGACTTACCTGAATTTATTAGCCGTATTCATTAGCCTCTCATTCTCCATGATCAGAGGCTCCTGTCCTTTTGACACAGGCTGCTTTCCTCGAGGTCTCTGAGGACCTTCATCACAGGAGGAGGAGGAGGAAGAGGAGGAGGAAGCTGCACTGCTGTGTGAGAGAGACCTCTGCTGCTCCATCACTGAGCTGCAGAGGGCAAACTAGAATGACTTGATATAATAAAGCAAAGTGGTCTACATAGATGCCTCATGATTAAAATTCAAGGTGCAGGTTCAAGGTGGTTGTAATATAGAGGAAGTCTAAAAATCAGCTCTTAATGGGATATTCCGGTGTAATATTAATTTAGGGTCAAACACACCGTAACACCGAGTTAGACACACCCTCCAGAGATGAATGTTGCAGACCGCTTGCTTCTCTAGTTATACCAACTTTAGTAACGACCGCAGGATAGCAATACACAGCGGTCCGAGGAGCCATAAACAAACCTCAACCAAAACGCCACTCTATAGCCACAAATAATGCTGAGAACAGCACCTAACTTCATCAACAGGACATACAGGGTCACAGACATAGTACTAGACACCAAACATCTTTTTAACTTTGACTCATTTCTTTAGCAAAGAGTCTAAACACAACTCACCTACTCTCTTCCAGCAGCCGCTTGTTTGTAGCGAGACCTCAGGCCAGTCCATTACGGACTACAGTGGGGTGCCGCAGCTCAAGGAAGAACATTTATGATCATTTCTTCATGGAAATACAATCAGACCGAGACACTAAGACAGAAAAACTACGGCATCTGCAGTGAAAATGATTAATATGATGATTATTACTTCAAGGAAATGATAAAGTAATGATCATAAATGTTCTTCCTTGAGCTGCGTCACCCCGCTGTAGCCTGCAATGGACTTGCCTGAGGCCTCGCTTTAAGGCCCTTTAATTAGCTGTTTTTAGTTCTCTATAAATCTACTTTGTTTTAAGTCAAGAAACTCCATGACTCATCAGAAAAACCCAAAGTGGTTTATTTAATTTAAGGTTTCTTTTCTGTACATAGTGCAAAGAAATATTCATGTAACAGGAGGAAAAAGGACAGAAACGTAAGCCCCCTTTAACGGTAAATAGTTTATGTGCAAAATGAAGTTTGGAAGGGGTCAAAGGTACATTCACACCACTGCAGGTCACAGATTTACATTTTAAAGTTCATATCAAAGAATCTTTGTGATTGTCTCTAAACTTGTTTCACGTTGAGGTTTAGTTCCCGCTGAAGCCCTCGCTCGCCTCCTTTTTAAAAACATGGCTAACCATGTCCAGACTCTGCGTCTCAGTTCTCAGCTCATTCACAATCCCAGTCACATTTCCTAGCAGACCGCCCATCTGGTCCTCCATCTCCCCGTGAAAATCCACCTCCTCCACTTTCACCTGTCCTCCCCCCGCCAGGAAAGCGTCCCCGCCTTCGAATTCGTAAGTGTAGCTGTCGTCCACGTCTGCTCCTGCTGCTGCGCTCGTGTTGTTGCTGTTTCCCGAAGAGCTGGAGGCGAGTCTCTCACATCGGGCCTGGTGTCTGAGGAAGCTGTCTCTCCAGATGACTTTCTTCCCACACAGGCTGCACTCGTAGGGCCGCAGCCCCCCGTGAGTCTTAAGGTGCTTCGTTAGGTGGTGCTTCATTTTAAAGGACTTTGTGCAAACAGGACAGCCGAAGGGGCGGAGATTGAGGTGCTGCATCTTCACATGCCGGTCGCGCATGCTCTTCAGGGTGTAGGCTTTGCCGCAGTGGCAGAAGTGGACTTTGCCTGAAAAGGCGGCGCCGGTGTGGGACACCGAGGATGAGGAGGATGGAGTTGGAGGTGAGGAGGGCGGTGGGAAAGCAGCAGAGGATGGAGACACGTGGTGATTGGAGGTGGGGGTCAGAGAGCCAGCCTGCCCCGCACTAGTGGAGGGCCAGTTCACCTCTGAGCCAGCGGTGTTGAAGTCAGGAGACCCTGGCCCCAAAGACTTCTGGGAAACCTGTCCTGTTCCCTCTTCAATCTCACTAAATGTTTCTCTGCTGAAGCTCCCGCCTGTGAAACACTCAAAGTCCCCATCCTCCTCCTCCTCCTCCTCCTCTTCATCATCTTTACTGCAGCTGCCAGCTCCTCCGTCCTGCAGCCTCGGCCCCTGGTCAGACCACAGACCTGCCTGCCACTGCATTCGAACCGAAGCCGAACAGGAGGGGCCCGGAGCCGCCTCACCTGTTTGGCATGAAGCATGAACACCAGACAGGTCTGAGGGAGGATCCGCCAAATTCCTCGGCACCTTTTCCTTCACCTCCTCCACGTTTGATTTTCCCGACGCTCCTCCGGGAGTGACGTCCTCGTTTGAAACTGAGTGGAATTCTGCGGAGCAAACATGAAAGAAAATCACATACAGAAGGCAACAACGCTGCGACCTTGAGTTTTCTTTACGGTGTAACAGAAGTACATATAAAACTGAAGCCAATGGATGTTCTAGGTTTGATCAATTAGATCTTGAATTGATCATTCATGCATTTATCTCATATCGTATTGATTACTGTAATTCTCTGTTCATCTGTTTTTTTAATAAGTCAGCGATAAAGAGGTTCCAGTTTGTCCAAAACTCACATCACCCCTGTCTTATCTATTTTCGTATTATTTGAAAATTTTAGTCCTAACTCTACAGGCGCTGCATGGTCAGGCCCCCCAATATATCACTGACTTGTTGTGCCCCGAATCCCCAGGGCGCCCCTTCGGACGTCAGGCCAGAACTCCCCGATGGTGTCGAAGACCCGTTTTAAACTTGGGGAGACCAGGCTTTTAAGACGGTAGCCCCCAGACTCTGGAACAATCTGCCCCTCTCCCTCCATTTGATCAACTCAGTGGATAATTTTAAGAAGCAGTTGAAGACTCTTTTATTTAGACGAGATTTCAATTAACAGGGTTTTGTTTGTCTCTATTACTTATCTTTTACATCTGCACTTATTTCCATATCCACTATAATGTACTTTTGTACCGTTTTATGTTTATCTAATTGCACTTTTTCATGTACAGCACTTTGTGATTTTTATCTGTGAAAAGGGCTTCATAAATAAACTTTACTTACTAAAGTGGAGGACAGGAAAATGTGTTTTCAATTAGCAAAGATTAAACAGATATCAGCACAGGTATGAAATCACTCTCAGGAGATTCAAACTCGTACATAAGGGTTCACTCTTTTGGACCAAGAAGACATCAGTAAACTCGTCAAAACTCACTCATTATGTTCAGGGAGTTTCTGTTCTGACACGTACCAGCACATGAGATTCATACATTTTTGCGCCTCTTTCATCCAACAAGGTTTGTTATTTGTCACAGAAACAGTTTTTTCGATTTCCAACATTAGATTTTTTTCACTCGATTTCAGTTTTACTGGCTGTGCTCCCTCCTTTTTGTGTCCTCACACTGACTAAAGTGTTGGTAAGTTCATAGAAATGAATACTACTCTAATATTTTCTTTTACTTGCAGCCATGGATACTCCAACCAACCCTGGCCTTGCGATGTGTTGGCAAGTTTCTATAAAACGGAGAAACTAAGAGACTGCAGACTCGAAGGTTCTCTGGCTGCCCACTCGCGCTGCTTTACCGCTCTGGCCTTGTGTACAGCTCTTGCAAAGTTTGCAATGATCTACACAGTCTGACTCACTCCAATGCACCAAGTTTATTTGTGCTCCTTGAGCTGCCAAGTTACAATTGCACTGCACGATGAGAAAGGAAAACTTGTGTGAATGCATTAACACTTCCGTAGTACGAGGTGATACAACGATGAATGCCAGCTTGTTTCTGGACACAGAAAACTATCGGGGATGTTCAGTTTGTGCCGTTACATAAGGGATTCGGAAAGTTGTAGGATTTGCTTTAAAACTGACTTATGAACCCGTTTACTCTGATCATGAGATAGTTTTGAAACGTAAAGCTGATTCCTGCTTCAAAGCCGCCGTGTCAGACAGAGACATACTGTTTGTGTTTGAAGTAAAATCAGGCTTTTGTATCTCACCACAGTGTCCCATTTGTGCAAAGCCTTCTTTCTTCTCCAACGCCTCCTCTCCAACTCCCTCATCGGCCTCGATCTCTCTTTTCTCATTCTTCCTTCTCTCTTGTGCCTCATCGTCGTCCCCAACCTCTCTATTCTTATCAGGCAATCTATCGGCGCTCTGCGGCGCTCCTCGCTGATGAATCCGGACTTTCTGCTTTAATGTTTCCCCGCAAGGGAAGGTCCCGTGGTGCCTGCTATTGTGACCTGGTGCATCGTGGGCGTAGTGGCCAGTTTTAGACTGACTGGAGATCCATGCATCCTCGCAGCTGGGGTAATCACTCTCCGCATAGCATGGGAGGGTGTCCAGTTGAGAGTCTGCAAAGTGCTGGGCTGATGAGGGCCGAGGACGACCCCATCTTTGGAACTGCTGTGGGCGTCTCCATGTTGCTAATGGGGGCAACGCATCAGGCTTCCTTTCCTTCCTCCTTCCTTCCCTCTCCAGATACGAGCAGTCTGAGCTGCTCGGGGACTGCTGGCGAGATGCAGTTCCAGGGGGAGCCGAGGTTGGCTCTCCAGGAGTGACTTCTGATGAAGGTCGAGGTCTTTTCAGGATCTCGGTGCATTTGTCTACGATGTGCCACATCTGGAGAAAGCTGGCCACGGTGACATAGTTGACAATGTCATCTTGCACGATGCTCAGCTGGCCTGTGTATGCAGAACTAAGGACGCTCTCGAAGGCCACAGGGTCCATAACCGAGGGCAGAGACACAGTCGTAACATTCTTCAGTAACACCTGGTGAGAAACAGGAACAAATAAACTCAATATAAATGAACGGACCTGCAACACTGACCAGATATAAACATGAAGAGCACGTCTCTACCTCTTGAAGCTGAAATACCCCCTGAAACTGATGCTGACATATTGCTAAACATCTTTAAAATTATACATCTCTAGAAATAGAAGAACAAGCCATAACCTCTACTGATGCCAGTCTTTGGGCAGATCTCTAGGACAGAGTATACCCTATCCTGGTGTATCCTGCTCACCTGGTCATGAAAGTAAGGGGAAGATGCAGCCAGGACACAGCGGTGCGCCCTGAACACATGACCCTGCACCTGGATCGAAAGGTCGCACAGCCGGCCTTCTTCCCGTTGACGGTTCAGATTGTCCAAAACAGCAGCACGGGCTCCAGGGAAACACACCTGGACAGTCAGACCAGCAGCTGGAGCACCGCAGGTCGGGTCCATGGTCACACAAAACTGAAAAGAACAATATGAGCAAAATAGTATTTGGGTTGACTTTGGTTTCTGCTCAGACCTGTTGCAAATTCAAGTAATGTGCAGGAAAGAAGCACCAATATTTACTCTTTTGTAAATATACTCTTTTTCCATGTGCTTTCCACAAGTCGGGAAATATAAGAGTATGTGAATCGATTATTCTGACAAATACAGATGTTTAAGGAAAGACACTGAATCGTAAAGCTCAGTTTCCATATTGTGCACATACTCAGTAGCTAATGTTAGCTATCTCTGTTACAAAGCGCGGACTTTTCATTAATATAACCTGTCATTCAAACAGTGTAGCAGATATAAAATAAGGTCCTGATAATAAAGTATTTCTAACTGTCTTTGTGTCACTGTTAGTCTGTTTTTAGTTTATATTCAGCCCAGAGTTAGCATGGCGCTATCAAGAAGTCACTACAGTCACTAGCTAGCTGCTAACGGTAGCCAAGTTACGTTACCTTTAATATCTCTGTCGGACGGGCTTATTAAGCAAAGGAGTGACGCCGTTTTCTATTTGCATCACGACATTGTTACTTGTGAATCCTAATTTAAAAAATAAATCCTGCCCCTCGTTTGTGTAAGGATAAAACAACAACCCAGCCAGGATGCTAACAGCAGCTTGCCCGTAGGCGTAGCTGATGTTAGCTGATTGACAGAGCAGCATCAGCGTCCTTAAACACAACGTGAGTGGGTGTTTGGTGTGAATGATGCTTTCAATTGTTTTTTATTAAATGCCATCATCACAGCGGTCACGATTAAATGTGGGTTTGTTTGCGAGTGTATCTGAGAAGGATCACAGGAGCAAAATTTACAAGTATAAGAGAAGTGATTGTGACGCATTCACGTACACCTGCAATGCTCGGAGTTTCCACCTCCTCAAGTAATAAACGAGCCATGAGTCATGTTTAGAAATAACATGTAAGCAATAAAAAAGAAAAAAAAAATGTAATAATGTTAAACACGAAATTCAGTGTAAACAGAGATAGGGGTGAGAGACATTATAAATATAAATGTTGACTGATAAGCAAAATAAATTGATTTGCACTTGCAAGCTTGCCTGAAAAGATTAAATAAAGGTATGGTGGCCCTGAAGAGCAAAATACATAAACAAATCACAATTACAAAGAAGAGCAAGACATTTAAAAAAAAGTTCTTTCCACTATAGATACTCATTTTGATTGAATTTATTTAAACACTTAAAGGGATATTCCAGCGTAAAAAGAACATTTATGAACATTTCTTTATCATTTCCTTGAAGTAATAATCATCATATTAATCATTTTGCACTGCAGACGCGGTAGTTCTTCTGCCTTAGTGTCTCGGTCTGATTGCATTTCCATTAAAAATGATCATAAATGTTCTTCCTTGAGCTGCGGCACCCCGCTGTAGTCTGTAATGGACTGGCCTGAGATCTCGCTACAAACAAGCGGCTGCTGGAGGAGAGTAGGTGAGTTGTGTTTAGTCTCTTTGCTAAAGAAATTAGTCAAAGTTAAAAAGATGTTTGGTGTCTAGTACTATGGCTGTGACCCTATATGTCCTGTTGATGAAGCTGGTTGAGGTTTGTTTATGGCTCCTCAGACCGCTGTGTATTGTATTGCTAACTGAGCTTTTTGTTTTTATCTGTCCTTTTCCATATGCTTTATGACTATATATCAAAGCACTTTGTAAACTTCTGTTTATAAAAGTGCTATACAAATAAAGTTATTATTATTATTATTATTATTATTATGTAAATCCTACTGTTTGTCAGTGCACTTCGGTTTCTGATGTGGGTTCATTGTTATCACCCAGCCTCTCTGGGGTTAATTTAAAGGGCCAGTACACCTTTTTAATGGTGTATCACTCCACCACAGTAATAAAAGCCCCCTATTTCTCGTTTAGGGTGCTGTGAACGCTTAGAGAAGCCTTCTCAGACACCCCTCCTGCAAACATAATCCAGTTTTACTTGAAGAAATCAGCTCTGGGAGAAGGTTTGGTGAGGGGCTGCGTGAGGTGTCTGCTCGGTCATACACGCACTGCTGCTTTTTACCGCAGTGCATCTGCAGCATCCTGCGCTCAGAGCGACAGAGGTGCCGCTGTGGCGTAGGAATAAAACACCGTGAACTGGCACGTTTATTATATTTTTATTTCGGGGTTGGGCTGGCTTTTTTCATGTAGCCGTGTGTGCTCCCGCTGTGAGTGTTTGTTTTTTTCTGCAATGCCCTCAAGACCTAAGAAGCGTCTCTGCTACGATCACGGAGTGATCAGATGAGATATTTTCACATTTTTTCACATTCAGCTGTCAGCGCAGAAAACAGGGCAGCATCCGAGAGGAGAGGACTCGAGCAGAGGAGGCCTCCACAGCCGGACAGTAGGCTCTGATTTCAGAGGACAGACATCTTCAGACCAGCAGATTGGTCCGCATTTATTTCATATTAGTATCGTGTAGCCTGTAAGAGGTAGCCATTTAATTCTTACCCAAGAGCATGCAAATTAATTGTATATGCACTAGCGTGTAATTGTATTGAAGACAGTCTGTAGCTTCCATGTTGCACATCATCTAAAAAGGAAAAGATATTGTAAGCTTTGTGTACCTGTGCTGTCTGTATCTGCTAACATTGGAGAGCTGAGCATGTGGCCTCTGGCAGGTTAAATGACTGATCTGTGCTTCTCACATTAGGATCCTCAGGGAAAAAATACAATCAAATCTCAGGGTGTTGCTCTGGGGAACACTGTGAGTCACCAGATTGTCTCTGGATTGTTTCATAATTAAAAGTACAAAGCCCACCACTTGGCTGCATTAGCTGACTAGATTGAAAGACAGGGGTTGTCTCCAAAGCAGCAATAATCTCTGGCAATAAATCCTGTAAACAACAGGAAACTGTTGCTGGCCTGTGCCAAAGATCGGAGACTGGAACAGTGGTCCCACTGTCGGGACATCATCATCGGCAGATTTCTGAGAAAAAGGCTTGTAGGCGGATACATTTTGCACTTTACAATGCATGTCTAGCTGCAAGGTTCATTATAGACATTGGCAGCACTTTACTGATGCACAGCTTGTGGGATTTATAGCTTCAGTTGTCTCAAGATATTGAAAAAAACAGAAAATAATAACCTTCAGAGACTTGAAGGTGCTCCACATCTTGGATAGAGTAAAGTTTGGATTTAAGGAGACTCCTCATCAAACAACGCAGCTGCTCCAACAGTGGTTGACATGGCAGCAGCAGCAGCACACCTCCTGCTCCTTTCTCTTCTCTGCAGCCTGTTTGGTGAGTCGACCTTGCTGTGTGTATCCTCTCATAATTTGCTGCTACATTATGTAAACACAGAGTAATGACTGCCTGTCTCTCTCTTGTGTGTAAACAGTGTACCAGTGTCATGGGGCGTGTGCAGAGGTGGACTCTGACACGGAGGCGGTAGCAGGAAAGGGCTTCAAACTGGGCTGCATCTCCTGCAAGAGGAGGAGTGAGGTGGATGGAGCCGCCACAGTCGAGTGGTACTTCAGGCCTAAAGGAGAGGCTGACTTTGTCCATGTGAGTACAACTGAGAAAGTTTGTAGTCTGGAGCCAGCAGGAAATGTTCCCGACCAGCACATTGTGGAGCACAACGTCCTTAAAATCAAACTCATCTGACGCTGCGTTCCTCAAGACAAAGACTATTAATATATGCATGCTTAAAGAGACACAGCCGAGCTCACTTCCTGTCCATTCCTCTGCCCTCAATTACACAACAGCGGCCAGAGCCGAGGCTATTGAGAGGATCAGCTGGAATTGATTGGGATATTTTACACCACAGAGATCACTGAAGCTCCAGAGATAACACATGCTGCCTGTGTTGACCTTGTGTCGGGTCCTCTGGAGGTGGCTGGAGTGGATGTCGCAATAATGCAGCTGCAAGACAGTTGTAGATAGAAAAGAAATTAAAAAAATTAAATACCAGATGTGTGGGGGAGTCTGACCGGGGAGAGGGGGAGAAATGAGGAAACAGGGGCCTCATTGTGAGAAAGGGGCCGGAGAGACACCCGGGTAAATAGCTGAGGAAAAGGGGAGCGGCCAGTCGAGAATTCTTACTGATCTGCGATTTACCCTGAAAACTTTCAGTCCAAAACTCTTCAAACATTCGTGATCATCTCGTTTTCTGAGATGAGTTTTAGATCAGCTGTTTCTCAGAGCTGTAAAAATATCTGTTATGAATGTTTAGACTAATGTGTGTGAAGTGCTGTATGATTAATGTGGCCGAAACCTGAGTGCTTGAGGAGAAGATCAATAGGACCGTTAATGGGCATCGGCCAATATCTGGGCTGATGAGGTCAATTTAGATAACACGCAAATGATGTTTGCATGCAGTTTTGTCAGTCTGGCTGTTGTTGTCTTGCGATGTTGAAAACCCCCTAAATGAAAACAGGTCTATCTCATGCTTAACGGCAGCATACGTTCGTAAAACAGACTAAAATTCACTTCATCCAAAACAAACAAGACCCTCAGAGACAGTGTTGATGGATTTTATATTATGTGGCAGGGTTAAACAAACCAAAAATGCAGAATTAGAGAATTATTAAAGCAAAAACTTACTAAAAATGTTCAAACAAATCTAAATCCATATATATTCACACTGGGAAACGAGACACAGGTGAGGCAGACGAGACACAGGTGAAACTCATGGGTGATTAACAAACGAGGGAAAACTAGGGAAGTAAATTCAGACTAGAAACACAAGGAATCAACAACTACAAAATCAAACAGGAGACACAGAAAACTGATTTAAATGATAAAACACTGAGAAAAAGAGGGAAACAGGGTCAAACACAAACTGAGAACTCACAAGACAAGATCTCAGGAACAACAGGGAACAGAAACACTCGGAAAAACACAAAGACAATACACTCAAATAAACAACACGAGGAGATAGCTGAATTCCTGAAACAACAGACAGTGTTCTCACAATTTACACCCAAAATATTGACAATAAATGACAAATCTGACTGTCCAAAGTGTAAAGGGGTTAAGATAAATCTTAACTTATTTGCAGTATGTCACCTAACTTCACAGATCTACACCTACAATGAAGATGGCCCCACCATCGAGCACGATCACTTCGTGGACCGCGTGGACTGGAACGGGAGTAAGAGGAGTAACGACATCCAAGACGCGTCCATATACCTGCTCAATGTCACCTTCAATGACTCGGGAACCTACCAGTGCTTCTTCAACCGCATCCTCTTCTACAGCTTCTACGAGTACAACACCGTGGTCAGCAAGGTGGTCCACCTCACTGTGGTGGCTAAAGGTCAGAAAAAGAAACAGAAACTGCTGTATAATTGTCAGGCTGGAGAGATGAAGTCAAAACAGGTGTCTTAAATTAATCTCTCCATTTCCTGTCTGCAGCCACCAGAGGAACGGCTTCAATTGTGTCTGAGGTCATGATGTACGTGTCCATCATTGGGCTCCAGGTCTGGCTCCTCATAGAGATGATATACTGTTACCGGAAGATCGCAGCAGCTGGGGAGGAGGCGTTACGAGAAGCAGCGTAAGGATTTTCATCGAACACATCCGCATGCTCACAGAGCTCCAAGCATGTGAAACCCCTCAACCCCTCCGGTGGTGTTGAAGGAACACAGAGTATTAGCTTTTTTATGGATGAGAAACAGACTGCTCATATATCGCCTGGAGGGAGAGGCTTTCAGTCCTCCATAAAACCTTCATGGTAGTCTGAACAAAATGAGCAAGTTTGGACTTTAATGTGCAGAGAGGTTACCACGGACATCCCACACCGGATAATCCTAATACTGATATAGTTTACGTGGCAATATGTCAACATATCTAGGCGTATTTATTGAGGTGTCCTGACTGCATATAGCGTAAAACGGGGTGGTCCTCTAAAGCTGGGACATCTGGGACAGTTTCCCAATCAGCGGCGACTCTCGGCGACTCCCCCGCCAAATGCGCACAATGCCGCTGTGCAAGTGGTGGAGTGCGTACAACACCACTGTGTAATGTTGGTTTCAGAAAATGGAGAGAAAACGTGGAATTACAGAGAGCTTTTTGGCTTCAAATCCGTAGACTGGCGGATGGCGGAACCAAGTTGTCCATAGTATACATAGTCTATGATCATAATTACAAAAGTTAACACCACTGAAACATTCAAGTACTTTTTCTTTTTTTATACTACAGAGGTACTTTGAGAACTTCATATATTTTTTAGATATTCTAGCCAATAAAAGACAAAAACACAGAGATGCTAAATACTTAATAAAGATTTCATACGGTTGTTATCAAAAGATTAATTGTATTTTATAAACTGAGCAGATTTCTTCTTGTGCTCATCTATACTTTAAAGAGTATGCCTTCGTCAAGAGGACAGGAAACATAATTTAAACGTATAAAAGTGTGGTTAAATACTAAATTATTATAATTACAGAAAATGAAAAATAAAAAAACCTTTCCATCTGTACTAATGGAGAGAATACAGGTTCAGGCCTCCTCATTACTGTCACTTATAAACTCAAAAGGCTTTGTCCATATACAGTCTGTACTTGCATCACTTGTCCTGGTACAAACAAGTTCATTTAAAACTGTATGAAGCTATTTAAGCTAATCGGCTTTATAGCTTTGTTTTTTAAGCTACCTCAGTCTGTTACCGCCACAAAAAGGGGTGATTTCCACAAAGATGCGAGACAGCTGTCTGTCTCTTGACTGTGTTTGAATTCAGTGTAAGGTTAGCCGTTAAGCTAACAAGCTAACTCACGGTTAGCGGCTCGGTTAGCTTGGAGTGCTACTTTTACCCTTTGCTAACCTCTCACTGAATAAAAACCAACAAAGATAAAAATAAAGAGCTTTAAGGGATTAAAGACTCGGTATAAATATAAGAAGAAGCCTGGTGAGCTTTTGTGACTGCCCAGAAATAGCACATGACTGGTTGGCTTGGCATGTTAGCTGCTAGCTAAGCAGCTAAACCGTCAGATATTTTCACACAGCTGAATTTCGCCGAAGGTTTGAGCAGTGTTTGGTGTGAAAATAAGGCTTGGAAAGTGTGTATTTCGCCATGAATACAGCCATATTTGATCCATCTTCATGTGCTGAAGTCACACATGCATCAACTCCCCCCTTGGTTCTTATCTATCTCCTCTATCCTTCGACTAACTTCCTTTTAAGACTATATTTCCATTATTGTTTGTGTGATTTCACTTGGTGTGTTTGTCTATCCTCTCACTCTCCTCTTGTCTACTTGTCATGTTTTCGTCTTGTCTCATCCTCCTCCCTAGTAAAAACCAAAACCAAATCCAAAACCAAAACCTCCCTCCTGTAAGTCAAAATGAAGAACAAAGACCTGTCATTAACCATAGCTGTATTTTGTTTTTACATTTTTCACCAATTTCATTTCCCTGAAGTATGAAGTTCAGTCTCTAAACTTTTATTTCTCTCTTTTCTTTCCAGAAATGCTGAATATTTAGCGATAGCCTCGGAAAGTAAAGACAACTGTGCCGGGGTGCAGGTCGGAGAATAGCACAGGTATGTTGTGGTTATTGTTTTTCCCATTGAAGACCTTAAGGCTACTGTCAGGATTTTTTGGACAGTTTAACAGTCTGACAGTCTCTTCATGCCTCATTATGATCTACAAAAGCAACCAGGACTGTCAGTGATGAGGCTGGTTTTCTTTATTTGGGTTTTCTTGATGCCAAAATCAGCTGGCAGTGGGTAGGTGAACTAAAACAGTCTTTTATTTTTACATTTTTCAGAACAAATCCTACTAAATTCAGAGTGAAAGAGCTACTCAAACTTCATCCTCTAGTAGGACAATCATCTCCTTTTTTAACAGTTCTGACTTAAATCGAATATTCTTGATTTCTTCAGGGAGTTTCTTACATTACTGTTGTTATTTAGTCCACCTAACAACAAGATTTGAGAGTCTTTGGGGTTATATGAAAGCTAGTTTGACCCATTATTGTTTCTTTTAAATTCTAGGCTCCCTCGATGGACTGCAAACATCCTTCCAACCGCTGACCTGCATGAAGACAACTTAGAGGGCAAACTTCTCTGCATCTCTAGTCTCTTCTTCCCCTTTTCCTCCACATAGATCATTTATGGATATGACATACAAAGAGAGCATGGTACCAGCACTGTATATAGTCCCCAGCGCAAAAGCATGTTCTGCACTTCCATGAGAAACCATTATGCATTAACGAGCCACACTGTCGAAGCATATACTGTACATACAGTATTTCTCTAAGTCTATGTAGTCATACATTTATATGAAACGTTCTTGGTACTCTGGGGGAGGGGGGGATCTGTTGTAGGCTGATATTTCCAGAAAGCTTTTTACTACATCAACACCACCTAATGTTTAAATAAAGAGACACATGTATGGTAAAGTTATTTCTTAAATAGAATGTAATGGACTATGATAGACTGTCTTTCCAGTTACTAGCTGTACATTCAAAAATATCTGAAGATGTACCAATAAACACTGAAAAGTACGAGCCGTGGAGAAGTCTTCTTTCCACTGTCAACGGTTTTTAAAAGATGACTGAAGAAAGAGAAATACAACAACACAAGGAGGAATTTTAAAGATGTTTATTCTTTGTTCAATTTACAGCACGTTTTGGTTTCCTCCCTCACTACTATCCACTCAATCAGAGCCAATTACACTCTTCAGCTGAAGGGAAAAGTAACACAGCAGTTCGTTTCAGGTTGTGAAGATTGATACCACTCTCGCACAAATTACTACAGCGCTTGAGTAGGAGGTTATTAGCATTAAAGATGGGGCGCTCTGAAATACACCCACAAGCCCTTCGAACACCAACTAAATATTGCTCTTGTAATTGTTATTTTGCACACAAAAATCTCAAACCTCTCTGTTTGTTATTGTATTTAGAGTATTTTACAGTATTTTCAACTTTAAATACAACCTGGTGTGGGGTTTAAATCTGTTAAAGACAGCCTAACTGTCTGTAGACCCCAGTTTGGAATTTAACACAGACTTGTTCTGTAAAATTAAAATCACTTTAACAGCCTGATTTTTGAGTTTTAGGCAAACTCTAGGTCTCTGCAGGGATTGGGGTGCGATAACGGCAGTGTAAATGAAGGCCTCGATGTTCATTCAGGTAACACTTCTGTTAGTACACGAAGGAATGTCTTCACACTTCAGATAGAGACAGGTTGGCTGTTTGCATCTTAATGCTAAACTACATTATGTGCCTCCAAACTCCAATTTTAGGACCATCACAGACATGAGAGCGGTATCAATCTAGTCTAAAGGTCAGGAAAAGACAACTCTCTCCTACAGCTGAAGCACACAGTCTGTTCCAGGATACTGAGGCAGGTTAAGCTGGTACTTCTTCTCCAGACCCGGAGGCACAAAGCGTCCTCCAAGGAAGTGGTACCGTCCTCTGAACAAGGAGGCAGACTTCTTCGGAGCGGTAAGAGAGATGAGCATGTCGGGCTGAAGACCGTCTGCGCTTCCCTGCTCCACATCCCAACCTTGAAAAACAAGAAAAAGTCGTAACCATCCAGATTCTAATTCACAGAAAGATCATCTTGAAGTTTTTGTTTGTTTTAATGCAATTTTTCAGGACAGACCTGAGGGGATGTCGATGCTGGCGATGGGGACTGTTGTCTTATTCAACACTTCCAGTATGGAACCAAATGGTTCGCGAACGGCACCTTTAAAGCTGAAGCCAAAGATGGCATCTATCACCAGGTTGTACGCCTCATCGATCATTTTGGCCTGATAAATAGCACAAAGAGAGGCCCAAAAAGACAGAAATAAAAGATTTTATCACCAGAGAGATTATTCAAAAACCAATTTGTAACTTGGAAATGTGATTCAGGCTCATTAGGCATCATTTAGATTATAAACTGAGCACTTAGCTGCAATCAAATACACATTTCCCCCACAGGAACAATAAAGGCTTCATCTAGATTTAGCCGCTGCCTCATTTACAAAGATCTGATCATGTGAAGCATCTCTTCTGCATTATTAATTCATATCAAACCTCAGGCATCTCAGTGAGGAAGGGGATCTCCATTTTCTGGCACTGCGTGGTCAAACCCTGGAACAGAGGTTTGTTGGGCCTCTTTGGGTACAGGATGGCGGGCTCGTAACCCTGTGAGACAAAATACTCTTCATACTGCCTGAAAATTAAGATCGAAAGTTTCCAGCAAACTTCATGCTAATTAAGGATTGATTTAAATAAGAGAGGATTGTTTTTGTAACTGTGTGTGTGGTGCTCTTTAACGGCTGTGTTGAGCTGGTTTTTGTCTTCAAAAAATGCCAATTGTGAAAAACAATTATTACAGAAGCACAGGGCTGCAGAGCTTCTCCTGAAACTTCATTAAAGGGCACTTACAAATAGTTTGAGATGTCGCGCACAGACCAGGCCGTCACCTCCGTTGTTACCAGGACCACAAATCACCAGCAGAGAAGGTCTGGTCTTCACAAGAGAAGTCAGTGGATACGCCTGAAAGAAAGAAAAAAACAGTCTCTCATTCTTTGTTATAAAAAGGACTTTGCAGACGAGTGAAGAGGGCTCCCTTTCAGCAAAGGAAACACTTCCAGTGACGACAGTGTAATCTGATTACTTCTCTCTTTAGACTGTAATCTGTTTAAGTCGTATCAGTGATGTCTCCACTCCATTCATTAAAATCCAATATATGTGTTAATACGTCAGTAATGTGTTTTAGAACGTTTCAGATAAATTCATGAAACAGATAAATAGACTGAATGAAATTATAAATGCAACACTTTGGTTTTTGCTTCAATTTTTCATGAGCTGAACTCAAAGATCTAAGATTTTTCCTATGTACACAAAAGACCGATTTCTCTCAAGTATTGTTGACAAATCTGTGTCAGTGAGCACTTCTCCTTTGCCAAGATAAAACTGTGTGATAAAACTGCACCTTTTATTGTGGCTAGTCTAAGGCACACCTGTGCAATAATCATGCTGTCTAATCAGCATCTTGACATGTCACACCTGTGAGGTGGATGGATACATGGATTAGGTCTACATTTAAGTCAAAAATAACATTCAACTCCCTTATTCAAGCGTCAGAACTGAATTTATCTACAAACTAACTGGAGACTGTTTTAGATTTGATAAGCTGCCATGCAGGGTTAGGAAAACATGTTATCATCTGGAGAGGCATCAACAGCAGCCGCACTAATGAGGCTGCCTGCAGTGTCTGCAGTCATTAGTTATTTATTTATTTCTTGATCAGCCACTTGAGCGCAGGAATCAGCCGAAGGCAGTGGTTTCAAAATAACATTAATTAGCCTGATTAATCGACCTGACTGAGATCTATCTTTAGCTGTGAGCTCATTCTGCAAAGTGTGTTAAGAGATATTCATTATGTATCTATAGCAGCAGAGCATCATATTAGACACCTGAGTCAATACTCATGTTGATCGTTTTGTTTAGAAGTGCTGTAACAAGAAGAGTCCAACCTAGACCTGATTTCTGAGTCAGGAACTGGATTCTGAAGCAGGAACATTTTGTGCTGGAATAAAAATCATTTATTTTTCTGCAGATTTTGCACCAATTTGAACGTGCAAAGGGACCCGAAACAGCTGGTTTCTCCAAACAGGTTAATCCGTGACAGAAGGTTCACTCTCATATGACATTTTTAAGAGAAATATAGTAACTCTCTTCACATAGTTAACTTGCAAGCTTACAGTCAGAGCACACTCTGCTGGACAAACAATGTGATTACATACATACGTTTGGCTTTCAGCATTTTTTCTTCAGGGCCTAAGAGTTAAAAGTAATCTGACCTGGTCTTGTCTTTATTATTGGTAAAACTGTAATTTTTGTTTTAATCTCACATCTCACCCTGGTGATCGCTGTGGCACAGCTGAGTCCAGCCAGCTCCATCAGCTGATCCACACTGAAGCCGTACTCACTGAAGAGCTCCTCATCAATGTGCTGGGCCTCCTCCTGCCTGTGGAGCGTTTACACATCAGTCTGAACAGTCCAAACAAACAAATTTTGATTGATTTTACTGCTCTGTGTACAAGAGTGCAACCTCACCCCAGATATTTGATGGTCTGGGCCATGGTGGATGCTGCTCTGCTACTAAAACAGTCCCTCTTGTGGTTGTCAGCTGAAGCAGACAGCGGGCATGTCCCTGTCTGAGCGAGAGCTGATGATGCCCTTGAGGTCACGAGGAAGCCAATCCCAAACAAAGCCCGAACACTCAACATCCAGAGGGATCCAAACTCCTGGAAACAAGACAAAAGAGAAATCCTCCTAAAATGAAAAAGTAAGTCCAGGAAAACCCATAAATTAAGTTTAGTGGATGCAGCTGAAGATCTTTTGCCAAGACGAAAAACTTTAACACCCAGCATCAGGTGCAGATTTACTTCTTTCATAAATAGGAGCTCTGCTGCTCATTCTGCTGTCTCTGCTGCCTCCCACAGTCACTAAACTGCTGTCACAGCTTGTTTTTTCATTTTTCTTTGCTCTCTTCATCCACCCGCAGGCTGAGAGCAGAACTCAAAGCAGCTAAAGATGATGAACACAAATCAGCTCTTTGTTCGAGAGATGAAAGTTGCCGACCGCTTGCTTCTCTAGTTATACCAACTTTAGTAACGACTGATGGCAGATAGCAATACAGAGAGCCACACGCTCAACCAAAACGCCACTCTATAGCCACAAACAATGCTCAGAACAGCACCTAACTTCATCAACAGGACATATAGGGTCACAGCCATAGTACTAGACACCAAACATCTTTTTAACTTTGACTCATTTCTTTAGCAAAGAGACTAAACACAACTCACCTACTCTCTTCCAGCAGACGCTTGTTTGTAACGAGACCTCAGGCCAGTCCATTATGGACTACAGAGGGGTGCCGCAGCTCAAGGAAGAACATTTATGATCATTTCTTCATGGAAATAAAATCAGACAGAGACGCTAAGGCAGAAGAACTACTGCATCTTCAGTGAAAAATGATCAATATGGTGATTATTACTTCAAGGAAATGATAAAGAAATGATCGTAAATGTTCTTCCTTGAGCTGTGACACCCAGCTGTAGTCTGTAATGGACTAGCCTGAGGTCTCGCTGCTGGAAGAGAGTTGGTGAGCTGAGAAGCTGAGTTGAAAAGTCTCTTCTAATATTTTACAGAATAAATAAGTCAGGAAAAAGGAAATAAGAGATGCCTACGAGCCAAAATCCAAAATATATAAAAAGATAAATTAAAAAAACCCACATAAAACGTTGTAAAAAAAAAAAGAATAAAAATAAATCGTGAGATAAAAAGTAAACAGTAAAGAGCAAACTGAAACTACAATTATTAACATTAAAATGCAGGTAAACATATATATAAATTAGTAATGTGCATTAAATTACAACAGGAGTTTTAATGTGAAAATAACAACTAAAATACACTTGCCTCTATGTTTCAGTACGTTTAAGCCACGACTGTTTGGGTTCAATTTAACCAAATAAGAGAGATTTGAGATGACATGATATAATCTGTTATAAAACTGACAAATTACACAGTCTAGTTAGAAACTGTTTTATGTTAGCAAACATTAAACTGCTAAAAGCTTCACCGAGCTGAACACCGTGACAAAGTTTGAACAAAACTCACCAAATATGCGCTAAACTTGCTTCAAAATAACTTCACACACCCTACTGTTGTTTTAAATAATACAGAAACACAGTTTACAGATCTGTAACCTACTTCAATAAGACCAGAGGAGCACCGAGCAGAAACACTGGGGGACCTGCGGTGTCACCCTCTTCACTTCCGGGTTTGGAATCACAAAATAAAAGTCTGATTTCAAAATAAAAGTCCCTCCTGCAGGATGAGGCTTTTAATCAGGTCCACGTCTAGCTATTTTGGTATCCTGTATGAGATAAGGATTAATCTTATGAGTTTAAGCTGCTTGTGAACAACAAAACGATTAAACGAAAACGTCTACAAAGCAAAACAGAAGCCCTGCATGTGAGCCAAAGAGTAATCTGTTTTCAGCTCTTTGTTAAGCTGTTTTTAACCTTTCAAATCAGAAAATTAAAGTAAACAACACCTGAAAAAAATCAAGCACTACCTGAAGAAGCTGTAATGTGTATTGGTGAAGACTGGTGCCTGAAAATTGATCGATTCTGGGTTTAAATCCAGGACCGAGGCATTTCATGGCACTTGATGTGATGCAGGGACAAAAACAATGTACTTATCTTGATGGTAGGCTCTAATTGTTTGACCAGTCCTGTGGTTTAATGTTGATGACTGCTAAATGTCATTAAAATAGTTCTAGATTCGATTCCATTGCAGGAGGGGAGCTAGGTTGGTTTTGTTTCATATGTATTAAAGGTGGGTAGCCTACTAGCCACCAAACATCTTTTTAACTTTGACTCATTTCTTTAGCAAAGAGACTAAACACAACTCACTTACTCTCTTCCAACAGCTGCTTGTTCGTAGCGAGAACTTGGGCCAGTCCATTACGGACTACAGCGGGGTGCCGCAGCTCAAGGAAGAACATTTATGATCATTTCTTCATGGAAATACAATCAGACCGAGACGCTGAGGCAGAAGAACTACCGCGTCTGCAGAGCGAAACAATTAACATAGTGATTATTACTTCAAGGAAATGATAAAGTAATGATCATAAACAAGCGGCTGCTGGAAGAGAGTAGGTGAGTTGTGTTTAGTCTCTTTGCTAAAGAAATTAGTCAAAGTTAAAAAGATGTTTGGTGTCTAGTACTATGGCTGGGACCCTATATGTTCTGTTGATGAAGTTAGGTGCTGTTCTGAGCATTACTTGTGGCTATAGAGTGGCGTTTTGGTTGAGGTTTGTTTATGGCTCCTCAGACTGCTGTGTATTGCTATTGTGCGGTTGTTACTGAAGTTGGTATAACTAGGGAAGCAAGCGGTTGCCAACATTCATCTCTGGAGGGGGTGTCCTACTCAGTGTTACGGTGTGTTTGAACCTAAATTAATTTTACGCCAGAATATCCCTTTAGATCCCCAATACAAATGCTTAAATACACAATCACAGAATGCAGGGAATTACACCTCAGACCCATGAGCACACTTGACTTGATAAACAATTCATTTTATTGAAAATGACCAAAACACAGTCGAATAGTAGAAGTGTGGTACATCACAAATACAGAATGACTCGTGTGGTACCGTTTTATAGTGAAAGAAACTCAATTTGACACTGTCGATATTCCCTGTTACATGCTGTGTACTGGGTTTATACAATAGCAGAAATAAAACTGACCTATTTATTTCCCTAAAACCTTTAAATACTGAAGGCAAATGCATAAATAGTAAAACAGGCACAAAAAGTGAGATACATTGTGAATGAAACCAAGAAGTTAAATGGAGTAAAATGGAGTAAAAACACCATAAGTTAAAATTAGTGCAATGCATATAAAACAGAATGTGGAACTTTCTATGAACAACAAATAAACATCAAGTTGATTATTGGGAGTCATCTCTCCAAGGAATTAAAAACACTGAGAAAACACTTTAAACCCGAAGCCTCGTGGAAATTCAAACTTCCTGGTCCTGAAGTTGACAAACCATAAAAAAATCTATTTTTCCAGCTTGTCCTGCGTTCCTTCAACTGCCTGATCCTCCTCTGAGGACTCCTCTGAACTCTCTGATTTCTCACTTGGCGTCTTTTCAGCGATCTGTGCGTCTGTGTTGAAGAGTGAGAAAAAAACACTGGTTATGAAAATGTAAGAGCACAGAATACAAACGCAAACTTAAGGTGTGAATTGTGTTCGGATTTCTCAAACCTCCTGTGTCAATATAAACTTGATGATGCATTTAGTACCTGTTCTGGTTTTGTTTGGGCTTCCTGTTGGCCTGCCCTCTTCACCATCACACCTCTCAAGTATTATTCTCAGGATTTTGGTCACTTGTGGATGTTTAGCTTTCTTGATCAAGGGTTCATCATCTGAGCTGTCACTCGATGACTCTAGAAAACAGACAAAGTGTCAGAGCCGGCGTCCTAAAGTCACGACAGAGAAATGCATTTTCAATCTTACCGGAGACAATCCTCTCTCGAGACTTTACGGGGGTTGTTGTCCTTTTCTTCAGAGGCGAAGCTTTTCTTTTGCTCTGTTTCTCGTTACGTTTCTTTTTCACAATATTAATCAAGGGTTCATCATCTGAGCTTTCATCAGCAGGTCCTGCCAAACAATCCCAGCAGCAAGGATTTAATTCCGAGTCATTTTTTTAAATTCAGAAAATACAGTGATTCATTTTTTATGCTACTCTACCTTGTCTCTTTCTTGGTGAACGGCCCTTCGGTACAGTCGTCTTCTTTGTGTTTTTCTTCACTGGTTTCTTCCTCTTGCCGATAAAGTTCACCAAAGGCACATCATCGTCATCTGAGCTGCTGTCTGAGAATAAAAGGTTTTGTAAAATCCAAGATCTTAAAACAGCTGAAATGACTCAGATCCACCTGACCAGTCTGATAAAAGTGCAGCTAACCTTTCGGTGGTTTCACTTTAACTCCTGATTTTGTTTTCTTCTTGTTCGGTGAAGTCTTCCGCTCTTTAGGGATCAGTTTCTTCTTCATCTCTGCAAGTGTCTCATCATCTGAGCTGTCGCTGGAGGACTCTGTTTTTTTTACTTCAACCAACAAAACATACTTTAATATGTAGATGTCAAAGAAAGCTTTGGCACAAACTCTGGTATCTACATTTGAACTCTTACCTTTTTTCCTCGCCGCGTTCCTGACCGGGGTCGCTCTTCGAGGCGGCGCCACTGGTGCCTTTTTGTCAAGTTTCTTGGCAAGTTTGCTCAGAGGCTCGTCTTCGGAACTATCATCGTCACTCGAGAGGTCTGTGTGAGAGAAGAGGTCAAGAGTGAGCAGCTGTTTTCTCCCAGAGATACAAGCTCACAGACAGACCTCAGATCATACCTCTCTTTTTGGCATGGGCAGGTCTTCGAGGGGACGCTGAGATCGGCTTCTTTGCAGCTTTGGGTGACACTCTAGCAATCTTGACCAGAGGCTCGTTGTCAGAGGAATCATCTGAGCTCAAATCTAAAGCAGTCACATTTGGATAATAGTAAGAAAATCAGCATCCCATCTTAAGAAAACCCAGCTACAACACGGCTCATGACAAGGTAATGTGCCTACCTGCTTTCTTGTTTTCTGTGCCATTAGATCTGCTTGACTTGTTGTCCTTACTCTCTGGTTTCTTGTTTAATAGTCGAGTTTTCTTTTGTATTAAAGGCTCATCGTCTGAGGAGTCATCCGACGCTGCAGCAGGATCACGGGATGTGCTTCTTTTTTCATGAGACTGGTTCTTCTCACTGTGTGGCTTTGTCTGAAGCTTTGAGAGCGGCACATCGTCATCAGAGCTCGAGCGGTCCTTACCTGATCGATCAGAGAGAAAAGAGAGAGAGTCACTCAAAACGTGCTGTTTAAGTTCCTGCAAAAACACAGATTAAGTCTGAACAGACAGAGGGATGCTGTTACCAGGTATGTCCAGTGGTGGAGAAATAAAATCATAACAGTTTTTAAACCCAGTGACTATTTTAGGGTGATTATCTTAATTTAAAGGGATATTCCGGCGTAAAATTGATTTAGGTTCAAACACACTGTGACACCGAGTTAGACACCCCCTCCAGAGATAAATGTTACCGAACGCTTGCTTCTCTTGTTATACCAACTTTAGTAACGACCGCAGGATAGCACCTACTCTCTTCCAGCAGCCGCTTGTTTGTAACGAGACCTCGGGCCAGTCCATTACGGACTACAGCGGGGTGACACAGCTCAAGGAAGAACATTTATGATCATTTCTTTATCATTTCCTTGAAGTAATAATCACCATATTAATCATTTTGCACTGCAGACATGTAGGTCTCGCTACAAACAAGCAGCTGCTGGAAGAGAGAGGGTGAGTTGTGTTTAGTCTCTTTGCTAAAGAAATTAGTCATTAGTCAGATTAAACTACATGAAGAAATCAAACTATCCTGGTACACAAATGGGCTTTACAGCTCCTGCTTGTGATGAGACCATCAACAAAATGGTTTCCATTGTTTTTTTTTTTCTTAAACCACAGACCAGGTGATTGGATGCTGATACAGTCCACATCCACAGGCTCTCAACAAGAGATACATGTGACTGTTAAAGTAAGTATAGGATATCATGTATGTAGCGGACAAAACCAGCTAGGACCACCATGTCCACAGGGGGGCACCAAAACTGTCAGACTCCACTAAAGCTCTTCACAGGAGCTTTAAGAGCAGAAAATCAGTTACTAAAGTTTAGTCTCAGTTTAACCCATTTAAGCAGAAATAATAAAAGTTTCAGTCAACTCTTTCAGACACTTTTGACCAACTAAAGGAGAGTTTGATGTGAGTTTACTCCACTTTCTGGTCTCCACATGGACCTTAAGTCTACAGTCTCAGATGTGAGTTTTTAATTTACAGTACCACTGTAGTTTAACACAGACTACATAATAAAGGATCATTAATATTAGTACCTGATGAGTCACGTCCCACATCGGTGGGCCTCACAGCATTACTGTAGTCCATTTTGTAGCTCTAGGATCAACGTTACACACTAATACTTCTCCTCATCTGAAACAGCAGATGATGCTGCAGGATGGTTAGCTTCTTCTTCTCCTGATTAAACTCTTTCTTCAGACTAATGTGGTCATGAACTCTTCACTCTTCTGCTCCGAACACCAACATCTAATCCCAGTCTACCACAGGGCGTCTATAAAAAGATTTAAACCAGTTTCTCCAGATACTCCTGCCATGGGCACGTTCACGTTTGGTTTGTTTTCTTCCGCGTCTGCTGCGGAGAAGGCGCGGAGGCGCGTCCTGATGACGCACTACGAACTTATTCGTCCGATTTACTTCGGCGGTTGCTTGGCAACAAAGTTCCGGCAAATATCTACGTTAGCCAAACCTAGCTAAAAACTGCAATAATACGATAAATTCAGTGAAGTGATAAACTTTAAAAACTCAATGAAAAGTCTTTTAAGGAGTGTTAGGGCCACATTAAGAAAAAAAGTAAGACTTCGAGATTAAAGTCAATAATTTACGAGAAAAAAGTCACTACTAACGAGAATCTAGTCGTAGTAAAGTAATCACCTAAGAGATTAAAGTCGTAATAAAGTCCTTAACTTCTATCTTGTTGTTTAAGACGACAGTTGTTGAAATGAGAGCATTTCGTAAAAATGTACTTTAATAAATGTTTCTCAATATTTTCGCTTATACGATATTCCGTCGTATAAGCGCTTAAAAAAGTCAAAATGCAATGCAATGTAACACTCAAAAGCCATTTATTATTGTGACAATAACCTGAAAGTGATAATTTAGTCTAAAGCGAGGATGATAAAAATGTGTTAAAAGGTCAGCCACAAGTTCCAGGTTCATCTTGTGAAGTTTTTCCTCATCTCAGGACCCCACAGGATATTTGGACCCTACAACAGTAAACTGTAATGGAAGAGATGATTAAAAATATGAGTCAACTGTGCTTGAAGTACGGCAGTCTGCAGCTCTGTTTATTCGACACATACAAGATAAATATTCAAGCACTGTAACATCAGACAAAGACATGATCATGGAGATGTGCTGATCCAGACAGAGATATGTAAAGCTTCATTAGTCGACTTTAATCAAACAAAGAGAGGGCATTGTTGTGCTGTTCCCTGACTCAAACCTCAGGGACTTCATTGTTCAGGGACTAATACAAGCTAATATGGTTGGTTGTGTCATTTTTTTAGAGTATTTCTCAATCATGATTTTCTGCTGAGTGTTTCGATCACATCCCTGAGACAGAACGGGGGCGACTCTGAGTCTTACGGTATTCAGACCTACTAAGAATTAAACTTTTCAAACTCATTAACTATTCATTTTCTCTTTTGTTATAGAAATCAAAAGTGCTATCACAGAAATACTTCTATCTTAAACCTAACTGTTCCATTTATCATCATCATCACCTTTACCAACACATGATTCACAAATAACACAACACAAACTCGTCCTCACTGCTATGAAACATTGGTAGGTGACCCTCAAAGTCTCCTGAAACTTGATCCTGTGACATATCGGTTCGCTCATGATTAGAAATTGTGAGTTTACCAAAGTTTCAAGCACCAAAAAAATGAAATTTTCTGACCATTTGATGAGAGAGGTTTTACATAAAACCTCATTCCCCTCACATTTAGGTGGCATGATCCACCTTTACTCCTCGTTTCTGCCGTGATAACAACAGTTTTCGTCTAGAAACAGTTCACCAGTTGTATTTTTATATAAATAAAAACACTTTCTCTTCTCTAGTGTTAAATATGTGGAAGGACTTGGAGACTCCTTCTCGCCCCTTCTATGAAAAAGTGAAAAAGAGCGTCTTTCTGAACAGACAAATACAGTGAAACATGATTCCAAGTTCAGAAAACCAGAGAAGTAGTCAAAGTTCTCAACGGTCTGTCTCAAGTGAAACCCGTGTGTCCATGCTGGTGTGTTTTTTGAGTTCTCCAGAGCTGACCAAGTTTACATGGCGGCCATTTTGCTGGCTTCTCTGACCCCACTCAGGTAAGCTCCCGTCACAGTCTGAGGGAAATGTCTGTTGGTGGCCTAGAAACAGAAACAGAGATGAGAAATTAAGAAAAAGTGCAAAAATAATCCTAAAATTATGTGTTTTTTAAAGCTTCATTTAAGAAACCTAAATGGAAATCAAGAAAATATAAATATGACCGTATTACAGATGATCAGTTATTCAAGAGATTCCCTAAAAAGTGACTCTTTACCTCGCCAGCAAAGAAGACTTTTCCCTGCACGTCTTCAGCGAGGATGTCATACGCTTCTCCACTTCCTCCTGTCTTCACAAAGCTGTAGGACATCTGGGACCACGTGTCTTTGCTCCAATGTGTGACAAAGTAGTGCAGCGGCTCTGGGACTTCCTGTCAGGATGTCACATCGAAAGGATCATCAGCAGGAGTGAGGAACAAACAAAGGAAGAAGTTACAAATGTTCATGAAGTTAAGTCTTTTTAACTGTTTTAATTGTTGGTCCGAGAGTTTTTCCATCTAGAATGAACTTTAAGCTGAACCAGAATGTCACAGGGTTGAAAAATAAGTTCAGTACCTGCTCTTTGAAGAGTTCTCGTAGGACTTTTACACACTCATCTACCACCTCCTTGTCCTCCATGTCCCTCACAACAGAAACAGCATCACCAGTGATCACAGACATGAGGACAGCCTGCTTCCCCTTTAAAACACATCGACACACACAGACACACGCAAATAAACCAGCTGCATCCATTATGAATGTGTGTAGTTAGTGTGGGTCAAACAAAACAAAAACAAACCTGTGGATGCATGTCGTAGAAGACACTGAACATGCCTCTCTTTTCAGGAACTGGTGGGATGTGACCAAAGTAGTCCGCACCCTGGATTTTTTTGTCCCAGAATCTGTACGGGAACTGAAGAGCGATCTGCAGAGAGTTCAAAATAACATTTCAGTGTATAAACATCTACCTGTCAGGCTGAACATATTCACAAAAAAACACATCAAACAGTGTGAACCTTCTCGATGATGCCGGCCCCCAGGCTGTGGATGGCTTTTAGTTTTCGCTCAGGAAGCGGAGGGTTAAACTGGATCACGTTCTTTTGTAGTAAAGTCAGCGGGGCTGTGACGAGAACCTGAAGGAGGTGAGCAATAAAAAAATATTATCATGTAATGATTAACAGTAAAGAGCGCATCCTGAGTACAAGCATGTATGATCAACTGTGGTACATTCTTAAACGACCTTATTTTAAAAACTACGGAGGAGGATTAGGGCCACTGGGGGGAAAATGAAAAAGGTCCAATTTATATTTTTATTATTCTGAGAAAAAGGCTGAACTCAGACTTTAATCTCACAATAATAATAAATATATACTAAACCCTTTTTTTTTTGTTTCCAGTGGCCCTAATCCTCTTCCGTACAAAACAATCGATACTGCTGCATTAAATGTTTCAAACAGATTTTAGTATTTTTCATCTTCCTCTTCTCTAAAATAACTTCTTTAAACATTAAATGATAAAAGATAAAATGACTGAAAGATCAAACAGGTTTTTTTTACCTTGTGTGCCGTCCACTGAGACCCGTTCGAGGAGGTAACTTTGACAACTTCACCTGAGTAATCGATGGCCTGCACCTGGAAATGAAATCAAAACAAAAACAGATGTTTGTGATCGGTCTTTTGTGGTGAATCACACAGCAGCAGAACAAAGGTGACATCTGGAATCAGGAGACTAAAGAATCACAAACCGGGCATTTTGTGCGGATGTCGAGGCCCTCGCCCAGTTTATGCAGTAACACAGAGTAGCCCTTTGTGAGTAACGTGTGGTCTCCTGAGAACTGGGCGAAAAACTCGTTGTGGTCCCAGGATCTCGCCGATACCTGAACACAGAAACAGTCAGTTGAAGTCTGTTTTTACACATCACAAGAGAAGATCCTGCAGCGGGTTCACAGACCTGGTCCAGCGTGCTTCCACAGGCGTACTCCAGGTTGCTGAGATGAAACTGAAGCACTTTTTCCTCCAACTCGCTGAACTGGATACCAGACTCCTGCAGAAAGTTCTTCTTCACCTCCTGAACTTTTTCTGGAGACACAAAAACCAAAAGTTTGTCGTTTTTTTCACTCTGGAAGCAGAAGTGGTTAGCAGCGGGTTTTTCTCAGCTCTACTTCTGCTTTGATTTGATGACACAACACCACAGTTTCACTTCCCTAAAGTAATATGGACTCACAGAGCTGCATCTGTTATGTTGTCATGAAACTGACTCTCATCAAAAGACCTGCATGTGAACTCTGATTACTCCGACACCTTTCAGCGGTGTGTCCTGACTCTGCGACTTGTCCTTCCTCCACTCTGAAACCACGTCCAGGATGGCGTTGAAGTGGAAGTCCATGCGCTTGTCGATGGCCGGGTCAGTCACCTGTCCCCCTTCCTGGAAGAGGTCACACCGCTCCCCAAGCTTGTGCATCTTGATCCCAACCTGTGACAGAGGATCAAAAATAGATGAGACAAATCTCAGACTCAAGATCAGGTTTGAAATGCAGCAGACTCTCTTCACAGAGTTTTAGACGCACTAGTCTGACCTGCTCACACATCAGGGCGATGGGGTTGTTCACGCAGCCGTTGACAATCTGAGCTCCTCGACCTACAGTCACGCCCAGAGAAGCATCATCCCACACACGGCCTCCAATTCTCTCCCTCGCCTCCAGCACTGTCACCTGTAACCCGAGAAAATGAAAAAGTGGAAAGCAGGCCATCGTAGTAAGAGTAAGAACCGGGGAACATCCGACAGGAACTAACTGGATACCTGAGTGCCAAAGTTTTGCAGCTGTCGTGCAGCAGCCAGACCTGAAGCCCCGGCACCGATGACGATGACATTTCTCTGCAAAAAAAAAAAAAAAGGTCAAAGGGAGTGAAGTCTTAAAGCTGCATCCTGATATGAGAAGTGTGTTTGTGCGTCGTGATTCAGCGATGATAGAGACACTCACTGAGCAGTATTTCTCAGGCAGCAGAGGCCGTTTGACTGACAGCACTCCAGTGTTGATGAGACCTTTTCTGGTCATGAAGTGAAGCACACGGTCCATCTCCTGTACACACCGCACACGCACCAACCCTCGCACAATGATGTTTTCTGCACATTTCTGGGATGTTAGCACCTCCTTCAAAGAAACAAAGAGCGTCACTTTACCACCGTGATTTCTACAACCATAAAAAAAAAAAAACCTAAAAGTGAAAAACATGGAGACTCCTGCAGTGTACCTTGCAGTTCCGGTGCCATGAAGCCAGGATGAGGTTTCTCAGAGCCAAGTACATGGTGGGGTCTCTGGAAAACTCTGGAAACTCATAAAGCTCATCCAGCTCCATCATATCTGGCCGCACACACAGAGCTTTGCCGCACTCATTCGGCTGGTAGAAGGGTTGGAAGTACGGACACAGGCCTGGAACTGAAGGAGACCATAATGACCATATGTAATTTCCTTTTAAATACAGACTTCACACATTCCCAACCACAGACTCCCGGGTTTGTTTGTCCTCCTTTGGGCTAATCTCTCTCTGTATTAAGGATGATAATCTGTGTTTCTGTGTTGGAATATTCAGTCCCTCGCTAACTCACTCTGTGGTTGAACGGCTCTGCAGTGATCGGCCCTCAGCTCAGACAGAGACACGTTACTGGAAGATCCTGATGGACTCATCCCCACACAGTCAGGGTAGTACGCGGTCAGGAACGGGCTCGCCGGGCTGTCTTTGAACAACGGCGGCAAAATCAACATCGAATACCACCAGTTGTCTGTCACCTCGGCCACTCTCTGAGAGAATCAAACAAATCCTGATGAGAATAAATATGAGAAACCATCAGATCTGCAAAAAAGGTCACGTAATAGTCTTACCAGGTCCTCTGGTTGGGAGCACTGGTCAGGTCCTTCACTCTGCAGGCAAAGACACACATGATCATCACAAATTAATAAAAAGTTCATCTCTGAATAAAGACGGTTTCCTGTTTACCTTGATATTGTTGAACTTCATGCCACAGCGATACGTGGATGCGAGGGACGCCGTGAGCTGGATCTCCTTTGTCAGCTGGCGCCACTTCCTGCAGTCTGGTTTAGTACACTGAACCTGAAACCAGCAAATCATAAGGTGCATTCCTGTTTTAGTGGCAGAATGGACTTAAAAATGAGAGGGTTAAGTGAAGCTGTCTGTTTTTACCCAGTATGGTAGCTGCTGATCTGCCATGAAAGCTTTAAGACTGGGCTCACTTTTACCGTTACTCGTCCACACCTTCTTCCATGAGGCGAAAGTCTCGTAACCGTCTTTGTGACTGCAGGCGGAAAAAAAACAAACCTTATGACCTTCATGTATATATTTTAAAAACAAACAAAAAAATATATACCCTCTTAAAAATAACATTTAACAAAAAATAACAACTTTTCTGTCAACTTTACCTTCTGTAGTAGTGATCAAAACACTCGTTGCAAAAATGCTCGCCACATGACAGATGATACCAACGTGATGTGTATCCATTTTTAGCACATCTGAAAAGAGAATCAGTTCCAGTCTGAACAATTTACATCAGAAAAAAAATAGATTTTATGTCTCGATTGAGATAAACATGGTACCTTTCAGATGCACTTGCAAAACAAACAGGATACGTAGCCGAGCATCCAGCCTTCTCACACTTCCTGTACTTCTTCTCAGACTGATCATCTTCCTCCTCGGTGTCTGTGGCTTTTCTCTTACTCTGAAAAGAGCGTGTGGTGGAGTCATTAATCTCAGCTCAATTTTATTTTTAACGGCCTAAGAGCCTTGACCCCTGGGCAGATCAATGGGCGGGGCTGGGTGTGGACAGGCCCACCATGATTGACAGGTGGCAGAGACATTTATTTTATTTATTTATTTGGATCCCCATTAGCTACTACCTAGGTGCAGCTCCTCTTCTTGGGGTCCAATAATCTTTAGAAATGTATCACACAGAATATAAATGTTTCTCCCCCCTGGCTGTGATGTTGACATGTAGTTACTGTCAGACTGGTTTGTGCTCAAGTCCTCTTTTTTCTGTACAGCTCCATTTTTAAAAGTTATTAGGGGGTTCATGTTTTCTATGATTGACACGTGATACAGCCTATGGGCGTACGAGGATTGCGTAGCTCACTCGGGGGATACGCTGTTTGAGCCGAGCGTCATCACAGCAAGTATCGGCGACTCTCCCGCCTCATGCCTACAACGCTACTGCGCAATGTTGGATTCAGGAAATGGAGAAAAATCGCAGAAATACAGAGAACTTTTCGGCTTCAAGTCCGTATACAGGTGGAAGGCGGAACCAAGTTGTCCATAGTGCATACAGTCTATGGGTACACCACATTGCAACTGTTTCATATTTGAAAACCTACTATTATTAAATACATACTGCTTTCTATTAAACAAATAATTTTTAAACCAGCTTTCTGTTTTTGGTGTAAATTAGTAGCATTTCAATTTGTGATCAGGAACACCAAATGCAGAGCTAAAATCAAGACATGAGTGAATGACTAAATAAACTAAAACTACAGCAAAGTAATTTAATGTTCAACTATCTGTTTTGTTTTTGTATTGGGGACCTCAGATTAACTTAAACCAGAGGAGGATTGAGGTGAGTGTTGGGTAAAGAGGTAAAACCTGCGTGCTGCAGTTCACCTGTCCGGGTGGAGGGTTGTTGGTTCGCTTCACCCGGACGTTGATCTGCCTCCCGGAGGAGCGCAGGTTCTGTCCGTCCCCAGGTGACTCCCCGGAGCTCCTCTTCTTCGCCCTCCGAGCACCAGAGGCATTCCCAGAGTAATCTACACAACAATGGAGAAAACAGAGCAGATCAGGTGAACCGGGCCTCTCAGGTGACTGGTATCACTTTGTATTACAAGAGGCATGTTGTGTACATGTATGATTTTGATGTAGATGGCTACAAATTGAGGAGTGAGTGTGTAAAAGCAGCAGAGGTGGTGACAGATTTACAGCAGAAATCTCTTTAAAGCAGCCAAACAATGTCTGCCTGTCACACGTTTAGCATGTAGCAAAGAGCAGCAGCGTCTTATCAACACTGACCTGCATCCGACAACATGACCGAGAGCGGCGTGTCTCCAAAACCCGGGCCTCAGTCAGATTAATGTGAGTTTCTTTAGCCAAGTGTGATGTTTATTTTCGTCTCCCTCTTATTGTTGTGGGGGGAATCAATGCGCCGTTCTTACGAGAATACCACTTCCGGTTTTTGAAGAAGAAAGGGGCGTTTCGTTTTCGAGATGACTTTTGAACCCCGCCGCTCGCCGTACTACGAAGTAACCATAGCAACAGTGGTACGCCGTCAAACTCGGCCAGCATAAAACGGAGCGGAGGGAGAGACGGTGGTCGATTCTTTACGATGGTTTTGTGTGAAATTAAGACAGTTTAGGGTTATATTTTTTGGCTGACATTATCATTAGTGAGCAAACAGAGTTATAAGAAAGAAAACTTGGACTTATTTTTAATGTTTAATGCTGAAAATTGTCCTTTCGTTAACGTTAAATGAACATGTCAACGTCTGAAGCCCGAAGTTGACAAAGAAGTTTCTCGAGATTTACAAATGGATTCTGTTAAAGTGTCACACAGAAGAAAGCCGGGGATTCCTGTAATCAGAGCAAAGGCATCAGAAGAGATCCAGCACATTCAAGAAGTAAACTTTTATTATTATTATTATTATTATTATTATTATTATTATTATTATTATTATTATTACTATTATTATATTTTTTAAGCTTATTATTATTTTATTTTACTTTATTTTATTTTTTAAAAAACTTTTATTATTGTTATTATTAACGTTTATTATGATTATTATTATTTTTATTATTATTATTATTTAACTTTTATTATTATTATATATTTTTAAACAATTTTATAATTTTTTTGTTTTTATTATTATCATTATTATCATTATAATAATTGTCATTACATTATTAATTTTATTATTACTATTATTATTATTATTAAATTTTTTAACTTTTTTTGACTCTGTTACTTAGTTACTTAGGATAAATTTATAGAATATTTTTTCAGCATCTTTTGTCAGTGTTGCTCTTTGCAGATGATCCTTACTCACTAAAAGACTGAACCAAATACAGACTGAAATGATTATAGAATGAGTAAAAATGGCGTAAAGAAGGAGGATTTCAGAGCGTCCTGGCTGCTCATAAGACTAAGATATTAACTCTGCTGAAGACTCTGTCATGAAACAGTAAAGACACTCGAACCTTCACCGTCATTTTTCAACAGGTCAGCTCTAAAAGTCTTGAAGTCTGTAAGGTGATTCATCTTCTTGAAGATCCGCTGACTGTGAGTTGAATCTGAAGTCAACAGTTCAGTTTCCTTCAGTCTTGTTAAATTTATAAACTCTGTACTTTTTGTGTTTTTTTGTGTTATCCAAGGCGAACTTGAAGGAGAGACACCTCTTTGTGCTGAAGAAACTCCTGAAGAGAAGCCAAATTGGTTTTGTATCCTCTGATGTTAACCTCTGATGAAGCAGAATCTTTCTCTTTTTTCCTAAATCAACTCTCTCAGGTGTCACACACTGCAGCATATTGTCAAGTTTTCCTCATTACCGTCCCTGATACAGCAGTGGAAATAGATTTGCACTCACGCAACCTGCACGCAGAGACAAACCTCGGTCTCAAGGCTCTAATTTTCCGCTGCATCGCCGTGTCTGTCAGCATTTTCCCTGTTCTGAAATAGCCTCAGTTATCATGATGAGTCAGTACCCAATCACCTCAGCCCCCCTCACAGGCAATTATCTCTGTGAAAACAAACCCCGGCATGTTCAGGCTTCTTAATCTGTTTCAAGCTTTTGAAGGATCTGACAGGTGTCACCAAGATACTCAACGTCTGTGCTGACAAAGCCAAAGATCACCCGGAGTATGTGCCTATTTTGTGTGAGGCGCTCCGAGTTTGTAGGTGAGAAACCAAAAGAGGGAACATCATGTCTACAAACACGAATATTGACTGAATATTTACATCGTCTGTGTTTGGTCTCAGTCTGCCCTTCCTGAAGGAGAAATCATCTGATGAGCTGAACTACGCCCAGGACGTCATAGAGTTCCTCTCTCACATGGGTACGAAGAAAAGTTATTTAAGAAGAGTTTGGCACCTCACAGAGGCATCATTACTAAAATAACACATTTAAGTAGAATTTTACACTTCTCAAAAGCATAAAATGAGTTTAAGGTCAATTTTAGAGCTAAAGAGAGAAACTGGATTTTAGTCAGTCAAGATTTGTACATTTCTTTGGACTCATAGTGAACTGATAACTGAACAAAAGTAATAAACTAGAAAAATGTAAATATAAAAACCTTTAAAGAAGGAGAAGCAGAAATTGGTTGAATGTGAAAATCATTAAATGATAAATAATATGAATGTGCTTCATAAATTAAAATTCCATTCAAGCTGAAAGAGGTGGAAAAAATGTATGAAAGTGCAGAAAATTTGTATGAAGAAAAAAATTACCTTAAAACACAAACAAGTGAGAAGTGGCATAAGTTTAGGTTGTAGTACAAGTATTAGTAGGATAATAAATAGTGGTAGTAGTGATATTAGTAGTCATTAATAGAAGTAGTTTTAGAGTAGAAAACGCAAAAGTCAAAGTAGTTGAGCTAGTGGTAGAAGTAGTAGCAGTAAAGAAGTATTTACAGTAGCAATAGTAGTTGAAGTAGAAGTGAAGGTACTAGTTAAAGTGATACTAGTCGTAGTTTTTGTAGTAGAAGTGGGATTTTGTTTGAAGGATTTAATAATGCATGAATATTGAAAATGATTTAAAACTGGGAAAATTTAAATAATCAAAAATCCGAAAGTATTAGAAAGGTTTGAATCAGTTTGAATGAGTTTAAATTAGTTTGAAGGATGGATCCCTGGTGAGGACTGTCTGTGCAGAGTTTGACTGTTTTCCTGATGCATGTGTGGGTTCAGTCGATGATGATGATGAGTGACTCTGAACGATGTGTTTCTGTCGGCAGGGTGTCTGATGAGGGTGTCAGACGCTGAAGTGAGACTGCAGATAGTTGAAAGTGTCAAATCGTTCTTCAGCTGTGTGACCCCCAAAAAGCTGCTCGATGGTACGGCCCGGCACACCAAGACAAAGCCTCGGACTTTCTCCTCTGACAACCGATTTTCTAGACTTTCACTAAGTGAGGCGCTCTCGTGGCTTCAGTGGGTGGCATGCTCGTGCTTAGCTCCTTTTTCTTTCTTTCTAACTGTGTGTGTGGTGTGTCCATTTTTCAATAGTTGAGAATTTCATCTCAAAGATCATCTGTTTTTGTTGTCTCTTTGTTTCCTCTTTCACGCCAAGAAACACATTTTTCTCCCCCGCCATATTTCTGCAGGGCTTCAGCCGACCTCTCCAGGCTACAGGCTGCAGCTCCTGGAGCGCAGTGACCTGGCTCAGACCATGCTCCTCTCCATGGCCGCCGTGGAGAACCAGCCCTCCGTCAAGCTGCAGCTCCTGCAGACCCTCCAGATCCTCTCCAGCTCCTCTGGTCAGCAGCTATGACTTAATTTGACAGGTGGAGCTGTCTGACATGTCAATCCACCTGATGACCTCCTTCATTACATCAAGTAGCCTGTCCTCAAGAGTTAAAACAGCTCATTATACCAACAAACAATCAGACAATCACTCAAAACAGTGATTTTAAGTGTCCTTGAGTCAATGTCAGCAGGTCAGCGAGTCGTTTAAACACTAATCACATCATCTAAATCAGTTTTTTCATGTTTGTTTATCCGCAGACATGAACTGTGAGTCCATGATAAAAGCACGAGGAGCCCAGATGATTTGTCTCCACATGAACGAAGCCGACCCCTCAGGTCAGGTTTTGTTCTACTCGTCAGAAATCCTCTGGAACCTTCTGGAAAAAGGAAACAAGGAGGAGGTCACCGAGCAGCTCGGCAGCCTGGAGTGTGTCCTGTATGTTTACATGAGGGTTCGAGACCTTTAAACCTGTGGCAAGACTTTGATATAACTCTGTGTGTGTGTGTGTGTGTGTGTGTGTGTGTGTGTGTGCGCGTGTGTGTGTGTCTTAGATCCCTGAAAGAAGCGTTTCTCTACCAGCTCACGATCAGTTCCCGACCCGCTGACCTCCAACTCAGAAATGACCTCCTGGTGATCACGTCTCTCCTCGCTGAGAATCCCAACTCTCTGCTCATAGTGAGTACAGAGACGGTGTAGATAGATCCGCAGTGAAGCACTCGATTATAACATGAAGTCGAGTTGAAAATGTTTCTGAACTTTCAGGAAAGTTTGTTGGCCAAACAGCTGGTTGTTCTCGCCACGTTTCCAGAGCGTAAGACGTTTTTTTTTTCTGATTATTCTTGACTAGATTTTAACGCAGTTGAACATTTTCAGATAACATCTATGTGCTGTTAATCTATTTCAGTGAAAAATCAACACCCTCTTTTGCGCAGTCTGAGGCTCAGCTTCAGTAACGAAGACTTGAAGATGAAGAAGTTGCTGCTGAACTTGTTGGTGTTGATGTCGAAGGACCTCGCCGCTCTGCAGGTCAGTCAGGTCTTCAGCTCCCATAACTGTGATCGTCTGAACTTCAACTCTCATAATTCTCCTAAAATCAGACTCCACTGTCCTCTCCTAGCTGTACAAAGAAGCACAAGTCATGTTGTCCCTCCTGACGCTCATAAAGCCCCCCTCGGCGTCCTCCGAGCGGCGGTCAGCTTCACGCCATTGGTCATCCGTCCAGCAGGAGGAGCTCACGCTGCAGGCGCTCGCCACACTGGCCACCATCGCCCCGCTCATGTTGGATGATTTTATGTCCTGTCATGGAAACCAGTATCTGGTGGTGCTCCTGAACTGGTGCGTCACACAAGGTGAGGATGTCTCTGTCATGTCACACTTCTCCTTCTTCTCCTGCTGAGAACATGAAAACACTTTCATTCGTCGTCTTTCCTCCTTCGCTCCAGATTCTTACTTCGGTCAGGGCCACAGTTTCCACGGCACAGGAGGGAGAGGCAGTACGAAGGCTCAGATGCGGTATTGTATCAGACTGCTCAGATCTTTGACGTCTTTAGGCGAGGAACAAGTCCACCAGGACCTCTGTGATCAAGGACTCTTCAACCAGCTCCTGGGTAAATAAAACAAACTCACGACCAAATTACTCTGGAGAAATAAATGCCGCACTTACAGATGTGTGTGTTTTTTTTTTAGGGATTTTGATGCAGATAGAAGCGAGTCCTGATGAGGAGGATTTCATCGCCGTGGAAATGAAGTCAGATATTCAGCTCATCCTGTCGGCGCTGTGTGAGAGCAGCACCTACAGAAAGGTGGAGGAGCAGTTGTTGTTTGATGAACCTGATATTTTGAGCCACATTTCTGACGTCTCTTTGGTTTAATTTAAACCACAGGAGATGTTTGGATCAGAGGGAGTGGAGATGACGCTTCACTTCCTGAAGAAAGGCTCTGACAAGTTCTACAGCGGTCTGGGACACAACAGACTCATCCTGTCTACAGTGGACTGTGTGTGGTCAGTTCAGCTGAAACCTCAGAACACTTAAAGGGATATTCCGGAGTAAAATTAGTTTAGGGTCAAAAACACTGTAACACCGAGTTAGACACCCCCTCGAGAAATGAATGTTGCCGACCGCTTGCTTCTCTAGTTATACCAACTTTAATAACGACCGCAGGATAGCAATACAGAGAGCCACGCGCTTAACCAAAACGCCACTCTATAGCCACAAATAATGCTCAGAACAGCACCTAACTTCATCAACAGGACATATAGGGTCACAGACATAGTACTAGACACCAAACATCTTTTTAACTTTGACTCATTTCTTTAGCAAAGAGACTAAACACAACTCACCTACTCTCTTCCAATTCCATTACAGACTACAGCGGGGTGACGCAGCTCAAGGAAGAACATTTATGATCATTTCTTCATGGAAATACAATCACACCGAGACGCTAAGTCAGAAGAACGACCGCGTCTGCAGAGAAAAATGATTAATATGATGATTATTACTTCAAGGAAACGATAAAGAAATTATCATAAATGTTCTTCCTTGAGCTGCGTCACCCCGCCATAGTCTGTAATGGACTGTCCTGAGGTCTCTCTGCTGGAAGAGAGTAGGTGAGTTGTGTTTAGTCTCTTAAGTTAAAAAGATGTTTGGTGTCTAGTACTATGGCTAATGTTACTTTACTAATATCCCTTTAATACTTTAATTCTGACATTTAAAATGTTTTTTCTTTGCACCATATTGAATTAAAAATAGATGTATAGATATAGATGTATAAAGTATAGAAGTGTTTTTCTCTTTCAGGTCCTGTATCGTTGGCTGTTACACCACAGAGGACTACTTCCTGGCTAAAGGGGGGGTGTTTCTCCTCCTAGACTTACTCAGTGTAAGAAGAAGTTCAGTCATTTCTAAAGTGTCTCAATAAAAAGACTAAATCTGATCTGATCTCACTCTCCTAAAGTCTTGCCCAAGATGCGTTCACTGCAACATCCTGGCCACCCTGCTGGAGCTTTCCGACAACCCCAACACCCTGTCTCACATCCTGAGCTGGAGGGACGGAGGCGGGGGGACGGCTCCGGGACTCCTGCTGCAGCTGTGGAGGGAGGAGGAGGAGGAGTTCAAAGTCAGCAGAGACAGACATGGAGGGATAGAAGGTCAGTGAGACTGTCAACAGATATGAGTCCAGGACCAGGATGAGGCTTAAAACCCTGAAAACATGCAAAATGAAATCTGTTTATGTTGCTGTGTCTGGACTGAGACGTTTGTAGGAGGTCATCAGCTGATTTAGGACAACCCTGAGCGTGATGGAGCTGCACAAGATCTCTCAGATCTGCACACTTTCTCTTGTTTTAGATCCCCAGAAGCCCATCCTCACGTCCTTCCAGCAGGAGGACACGCAGCAGTCGTTTCCTGATAATGTCCCGAGTGCAGCGGTGCTGGAGTTATCAGAGAGCCTGCGGTCAAAGATCTACTCCATCTTCTGCAAACTTGGTAAAACAAAACAAAAAAAGCACCTTCTGGAGAAAAGATCCAGTTAAAACCGTGTTTGTAGTAAAAATCTGTGACATTTCCAGGATTCCAGGACCTTCCTGGATTGTCGACACAACATTATATAACATTAAGCATCGTCAGAAGATACCTGGACTTCAAGGTAGATTTTTTTGACCCTCCTGGTTCCACATCTAGATCTAAGTCTTATTTCAAAAGAGGAAGTCAGGTGATGCACACTGAGGTCTTTGTCACGCTGCTGCAGGTCGGCGAGATTTGTGATGAGATCAGCAGAGAGCTGAGTTTGGACGGCGTGAGACCGGTCACCCCCGATGAAGAGGCTCTGAGCAGGATCTGTAAGATCTCAGTGGACACGGCGAGGAGGGTCAAAGCAGAACAGAAGAACATCCTGGAGCAGCAGGAGAAGGAGGAGATCAGCGAGGAGGAGCTCATGTACACAGAGGTGCTGAGGGTCTCACACGGGGTCAAAGACACGATTAAAGAGCTTAGACAGAGTTCATCATCATCATCATCTCCGTTTCTCTCAGATCAAGTCTCACTGGAGGCAGCGAGAGCTCACGGCCAAATCCTGGGACAGTTACGTTTCCAAGACTTCAAACTACGAGATCCTGAAGGTTTTTATCCTTTTAGTTTAAATAGAGATAAATCAGTATGATGGAGAATTTTAAACAAAACTTTTTTTTCTGTCTTTATTCACAGGAGGTCAAAGTTCAGAGGGAGAAACAGGCTGAATCCTCCAGACCAAAGTCAAAGCCTGAGGACGGATCAGGACGTCTCACTGAGGTCTGATAACAAACCTCTTAATTTCACTGAACAGGATAATAAGATCAATCAGGATAGTATTGGAAATATTACTTATTAATAAAGTTTTGTGCCTGTAATTCATCAGATTTGATTTGCAGAGGCAGCTCATTTGATCAAAGTCCCGGTATGTGGAGAGAGGTGTTTGGACTTTACTGCCCCCTACTGGCAGACAGGAGGAACATCAACAGTTACCTCCTGAGGACCTCGCCCTCTTCTTCTTCTTCTTTGAATAACAGATAAAATATTTAAACAGTAAAAACAGAGATGACAGGATGACGCAGATACAACAGGAGCATCTCTAGACTAGATGTTTTATAATCTTCTTCTTCTTCTTCCTATTATTATTATTATTATTATCATTATTATTATTATTATTATAAATATCTTATTGGAATTTCCCGCTGTGGGATTATTAAAGGAATATCTGATCTCTTATTACTACAACAGAAATCTGCTCCAACCCTAACCCTGGATCCAAACAAATTCATCATATGATCCTTATCCTAGAGTAAATTAAAGTCCTCCTCAGGTAACCATGGAGATCCTCTCTCTCCTAACACTCTTGTTCTTGTTTCCTTTTGTGTTTCAGCATTTCATCGGCAGAGTCATGTCTGTAGAGACCACAGACGCTCCCGGACCAGCTGGGGTCAAAGTGACGCTGGCCAGAACTGCTATCAAATCTGCAGGTCAGGACCAAACCAGACCATCAGGACGGGACCCCGAATACTTCAGTACGGTCTCTGTAACAGACTGACGACAGGACAGGAAACTAAGACTCTGGTTCAATACAAACCTCTGACACGGATCCTGCGTCTTTATCGTGTTTCTAAGAGCTGATTCAGAGGAAAACGTAGACATGAGGTCACTAGATCAGCACAATCAGCATCCTGTAGTCTAGAACGACTGTAGACACACAAACACACAAACAAACACACACTCACTGTACGGACGGGTCTTTGTGGTCGTCTGATGCACAAAACAGCTGCTATAGATTCATATTTATTTAAAATAATAGATGCAGATTTACACTATTTTTTTATGTTGAACTAAATGTTTGATTTGATGACATCAGATCTTAAAATATTGTTCGAAAACGTCTCCATACATCCATTATTTATTCCTTTATATAATGGTAGAGCAGCATAAACCATCAGTGTGGCATCATGGAAACTGGAGGAACCTTATGTAACGTCACAATCACCAATAAACCACTTTAACTTCTAAAGTTTTCCTCCACGGATCAGGTGTACGGGTCCTTATCTTGTGTTGTTGTTGTTGTGCATCAGTGGTCCTCGCTCAGGACCCTTCATCAGAATCAGAACCTCCTCTTCTTCCTCTTCTTCTTCTTCATGGTTTGTGGGTTACATAAGTCACTGCAGCGCATTAACACACATGTTCCCTCAAGCGTGCAACATGCTGCACAGAAACTCTCCTGCTCCCCTCCCTCCCTGCTCGCGCCCATTTTTACCGGCTGGGTGACCAAACCATCTCTGACAGGCCGGAGCTTTTCATGCAGCTCTGTGTGTGTGTGTGTGTGTGTGTGTGTGTGTGTGTGTGTGTGTGTGTGTGTGTGTGTGTGTGTGTGTGTGTTGGACTGGGATGTTCATGTTGCACAAAAGAGCAGGGACACACTGGAGTCTCTTCAGTGCGCTGTTTGTTCAGGCTGCTGCAGGGCTTCACATGCTGACCGACCGAACGACCGTCTGTCTGCGGGCGCTGAGCTGCTGATGAAGGTGAGGAGGAGGAGGAGGATGGGTGCAGGTTTTGGGACCCCCTGCTGGGTGCTCCTCAACCTCCAAGAGGATTTAATGACTTCAAACTGTGGGACGGACTCTTCAAAAACCTGAAACTGGAGTTTTTTTTACTGCTGGAGCGTTTCAACTTTTTAGTTTTAGACTTTTAAACTACTTTTTTTTTACTCGCTGATGGTTTAAAGTGAATTTTAGGGACATTTTAGGTCCTAACTGACAATTAGAGACAAAGAAAAATGATATTCTTATAAAATTAATTAATACTTTGTTCAGAACTTTGCAAAAAAACCTAAAAAGTAAAAAAATGAAGTCACTCAGATGATTTAACTCCTAACTAGAGGATTAGCTGTAAAATAAAAAGTACGATAAAATACTGCTGGTATTAAAGTTTTCTTTCTCTTAAGCTGCATGATTTAATGATTAATTAAAAACAGAAAAATACAATCTTCACTTCCTTCGACAAATCACAACTTTCTCGAGAATTTCTCTCCAAAAGCTACAGGTGAAAGTTTGTATATTCTCTGAACTGTTGTCACTTCTAAAAATAAAATCAGTATATTACTCAATACTATAGAAACAAGAAACTTTTGAAAGGTTTTGACAGAAACACATCCACATCTCTTTCTCTCCGGCTCTGTAGGGAGGTTTCTGACTCGTTGGAGAAACCTCAGCTCCAGAGATGATCATCAGGCTGGGAAGACTGACGCCTGGATACTTCCGTCTCCTGCAGGTGAGTCACCGCCGCCCCTCAGAGCATCTAAAGTCACGTCTCTGCAGTCTGTGTAACCCCTTCAGCTTTGTTTGGATGTTATGCGTGCAGCACTTTTCACTCTGATCACAGAAATAAATAACAGTTAAATGTAGAGAGAGCCCACCTGAACTTCAGACACTTCTGTGGAGAGTTGATTAAACTTAAAGGATGAAGATGAAGATGAAGATGAAGATGAAGAGCATTAATATTTCACAGAGATGACGGCAGCTCGTCTCTGGAGGTCACCTTATATAAGCTGTTCAGACTCACAGCACTAGTTGCACAGAAATGTTATGTATTCGGTTCAGCACATGAAAGTGTCTATTCTTGTTCTGCCACCAGGGGGAGCTAAATTGAGAAATCCTCCTTTTACTCAGTGGATTTAAAACTCTGAAATGTCATGATGGCAAAACTTATTTTTAGTTTTTTTATTTTATTTTAATGAACTTTTTAATGAACTCTTGAAAAAATAAAATCTCACCAAAATAAAAATCCAACCTAAAATTTTTACCTTAAATCTGAACTGACATCTGAATCTCTTTTCTTCTCCTTTCTGTCTCTTTTTGCAGCGTCAGGTCTCAGGTGAGGTCCGGATGCAGCCACAGAGCAGCTTCATCGACCCCATCGCCGTGACGATGGCCGCCCTGGGGATGGGAGTGTCTCTGTACAGCGCCAGGCAGATGGCCGACAGGGTCCACCTGAAGCCTCACCACGCCTGAGATCAGTGAGAGACACTCAGCTGCTGCAGACAGACAGACCAGTGTGTATGTGATTGTCCGTGTACGTCTCAGAGGGTTTGTGATGGAGGTCAGAGAGAGTATCGATGTGTTTGTTTGTGGTGTCGATAAAAGGAAAATCCAAGTGTGCCAAGAGGGAAAAGTGAGTCCAGTCCAGGAGGGTCTGTCGTTTAGTCAAAGATTTCACTGACAGAGCATGGAACAGTGCGGCTGTAGAGATCACATATCAGAGTTTTTCCTGCATTTTTGTGGTAAAAAAAGGACAAAAATCTCATGAAATGATAAAATAGGATGTTCACTCTGTATACAAGCTTGTTGTATTTATTCATGAGTCACAAACAAGCACTTTACCTCTAAAAGAAATACTCCTTTACTGATCTGATGAAGTTTAGCACCTGAAGACATCGTTCATCCTGAAGCAGCTTCACCTCCTTCGTCTATTTATTATAAGAAGCCTGTATAAAGTAAAAATTCACTTAAATTCACTTTTTATTGTCATAAATTTGTTTGATAAAGTTAATTCTCAATAAAAATGTTCGGTGTTTTGAAGTGTCTGTGCAGAGTTGATGTTTTTGTGACATTACACCGGTGTTTGGTTCTCAGCCTTGGCCGTGGGGAAAAGCTTTTGTGGGGAACCGAAGTTTTCAGGTGACTGCACAGTCTGAATGGAGCGAGTCATGTGGGTAAAACTCTGACAGAGGAAGTGATTTCACCGCCAGGCTTTGTGACAACAATGAGACTCCGAGGTTAAAGTCGATTTTCAGAGGGTAAAAGTATTTGTCCTCATTTACTGTCACACAGGGAGGTTTGTTTTCACTCCATGACAGATAAAATTGGAGATTAAAGGGCACAAGAGGATGAATATTGATAATCATCAGCTCCAAAATCAGAACCAGAACAACCTCTTAGAGTTTCTATCAGGCTCCACTGAGCAAATAAAAACCGGAGCAGGATGGATGGAGGTCTGACTCCGTGGGAAACAGGGATGTTGTTTTTTCTCCTCTGATGGAGGCTCACAGACGTGAAGAGGACATGAGGGCTGAGGATGAAGGCTCCATCCTGAGATCATCTTCATATAAATTTAGAAGCTCAAATGTTGGTCATTAGATTAAAGGGATATTCCGGCATAAATTTAATTAAGGGTCAAACACATCATAACACCGAGTTAGACACCCCCTCCAGAGATGAATGAAGACAGAAGACAGAATGAATGATCTCTGGAGGGCGTGTCTAACTCGGTGTTATGATGTGTTTGACCCTAAATTAAGTTTACGCCGGAATATCCCTTTAACTATATAAAACTTCATTGTTAGAACAGAAGGAGACGTTCTCACAGATGTTTTTCCAGACGATCAGATTTCTGTCTCACCCCCATAAAGGAACCAGAGAGCGGTCTGATCGATGATTGTGGCTTCAGATTCAGTCTTTCTGGGAACAGGCGGTGGGTTTCCTCCTGTTCTGGTTCATCAGACTCTCTCTCTCTCTCTCTCTCTCTCTCTCTCTCTCTCTCTCTCTCTCTCTCTCTCTCTCTCTATCTCTCTCTATCTCTATCTCTCTCTCCTCTGATTTATAAGAAGCTTTTTCAGTCTCTTTAGGTTTTTGAATGTGGCTGAAAACAGATCATGGATTCCTGGACAGATGTTTCTCCTCTGGATCACTCAGACATGGAAACACGGGTGGGGTGTTCTGCAGCATCAGTAAAGGAAAGTTTTCCAATGTCAGTCTTGTTCATGAGTTGGATCTTGAGTCTGTGCAGCTCCAGGACAGGGTGTACCTGCTCGTTCCTGTCCGTCACTGAGTCGTGCTTGCTGAAGAAGCTCTCGGTCATCCTCTCCAGCAGATGTCGCTTTTCTTTTACGCAGCTGTGCCTTTTACCAACGCAGAGAGAAAGAGAGGAAGAGAGCAGCGTGACTGATCTCTGCCTGTGGATGCTGGTACCTGATGCAAGTTGGTGATGAGAGAACTACACAAGATGGGCACAAACAAACTCCAACCGACCAGCTTTTGAACCATCTCAGCAGGAGAGCGAGTGAGGAGGTGTTCTTTTACAACCAGCAGCTGTAGATGACAAAAACGTGTTTCGTTTGGCGACAGAAACCCTTTTATTTGTGCGTAAACTATGCGTAATTTGAAGATCTGTGGGGAGTTTGTGCGTAAAAGCGCGCGTGTTCCCATGCTGGCGCACCATCCTCATCTTCATCTTCATCGGATCTCGCCCTGAGCTGCTGCAGTTCGTCCGTCAGACCTTCTGAAAACATGGCTGTGCAGCTCCGTCTCAGTCGGAGGAGCTCCGGTCCGCTTCTCTTCGCGTTTCTCTGCGTCTTCTTTTTCCTTTTCGTCTCCGTTTCCGCCGCGAGTCGTGATGTGGATCCACGAAACAACCAGACGAGGAGAAATCCGGCGACTGAGGAGGACTCTCATCACCAAACTAACTCCAGCACTCACAGGAAGGTCTTCCCCGTCCTCTCCTTCAACTACGAGCACGTCAGGAAACCTTTCGAGATCTCTCTGTGGATCCTCCTGGCTCTGCTCATGAAACTTGGTGAGTGACTCAGAAACCTCAGAGGGATTTCCTGTTGTCAAAACACGACCCACACATGACTGCTGCTGCTGCAAACACACAGACTGAAGGGAGGGGGCTCCAAAACTGACATTTATGTTGATTTTCTTGCTCTAACATTTGTGTAAATAAGTAAGTCAAATGTATTTAGTAAAGCACCTTTGATAGAAAAGATTCACAGTGTTTCACAGTAAAAAAATCAAAATACAACCATAAACATCAAATCGATAAATAGAAGATTAGAACAGAGGGAGGTAAAGGCCTGTTAGAATAAGTGAGTCTTTAAAAGTTGAAGGAACATCAGCGGGTAAATTGTTCCACTTCTTTAAAAGCATGTTGGACAGTTTGTTAAATATTATTAAGGTTCATATTTATGTGGGAAAATGTCACGCAGTCTCACAGGAGAGTGAAGAAAAACAAAGCAGAGCCCAAAATACACTGAAGACCAGCTGGTAATTAAACTCACATTCATGGGAGTGAAGATGAAAATCTAAAGATAGAAACAAAACCACCAGCTGACTGAGTTTGACAAACTTTGGAGAGCATTTAGCGACTTTATTTATAGACCCTCCTCCATATTCATACTGGAGAAAGATAGATACCCTGATGTTTTACCAAGAGGAGATGAAAACTCACCTGTAAAAACTTTCAAACAGGAAATATGTGAAGTATCTTCTGGAGAAAATGACAACTGCAGGCCTCAAACTGATCCTGATAAAGGATTAAATAGAGCTGGCAATTTGGCAAAAAAATGATCATGATATATTTGATCCTATCGTCTGATGTCGATTATTATCACATTTTTTGGGGGATTTTTTTTAAACTGCCAGTTTTTAAGCATCTGTACTAAAATCTAAACAAACTAGAGATTAGTTCATCAATTTATTAACATCCAAAGTAAATAACAAAACAAATTAAATAAGATAAACTTAGAAAAATATAAAAAAAACATTGCCAGTTTTTGAGGACAACGCCCGCCAACCATAGACTGTATAAGGAATGGACGCTGTCTGCCTCCTCGCTGGGTGAAGCCTCTCCGAGAACAGCACCCTCTGGTGACGGTCTGCAGTATAGGTCATAAATCCCGCCTCCTCCAGCAATCCTGATTCTAAATTCGCCATGTTTTTTTCCTCAAAGTCTCTGTTCTCGTTGGCGTAAACTGGCTCTCACGAGACTGTTTTTCAAGTCACCCGTAAGAAAAGAATCGTTAAGATAAAATGTAAATGATGTCGATGGATTGATCCATTTGGAACTGGTTCTCAACAAGAACCGGTTCTTGATTCCCATCCCTAATCAGGATCATATAATCGTCCAGTCCTGGGATGAAATAAAGTGACAGAAAGACCTGAGAGTTTAGAACAGGATGAACTTAATCGACTAATTGGCGTCATTTCAGCTCCAATAAGCACATCGTCTTTTTTTTTTAACATATTCACAACAGTTTGAAGGATCAGCCCCAGAAATGAAAACTTCCTCTTCACCGAGAAAAGTTGATAAACTAATCTGACTCATCTGATTTATGACACACTTTAACTCAATCATCGTGTTGAACCCCTGAATGTTCAGCGAGGACTTTCTCTGATATGGATCATGAAGTAGACGAGTCTTCTTCTGTCCTCAAGGGCTCAAACTTTCCAACTTCAGCTGCAGATGAAAAACTAGAGACTGAAATCTTGTTAAATTTCAGGCCCTGCAAGTTTATTTCCTCTCAGATGGAAACTGAGAGTGAAAAACTTTAAGAAATGAAGTTGGTGTTTTGTTTGAGACTTTCTAAAGACCCAAACTGATGTTTTTTAACTCTCTCATCTCCTGACGTTCTCACACCGTCATACAAACATGACAGCAGCAGGCAGCGACGGCTCTGATTGGCTGACCGGGCAGGGATGAAGCTCTCTGGTATCTTATCTGGTCGGTCCAGCTGCTGTCTCTGAGGGCCGCTCCGACTTCCTGTCCTAATGCACTGCTCGATAACAAAGATCCTAGTGTGCAGACTGAGAGGAGGGGGCGAGGACGGCTTCACACAGCCTGACCGCTGATGACTGCATTAAACATGGCTGCAGACTTTTGTTTCAGCCGCCGTGACCCCAAAGTCACATGACCGAGGAGCAAACGTGGAGAGTTGAGAGTGAATGAAGCAGCAGAGGAGAGAGTTTGATGTTCAGATCAGTCAGACTCCTCCTCTGACGCAGAGTGTTCAAACTTTAATGAGGTTATAAAACAGGAATGATGGAGAGGATCGGTTTTACAGTCGAGCTCAGAGACACAAAGAAATAACTTTACACAGATTTTTAATCCTGACAGACGACGTTAAAGCAGATTTCTCTTCTACCTCTCCTCCAGAGTTTTCAGAGGAGCTTCATAGTCCATAAATATTCACACTTTTTATTCCAGTTTTGTAGATTCTAACTTGAAGACTTAAAGGGATATACCTGCATAAAACAATTTAGGGTCAAACACAACGTAACACAGAGTTAGACACCCCCTCTAGAGATGAAAGTTGCCGACCGCTTGCTTCTCTAGTTAAACCAACTTTAGTAACGACCGCACGATAGCAATACACAGCGGTCTGAGGAGCCATAAACAAACCTCAACCAAAACAAACCACCTGCCACCAAACATCTTTTTAACTTTGACTAATTTCTTTAGCAAAGAGACTAAACACAACTCACCTACTCTCTTCCAGCAGCAGCTTGTTTGTATGGAGACCTCAGGCCAGTCCATTACGGACTACAGTGGGGTGACTTTACACTGAAGAAGCAGTAGTTCTTCTGTCTTAGCGTCTCGGTCTGATTGTATTTTCATGAAGAAATGATCATAAATGTTCTTCCTTGAGCTGCGGAACCCCGTAATTTGGTGTTCTGATGTGTTTGACCCTGAATCAGTTTTACGCCGGACTATCCCTTTAAACTGTGAACTCTTACAGACTAAAAAGTTGTTTAAAAAGTCGTGTTTTTCGCTCAGGTTTCCACATCATCCCCCGAGTGTCCGGTGTCGTCCCCGAGAGTTGCCTCCTCATCTTCGTCGGTTTGCTCGTTGGCGGCGTCATCCAAGCCATCGGAGAAGAGCCCCCCATCCTCGACTCCAAGCTCTTCTTCCTCTACCTGCTGCCTCCCATCATCCTTGATGCGGGTTACTTCCTGCCCATCAGGGCCTTCACCGAGAACCTGGGAACCATCCTGGTTTTCGCGGTGGTGGGGACCCTGTGGAACGCTTTCTTCATGGGCGGGATGATGTACGCGGTGTGTCAGATCGAAGGGGTGGGGTTAGGCGGCGTGGACCTGCTGTCGTGTCTCCTGTTCGGCTCCATCATTTCAGCCGTGGACCCTGTGGCTGTTCTGGCCGTGTTCGAGGAGATCCACATCAACGAGCTGCTGCACATCCTGGTGTTCGGGGAGTCGCTGCTGAACGACGCCGTCACTGTGGTGAGTGGAGCTGATGTCCGTGTGTAAATGTGTGCGAGGAGGGAAGGGAAGATGTAGGGGACGAGATCTGAGGGTGAGTTTTTCCTCCCTTCAGGTTCTGTACCACCTGTTCGAGGAGTTCTCCCACGCCGGCTCCGTGACGGTGGGTGACGCCTTGCTCGGCGTGGTCTGTTTCTTCGTGGTTTCACTGGGAGGAATCCTGGTGGGAGCGATCTACGGCGTCCTGGGCGCCTTCACCTCCCGCTTCACCTCCCACACCCGAGTCATCGAGCCGCTCTTCGTCTTCCTCTACAGCTACATGGCGTACCTGTCCGCCGAGGTCTTCCACCTGTCAGGGATCATGTCGTAAGTCACTCGGCGCCCCCGGGCTCTCTGACTTAAACAAGTTTGTGACACGCTCTGACCGTTTCCTTCCTGATCAGGTTGATAGCGTGCGGCGTGATGATGAGGCCGTACGTGGAGGCGAACATCTCCCACAAGTCGTACACCACCATCAAATACTTCCTGAAGATGTGGAGCAGCGTGAGCGAGACGCTCATCTTCATCTTCCTCGGCGTTTCCACGGTGGCTGGGCCTCATGCCTGGAACTGGACCTTCGTCATCGTCACGGTCATCCTCTGTTTGGTGTCCAGAGTTCTCGGTCAGTCTGACAAACACGACGACTAAGACGGTGAAATACTCGGACTGTGTCGTCTTCATTGGTGGTCTCCGGTGGTCTCTCTCTCTCTCTGTGTTTCAGGGGTCGTCGGCCTCACCTTCATCATCAATAAGTTCCGTATCGTGAAGCTGACCAAAAAGGATCAGTTCATCGTGGCCTACGGTGGCCTGCGAGGAGCCATTGCCTTCTCTCTGGGGTTCCTGCTGACCAACAGTGAGATGAAGCACATGTTCCTCACCGCCATCATCACCGTCATCTTCTTCACCGTCTTTGTGCAGGTCAGAGGATCAGCAGCACGTCTAAACTTCATCGGAGTATTCAAAAAAAAATTTAAATTAAATTTAAATTTATTTAAACGACGTTATTAAACAAATATTTTCATGTTATTTATCAAATATTACGGAAGCAGGATGCATTCACCGAACAAAAAAAAGCTGTTTTTCAGAGTAATTTTTTTTTCTTTTCTGTTTTTCGAACTATTTTTTTTAACTTTTGTGTTTTGGACTAATTGTTTTTCCTCTTCTCTGGGATCATGATCATTTAAAAACAGATGCTTTCACCCCCTCTGATCAGTTTATTGGATTTTAAAGTATGCCTCGCTTAGTCAGAAAAAAAATATTTCAAAAAACAAAAAGACGGAAAATAAAAAAGAAAAACAGAAAAGACAAAAAAAATTATACATTAAACAGGATCAGACAAAAAAATAGTCCAAAAAACAAAAAGACGCTAAAAAAAAAAAACGAAAAACAGGAGAAAAAATTTGTACGAAAAACAAAATAAAAAATTGTCCAGAAAACAGAAAGACGAAAAAAAAGTAGGAAAAACAGAAAGACAAAAACAGTACGAAAAACAGAATAAAAAATAGTCAGTAAAACAGAAAGACGAGTTAAAAAACATTTCGATAAACAAGGTTAAAAAAAATAAGAAAAAAAAATATGAAAAAAAAACAGTACGAAAAACAGTTTCCTTTTTTTGTTAGTGAATGCAATACGTTTCCTTTAAATAAAAAATAATAATAAAGTTAAAAAAAGACGGTTTGCCTCCTGTTTTCCAGGTTTGACTCTTCTGCTAATGTAGCGACCCCTGGTGGAGACTGAGTGTAACTGCAGGATCTGGTTGCTCGTAGTGTTTTTCAGGTTACTCTCAAAGAAATAAATCTTTTTTAAATTTTCCGCCTGACCTCCTCAGGGAATGACAATCAGACCTCTGGTGGAGCTTCTGGCCGTGAAGAAGAAAAAAGAGAGCAAAGGATCGATCAACGAGGAGATTCACACACAGGTCAGATCAGTTACTGTCGTTTTAGAGATTCAACAGATAAATTATGTCGTTTCAGAGTTTTTAAATAAAGTTTCTCCTTTCCAGTTCTTGGATCACCTGCTCACAGGGATTGAAGACGTCTGTGGACATTATGGACATCACCACTGGAAGGACAAGTAGGAGAACTCAGAGCGAGATAATCAGAAATAAGGATGTGATCGATAAACGATCCTGATGTTTGTTTTTGTTTTACTCAGGCTGAACCGCTTCAATAAGGCCTACGTGAAGAAGTGGCTGATCGCCGGCGAGCGCTCCACGGAGCCGCAGCTCATCTCCTTCTACAACAAGATGGAGATGAAACAGGCCATCATGCTGGTGGAGAGCGGCAGCACCGCCAAGCTGCCCAACGTGGTCTCCTCTGTCTCCATGCAGTGAGTGTCCCGCAGTGAATGAACTTATCCGTCGTATTCAGAAGTTTTGACGACTTTTCTTCGTCTCCGCAGAAACATTCAGCCGAAAGAGCCGGGAAGAAGACGAGCGATCCCGAGTATCTCCAAAAACCGTGAAGAGGAGATCCGGAAGATGCTACGAGGAAACCTGCAGAAGACCCGACAGAGGGTAGGACCTGCTCAGAGTTTATATTAGAAGTATGTATACTTAAAGACGACTGTAACGGTTCAGGTCGTGTTTTTTCAGCTGCGTTCATACAGCCGCCACGACCTTTTCATCGACCCGTTTGAGGACAACGTGAGCGAAGTTCGATTCAGGAGGCAGAGGGTGGAGATGGAGAGGAGGGTGAGTTCAAGTCCGTCTTAAAAATGTGGATTTTACGATCATAGCTTTTCTAGTTTGACATTTTCGTCTCTTCCACAGATGAGTCACTACCTCACAGTTCCTGCGAAACGCCAGGAGACGCCGTCTGTGAGAAAAGTCTGCTTCGAACCCGGTCAGTCAGCGAAAATCAAATGATAAAGACCTCATCACTGGAAAACTGGATATTCAGGTTTTGGTAAAGGGTTTAATTTTAATCCTCTGAATTGTATTTACATCCCAGAAAATCAGGTTTTCACCTACGACGACAGCGAGAGCCCCAAAGGCCCGCGGGCTCAGCCTCATCAGGACTCCCCTGATACCGTCAACCTGTTGGAAGAAGCACCCCAGAGAGCCAATCAGAGCGAGGCGCCGAGGGCAGCCGGGGACGACAAGAAGAGGGCGAAGGTTTCAGACGAGCAGGAGGAGCAGCAGAAACTATCACGGTGTCTCAGTGACCCGGGTCCAAAACAGGACGAGGAAGAGGACGGGTCCGGACGCTCGTGATGAAGAACTTTCACCATCATCCTCCTCCTCGTGCGTCATGTGTCGTTTCCTGCGTGTGTTCAGTCATGGGAGTTGTAGCCAAGTTTAATATTTATGAAGTTATGCTGCCAAAAAAGTGTTTTTTTTTTCCCAAAGATTTGTTTTTGCATTTATATGGAAGTAAATCTGTGCCATCTGATTTTGAATTTGATTTTTTTAAGCTGATTTTTTAATCAGACTTTGAATTCCAAACAAGCATTTTTATTTCTTACACTTATTTTTTTCACAATGATAAAATAATAATAATAATAATTAGTGTAGAAAAAAAATCGGTCTCTCAAAATATTCATGTAGTAAAAATTCGACTAAAAAAAGTTTGTAAAAAAAAATTCAACATAAAAAAAATTCAGTGTCAAAAAATTTAGTGTAAAACAGACCGACTTAACATTCGGATAATTACGGAGAAGGAATCGATTCCTCTGGGGTTGGTGTCACATGACCAATCTAGCTTTATTTGATTGGCTGGACGATGGATGATTGAGTCAGGAATCGATTACTCTCCCTGGTTACCGGGATCTTGAGTCGGTCTGTTTTACACTGAATTTTTTTTACATTAAATTTTTTTTTATGTTGAATTTTTTTTTTCACAGTTTTTTTTTTAAGTTGAATTTTTACCAAACAAATCTTTTGAGTGACTCAATATTTTTCATCATTGTGAAAAAATAAGTGTCAGAAATTAAATTGCGTTCTTGAAATTCGATGGTTTTGAAATTCAAATTCAAAATCAGATGGCACAGATTTACTTCCAACGTCTGGGCTGTTTACGATGTTTCACTACGTTTACAGCGCTCAGCTCGTGGTACATCAGCCTGGAGTGAACTCTGTGTGTCTTAATAAGCAGATCTCTGATTTTTGTAGTTGATTGATTTAAACACAGTATAAGGAGACAGTTCAATCAAACTGGATTATTGATCTCGGCTGATATTACAGTCATTATTATCCGCGCACACACACGTCAGTATTAGCACAAATCTGAGGACAGAAGTTTGAAGATTTACCTGAGAAATCTACGAGGAAATCTGGAAACAGGAAAATCAAATAAAAGAGGAATAATGATATTTATTAAAGAGAAATAAGATAAATAATCCCACTCTATATGTGTATTTCCATTCAAAGATGGATGTGTTGTTTACTGATGGTGCCTTTGGGACTTTTTTTTAACATATAGCACAAACTCCGCACTTATCTTTGTCAAAACAAGAAGAAAAAATTGGGTTGATGCCAACTTAATGAAGAAAGTACAGAAAGGGGATTAAGGCCGCTGGAAAAAAATTATATAAATACTTTTGTGGTTATTTAGAAAAAAAAAAAATTCTCAGAATAATAAACACATATTTATATTGGACCTTTTTTTCCATGGTGTGTTCAAGTTTCCTCGGAGTCAGATGTCGGAGCTGAAAATGACGTCACACCCGAGTTCCCAGCGTTTCAGTTACCAAGTCAGAAAAAAGCAAAATCGGAGGCGGAAACAAGACGGCGACAATATTGCTACGAAAGTTATTTTTGCACTCACCTTCCGTAGATGTAGCCATCTTGTTTTCCTTTTTTCTGACCTGGTAACTAAAACGCTGGGAACTCGGGTGTGACGTCATTTTCAGCTCCGACATCTGACTTCTGATGTAACTCGAACGCAGCGTAATCCTCCTCTGTAGGAACGTGACCTTTGACCTCTCCTTTTTATCGTTATCTGCCTTTTAAATACTAACCGATCGACTGTTTGGTTGAGTATTATAAAACCAGAGAGAGTTAAAGTGTTTTAGCACAAATTTACACTCCGAGAATGTAAGAATCACCTTAAAGTCTCTGAGTAAATATCAGATGATGATTGTAAATGAGCTTCAGTTCTGTATGTAAAATCGCTGCATGACTGAATCTCAGGGAACTGCTGCCCGGCTCAGTATTAACAAAAAAGAGGAAGTGTTTCTGTTGAATGTGCTCCGTTATTATTTATTTCTGGTTGGTGTGAGCTCCAGAAACATTCCAGCTCATGTCTGTGTTTCTATATCTGAGCATGAAGGCCAAACGAGGTGAATCACCTCTTCATATCTGCTCTGAACTGCCTGAGTTTTCGCTGCCTGAATGTTTGTCTTAAAAATGTTCGTGCTTCCCGTGTGTGTTCGGCAGGTGAAGTATTTTTATATTTGAAGAAAAGTCTTTAAATAGTGAATATTGTCAAAGAAGAAAAGCTTTAATACCTGAAGGAAATAAAAGGTACGCCATTGCCTACATCGATTATGTCCTCTCTGTTTCTGTTACACCACTCTGCCTCTAAGTGGAAATTTCTGTACAAATAACAGGGAGTTTGAAGTCCCTGACATGCCAACCAGCTGTGTGTGTGTGTGTGTGTGTGTGTGTGTGTGTGTGTGTGTGTGTGTGTGTGTGTGTGTGTGTGTGTGTGTGTGTGTGTGTGTGTGTGTGTGTGTTTGAGGGGATAAGAAGAAGAACAACAAACATCCTCAGGCACAAGCAGACAGACATGGACTTTAACGGCACCTGGAAAGTTTACTCAGAGGACAATCTCGACGATTTCTTAAAAGCTGTCGGTAAGTATTTATTTAAAATCACTGCCTGTGTTTTTATCGTTGATTATTTTTAGATACCTCCTCTTCCAGGTGCTCCTGACATGGTGGCGAAAATGCGAAGGGACAACAAGCCGGTGATTGTGATCGAGCAGAACGGCAAAGACTTCACCTGCACCGTGAAGACTCCTCTGGTGACTAAAGTTCACTCGTTCACCATCGGGAAGGAGACGGAGTTTACCGCTGTGGACGGGAGAAAGTTCAAGGTAAGTTCAGCATCAATCAACCATGAGTCTAAAATATGATGGAGCATGTCTTGAGTATGCATTTTGGTGTCTCATCCACCTCAGACCAGTCGTTTCTCATACATTTATTATCAATCAAAAGTCTTAGATCAGCTCCTTCTCTGAGGTTTTCTTGTGTGTGTGTGAGATCAGTGCGCAGTCAGAGAGGAGAACGGGAAGCTGATTACTGTGTCTGACAAGTTCACCTCAGTCCGTGAGATCCAAGGGGACGAGATGATTGAGGTCAGGTGCTTTATTTACTTTCAAACCTCCACATGCAGTGTCTCTGAGTTATTTCAGGTGGAATTTTTATGTTTCGTCTCTGACTTCTTACTCTTGCAGACCATGACTGCTGGCTCTGTGACGTTCATCTCCAAGAGCAAACGGGTCTGATCTCACCGAGAGGCTTCAGAAGTACCTCAAAGTTTTTCAGCTTTGATCAATTTGGCCATAACATGATTTAAATAAAAATAAGACATTTAGGAATAAAGTTCAGTGTTTGTTTTATTCTTCTCAGTGGAGTTCAGGACAGAAAGAGAACTTAGTGGTTTATTTTAGAGAGAATAATCATTAATAAACAGAGACTGAAGGAGAGGTGGCAAATGCACCAAGAGAAAAAGACGATAGTTTAACAGAATCTAAAGGAAAGTCAGTAAAATATTGTGTGTGATGTTCAAAAAGAGAAATTGAACAGACTAAGATTTTGACAGACGGGTTTAAACACATAATACATTTTTTAGTAGCTAAACAAAACAGGCAGATGTGACAATGATTGGCAGAAAGAAACAGGAGCATATTTTTCTATGCTGTCAGAAATATAGGGCAGGAAAACAAAGGTGCTGCTTTCACACTCAGAACTTTTAGTGCAACAGGGCTAATTTTTTATTTATTGTGTTGTATTTTTACTCTTGGCTTGGAAACAGACTTGGGTACTGATTTCGTACCACAGACTGTCGAAGGTGTGGGGTATGACAAATAAAGTTCCTTGAATCCTCAAAGAAGAAATTGGATTCAAAACCTCAGAGGAATATAAGTTTATAAGAAAAAGAAAACAAGTATAGACCGACGGCAAAGGTAAGTTGATTTAAATCACATAAATTATTTCATTGTTTATTTAAATGCCTGTGATTTATTATTATTATTACCCAGTAATTGACACAACTGAACAGATCTAATGCTAAAACACTTAAACAAATTTAATGATATAAAATTTAGTTAAAAGCTAAACTAAAAAGGTTTGTTTTCAGTTTGTTTTTAAAATCATTCAGATTAGTTTCAGTCCTCAGGTCTTCAGGTAAGCTGTTCCATAGACGGGGGCCTCAGTGATAAAAAGATGTCTCACCATATGTCTTGGTTTTAACTTTCTGTAATGTTAACAGAGAACTTCCTGAAGACCCGAGGGCTCGACCTGACTCATACAGTAAAAGAAGATCAGATAAATAAGATTAAGAGCTTTAAAAACCAATAAAACAAATTTAAAATCTAATCTAAAAGAGAAGGGTAGCCAATGAACATGTCACAGCACTTACCAATCAGATGTTAGGAAATCAAAATAAATGTAAATAAACCTCATAAACACATTCTGCATAATCTGCTAACCCTCACAAACAGCTGCAGAGAAAAGCATTTAAACTTGTAAATATGAACATGTCAACACTTAGTGAATAGTTCTCTGTATGAATTCTATAAACTCAATTTTCAAGCCTGTATACAGTCTATGGCCTCCTCCAGTAGGTGGCGGAAACGCTCCAAATTTTCTCTTCCAACAAAGCCACAAAGAAGAAAACGGAAGGCGCCTTCTTGACGCGCATGCGCCGCATTCTTTAGCCGCAGTAGCTTTTTCCTCTCTAATATTTGCACATTTTTTTCCGCGGACTGAGTAAAACTGTATGGCCAGATACATGAGGCCTCCAAATACGTCTTTGTTTGTCCGAAACATCTCTGATGAGTCCAGGTGAGTCCACGATCTGACGCGGGAAGCTGCAGATTAGCTTGTGATGCTAATTTACTCAGATTACGTTAAATTGACTGAGCTAGCTGCTGCTGTGTTAGCTCGTTAGCTAGAGCTAGCTTAGCCGAGTAACGTGTAACAGAGGAGCTGAATGTGAGTCTTTAAAACCAGAATTTAGTCACTGAATTAAAACAAAAATGACGATTTTCACTGATTTAAACCTCTTTAAGACGATAGCAGCTAAATTTGGCTCACTAACATCTAAAAACGGCGTTTTTAACGACAATAAAGTTAATAGTTTTGGTCAAAATGAACCTTTATGTGTTTCCTAACAGTAACAGAAAACATTAAAAATCCTTTAAAAACGGTGTTTTTTATATCTGAAATGATGGTGTTTAAATAAAAAAAGGTTTCCGAACACAAAAACTGTATCAAATCTCCTAATGTGCGGATTTTATGTTAGTTTTATAAAGTCACATGTGCTCACAATTTAACCAAATCTGTAAGTTTCCATAACCTGATTAATTTAATCGGCTGTGATTTTGCATTAAGTTGAACAACGTATATACAAGGGCCTGAAAAAGTAGCTTTTCAATGTTACATTTTATTAAATCCACCTTAAAACCAAACAAATCAGTTCCTCATGTTAGAGAGTTAAAAATCTGTTTATCATTTAAAGTAAAATTGTCAACCATTTTAAACAGGTACAAACCTCTAAGACACATTTTTAAAGATATATTAAAATAAAAAAAAACCTTCAGTGTTCATGTGCACATCAAATCACGATTTAAATCACAATTTAACTAAATCTTTAAAAGATTTGAAAATAAGATAAAAGATTAAAAGTTAAACAAAAGGCTGAAAAGACAAGAAGTCGAAATAAGATGACGTGGGACTGATTGCACAAACTGAAACTGCTCAGATGCTCTCCAGGGTTTGCGAAGCATGCTGTATTCTCTTTTCTTCATGTTAACACATTAACTGAAAACTTGACCAGCTATAGTGATAAAAGTCCAATCTAAACATTCTGTGGAAATCTAACCTGAAGGGCTAAATAATGCTGCATCTGCTCATGGTTAAGACATGTAAATAAGTGTAAAGGAACGTGCATGTTTGAAGACCTTTTTCACCCCGAAGCACATCAAAAATATTTAAATACAGAATTTAAAAAAAGGGAAAGATAATGTTTTAAAGGCTGAGAAACAGTTGATAGTTGGAGATTTTTTTCAAAATGTGACGGTTTGATGGTTATTACAGCTTTTTCGTTATATTAGCTTTTTTGACAGGACTAATGTTTTCTGGATTAACGTGTAAATGATCTGCAGTCAGTGTTTAGAGAGGTTTTAGGTCCAGTGAACACTATCAGATGCCTTAAAGGGATATTCCGGCATAAAATTAATTTAGGGTTGAACACACCGTAACACGGAGTTAGACACCCCATCGAGAGATGAATGTTGCCGACCGCTTGCTTCTCTAGTTATACCAACTTTAGTAACGACCGCAGGATAGCGATACAGAGAGCCACGTGCTCAACCAAAACGCCACTCTATAGCCACAAATAATGCTCAGAACAGCACCTAACTTCATCAACAGGACATATAGGGTCCCAGCAGCCGCTTGTTTGTTTGTTGCAAGTCCATTACGGACTACAGCGGGGTTTCGCAGCTCAAGGAAGAACATTTATGATCATTTCTTTATCATTTCCTCTAAGTAATAATCATCACATTTATGAAATGATTATTAATTGTTCTTCCTTGAGCTGCGAAACCCCACTGTAGTTCGTGATGGACTGTCCTTCCAGCTGCTGGAAGAGAGTAGGTGAGTTGTGTTTAGTCTCTTTGCTAAAGAAATTAGTCAAAGTTAAAAAGATGTTTGGTGTCTAGTACTATGGCTGGGACTCTATATGTCCTGTTGATGAAGTTAGGTGCTGTTCTGAGCATTATTTGTCGGTGTCAGTTTAACTTGTCGGTGTTACAGTGTGTTTGACCATAACTTAATTTTACGCTGGAATATTCCTTTTATTGTCCATTAAAAAATAAAAGCTGAGATATGATTTGACAGTTCAGATAAAATTTCCTCAGCTGTTCTAAACTTTTAAAGAAATTAAACTGGAGGACTTAGAGATATCACCCCCTCATATATAGAGACATATTCAGCCTTTAGTTTCTGCAGCAGCAGGTAAGTGTTGTTGTGTTTCGGGGTGAACTCTCTCCCTTAGGCCGTCTCATGAGCTGCTCTCTCTCTCTCTCGGCTGTTATTTCTGGTTGATGATGTGGGTAGAGTGATACTCAGATGAGTCATACTTGTATTTACGGTGTTCAGGCCTGAGGATTTGCGGCGTGAGTTTGGCCGCTATGGGCCGATAGTAGATGTCTACATCCCACTTGACTTCTATACACGTCAACCAAGAGGATTTGCATACATTCAATATCCTTTCCCAATGAGTTTGTTTTTGACTGACTGTGCTCTTTCTAACCACTCATTTTAATTTCTTTCAGCGAAGAAGACATGCTTTTTGTTTTTTGAACTTAATTTGATTAAATATCTAACACACATATTTCTCTGTTATTGCTTCAGAAAATGTAAAAGCATCCAGTTGTGGAAACCGGCCACAAAGAGTAACAAAGACCCGTGTAGAATAGCTGTAAAGACAAGTCACAAAGACCTGCAGGATCAGAGAGAGGGGAAAGATTGAAAAGAGAAAGTAAAGCATGAAGAGGAAAAGGGAACGGAGACAAAGCTCGGATATGACGGCAAAGAATTGGGAAAAGAAAAGAGTTTTAAGAGGAAAAGACAAAGCAGGAAAAACCCCGAGTCTCTGTGGGAGTCGGTTAAAGAGTGTAAAGATCAAGATGAAGTCAAAGTCAAGCAAAAGGTAACAAGTCTGAATTATTTTGTATCCTCCCAAGACGAATCCACAAATTTGACAACAAAATCAGCTTTCCCTGTGATGTCCATGACATTTTGATCTTAATCAAAGCACTTTAATCAGCTATCTGTGTTTGATTTGTTTTTATATTTGTAGTCCTGATCCCCCAGAACATATTTTTGATGTTTGAAAAGCTTGCTTCATCTTTTATCTTTTGACAAATCAACTGAATGTGTTTCTTTTGTTGCCTGCTGCACCATAGTATGTTCTTTAATATATGTCCTAATCTCTAAGTGTTTTTTGTATTTGAAATCAGGCCACACAAATTTAAAGAAAGTTTAAAGAAACCCACATGTGCTAACGTTAACAATGTGAGCATCAGAAAAACTCCATGTGTAATTGTTCGTCCTTTGCTCACTTGACTTTTTTAAAAGAGAGAAAAAGTAGAAGCTTTATTTGAGTTTGTGTGGTCGCACCAAACACGAGAGAAATCAAACCCTTAACCAGCCAGCACATTCGAGGATGTGCGAGACGCGGAGGACGCCCTTCACAGCCTGGACAGGAAGTGGGTCTGTGGCCGGCAGATTGAGATCCAGTTCGCCCAGGGTGACAGGAAGAGTAAGTGTTTCGTGTTTGTTTTAAATCAACCACGCCTTCGTATTATCACTGCCTTTAAACTCAAACTTCAGGAGAGGTCGGCTGAAACCACCGTTCACACACACAGCCCTGACCTGTCCTGCTAATGTCCTTCACAAACATCGACTCTTTAGCGACTTTCACCTTCAGCATAAAGACCCAAACATCACTGTTCCCTTCTCTGTTAAAGTCATAGTTGACGATCGTAGAAAACTGAGTCGTTGAGGCAGATCTGACACAAACCTCTCCCCTCTGTGCTCCATGATAACTCCCCCCTGAACCTGTATCACCCTCCCCACGACACACCCCCTCTGGCAGAGCCGGCAGAAGATCCTACGCTAGCTTCAAATGGGATTCACCATGTCGGATTGTTAGTGACTAGCCGCAGTAAACGCCAACCAGGACCTTAAACAAAAAGGAGCTTTGAATTAAGGTGCAGTTTGTCGCCCTTCACACAGACGGGTGATTAAAATCTCTAATTGTCGTCTGTGGCTTTAATCGTCCCACATGAGCTTGTTTTTTTTTTCCCTGTTGTGTGTAATCACCTATCGAGACGGGAAAATACACATCATTTAACATTTAAGTTCACAGCTCACTGTTAACAAGTGCAGCAGCAGCTCCGATACAACACACATAAACTAACGTGTATTGATTTTGAAAGGTTCACTTCCAGTTTACTCTGTGATTCAGTGAATGTTTACTACCCGTGAATTCAGTGACCGTCCCCGACAGATTATTGTTTGGTCATCTTAGCCGGTCAAAGAGGGAAAAACTGGTTCGACTGGAGTTCAAGGTCCATGTTTTCATCCGCAGTTATCAGACCCTGGACCCGTCTTTTTCATGGTTCTGCCTGTTCTAGTTTTCATTCAAGACAAAGAAACTGTCTGTTCTCATCAGCTCCGAACCAAATGAAATCAAAGGAGCGGCGATCTCCAGGCAGATCCTCTCGATATGATGACTACGATCGAGACAGCCGACGCAGACGCTCACGCAGCCGCAGCTATGAACGGTACAGATCGCGCAGCCCGTCGTATGAACGTCATCGTAGAAGATCCGAGAGTCCTCGAGAGTGAGTTTGTCTTCGAAAAGTGTCTCATACTTTATTTGATGTTTCTTGGCGCGAGAAAATAACCTCTGACTTTCTTCAGGTCTCGTGGACGAGCGTACAGAAGAGGAAGAAGCAGGAGCCGTGAGGATGACAGGTTCATCTTTTTCCCCTGAGAAGAACAAAAATATCAAATTTGACTCGAATAAAAATCCGGTTTTAACTTTGGTGTATCTTCAGGTACAGACATAGGCCGCGCAGAGAGTCCAGAGGCAGATCTCGCTCCCGCTCCAAGTCTGCGTCTCCACGAGAAAATGTCAACCCGGCGTCGACCTCCCATTACACCGAGGAAGAAGTGCACCAGACTCGCTCCCCGTCCCACTCCAGATCTCGCTCCGCATCCAGATCCCGCTCTCGCTCACGCTCCCGGTCCCGATCCTGGGCGGGGCGTAAATCAGGAGGTCGCTGAAAATAAAAGTATTTTCCCTGTTTCATCTGTCATGAAGTCCGCTGGACCTGGAGTCGATCTTTGTTCGTTTTGACATGAATGTAACGTCCACTGAACCATCTGTAGAGAGCTTTGTCTTTTTCTGCAGCTCCATTTTAAGAACCATGACGATGGTCCTCTGCTCGGTTTTTTAAGGTTGTTTTGGTGAGATTTCCCCCGATAGGAATAAGAAATGGTTGATTTCTGTGTTCAGTGGTAGACGGCAAGGACTTTGTCTTTAATTTTTAATTTAACAAAGTTGATGGCATTTTTTCCCTCCGGATCTCTTTGCACCCTTTTTTCAAGAAAATTAAAACCTTCAGTATTTGAAAAGCAATCCAGTCTGTTGACGAAGCAAACCATCATTTCTGTGTGTTTTATCCCCGTTACTGCTTATCATACTTTTAATAAAGCGCTAATCTTTTTATAAACAGCCAGAGAACATTTATATCTTTACATTTTTAACCTTCCTTTAGCCGCAGATTTTCATTTATTTGTATTTATTTTATATGTACGTTCATCTCTAAAACCTTAGGAAGTAATCTGTTAGAGAATCATGGGAATTGCAGGCTGTAATGTGATCTGCTTTACTGCTACTTTAAGAAGAAAACGGTTCCAGAGCTCAAGAGAGAAACAATAAAGCAGAAATTTGCGTAAAGAAGTATGTGAGCAGAGAGGTAAAATTCACAGAAATGTGGTTTTGGTCCTTTAAAGTGTTAAAATTCTGTCCACCAGTGACTTTAACCACAAACTGTTAAAAAACCGTTTGATAATCTGTTTTTTTTTTTTTTTGTGGTGTTTTCTGTACAATCTGACCTCTTCAAAAAGATGTTTTATTTTTGGAATAAGTCTCCTTAATGTTCTGTTCAGAGAGGCAGGGAAGTTTCTTATCGGTGTTTACGACTGTGTTGATGGTATCTCGACCTGAATTTTGTCACTGCATGTTTTATTCTCTTCTATCTTTAGTAGGAAGAAGCTGTTATTTTGAGTAATAAATGGATAACATTCAGTATACATAAACAGCGTGGGACTTCATTTGTTCATTTCACCCTCGCACCAGAAGGATTCAGAAATAGAGGAAGGAGTGATCAGGAGTCATCAAGTCCAATAAGTATTTGACAGTTTTGTTAAAGTGGTTCTCCGCGAGTCCAGCACAGTTAAAGTAACTCCAGCCATGCTCATTGATTTCCTTTTAATGGATCCGCTGCTGGGAGGAATAACTTGAATTAGTTGCCCAGTGAAAAAGCAACCATGTGTAAAATCGGACGTGCCCCATTGATCGAGTATTGAAGAAAACATTGATCATACTGGCAGTGTGAGGTGATGGTGAGTTTTTAAGTGAGGAGCAGCCGGTATGAACTGCAGCACAGGGTTAACTACGGATAGAGAAGAGAACAAGCTGCACATGTGACAAGTTTGTTTACGTAAGGGTAGAAGATGATTGGACGGTGCATCCAGGTGTGTATGCAAGATATGATGGGGTCAGGTAGTGTTAAAAAATGTAACCAGAGTTCCCTATGGTTCTTTTACAAGTGTATAAAACTTAAACATAGTTCTCTATAGATGCTCCTTTTCAGCCTTAAATGTAAACAAAGCTTGATATGGATACTGTCTTAGTATATGAAATGTAAACAAAACTCCTTATGGTTGCTCTTTTTTAGTCTAGAATGTAAACAAAGTTTCCGGTGGTTGCCCTTTTTTAGTCTTAAATGTAAAGAAAGCTCCCCATGGTTGCTCTTTTTTTCATTCTTAAATGTAAACAAAGTTCCCTATGGTTGCTCTTTCAGTCAAAAATCTTCACAAAGTTCCCCGTGGTTCTTTTTCAGTCTAAAATGTAAACAAAGCTCCCTGTAGTTGCTTTTCTTATGGTGTAAAAAGTAAACAAAGTTCTCCCTTAGTGTATAAAATGTAAACAAAGTTCCCTATTATTCCTCTCTAGTCTGAAATGTAAACAAAGCTCCCTGTAGTTGCTCTTTCGGAATCTTAAAAGTTAAACTGAATTTGCGTAGCTGCCTTTTTTGGTGAAAAGGTGTAAAAGTTTCCCCTGGTTATTTTATTTTTTTTCAGGATAAAAAGTAAACAAAGTACCTTATAGATACTGTTATAGTTGATGAACTTTGAATAAATGTCCTTTTTTTATGTCTTCATGTTTGGTTGTTTAAAAGGCTCTGAAGGATCCTGAAGTTTGTTTTTTTATAGGTGAGATGGTGTATGTAGATATTCTCCTCAGTGTAATTAGGCTCTGCCTCAGGCCCCCTTTTTAATGGACAGTCTAGAAAAAAATCCAAAAGAAAGCAATCAAACACCTGGACCAACAGCTCCACCTGAAACTTCTGACTCCTTTGAGCTGTCAAAATAACTCCGATTTAAGTCAGACCTTTGTCTGTGCTGAGATATTTCTCACGTTCACAAAGAAAGTTCACTCAGATAAACTCCGGACTATTTCCAGCCTGTTACTTCATACTAAGTCAGACTATCGATCCACCTCAGAGCCGGTTCATGGTATGTATTTTCACCCGACATCACAGGAATCTCAGACGAGCTGCACCAACCTAGTGCACCGTTTCTGACCTTTTGACCATTTTGTGATTTCACCGGATCAACCAAGTTCAGGGTCCTTTGAGTTCAACCACAAACGGGCGTCAAACGATTGAATATTTTGAAACGCATTTCACCCCTCACCACCGGCAGGGAGCTGGCAGTGAGTCCATCACACTGCTGCGAGGGAAATGGCAACAGAGCACGGCAACATTATCGATTGTTCTCTCTCTGGTTAGGACTTCGGGACAGCCAAAGCCGGCAGGGCTCAGTTGTTTTTGTACGGTTTTCAACACCAGTGTGGACTAAAATCTCTCCCTGTACAAAGTCGTTCGTTTTTTTTTTTTTAAGGGAGTAAAGAGGATGAGGGATGTGTTTGTGTGACTGTGTTCAGCAGCATCAGCAGCAGCATCTTTGCCAAAGGCCTGTAGTGCACACTTCTACATCCAAGATGGAAGGTAAGTCAACTCCTTTATAAAGAGACCTGATAGTTTTATAAATGTCCTGTAATTTAGCCAGGAAACAACAGTGGGTTGACAGTAATGTGTGTCAGCTCTACATGGTGTTGTTCTACTGTTTTTCAGTGGACAATAACACCAGTTTTAGAAGATGGTATTCAAATCCTCATGGATCGACATCTATCCGACTGGAATCAAACTGCGAAATTTGACCAATATCTTTGAAGGTGTTTGGTTAAAATGCATCTACACTTTGTCGAACACCAAATACTAGAGTGTGTTCAGTTTATATCTGCATATCCAGACGCTCTGTCATCTGGCCTCTTTTGTCTTCTGCGGTAGAACTTCTGAAGTAAAAAATGGGAGACTGGAACTTCCTTGGAGGGATCTTGGAGGAGGTACATATCCACTCCACCATGGTGGGGAAGATCTGGCTCACCATCCTGTTCATATTCCGGATGTTGGTGCTGGGAGTCGCAGCGGAGGACGTCTGGAACGATGAGCAGTCTGATTTTGTCTGCAACACTGACCAGCCCGGCTGCCGCAACGTCTGCTACGACCAGGCCTTCCCAATCTCCCTAATCCGCTACTGGGTGCTGCAGGTGATTTTCGTCTCCTCGCCCTCTCTGGTGTACATGGGACACGCCATCTACCAGCTGCGAGCGCTGGAGAAGGAGCGCCATTGCAAGAAGGTGGCTCTCCGCCGTGAGCTGGAGGCGGTGGACGCAGAACTGGTGGAAGCACGAAAGAGGATCGAGAAGGAGATGAGGCAGCTGGAGCAGGGGAAGCTCAACAAAGCTCCACTGAGGGGATCTCTGCTGTGCACTTACGTGGCCCATATTGTCACCCGCTCTGTCGTGGAAGTCAGCTTCATGATGGGTCAGTACATTCTCTATGGACACCGTCTGAGGCCGCTTTACAAGTGTGAAAGAGAGCCCTGCCCCAATGTGGTGGACTGCTTTGTGTCCAGGCCCACAGAGAAAACCGTTTTTATGATGTTCATGCAAGCCATCGCCTGTATCTCCCTCTTCCTCAGCCTCCTGGAGATGATGCACCTTGGATTCAGAAGGATCAAGAAAGGCATCCTGAACTACTACCCTCACCTGAAAGACGACCTGGACGATTTATACGTCAACAAGTCAAAAAAGAACTCAGTCGTGCATCAGGTTGGTGTGGGCACAACTGTGAGTCGCAAGACCACGATCCCCACAGCTCCATGTGGATACACGTTACTGCTGGAGAAGCAGGGCAATGGACCCAACTACCCCCTTCTCAACGCTTCCTCTGCTTTTGTCCCAATACAAGGAGACCCTGGTGTCAAACCAGAGAGTCACAAGGACAGCAAGGAGGGAGTGCCGAGCCCCACGGAGCAAAACAGCAACTCCAACAACACCAGCAGTGAGACTTGTTCCCCTCCGGCAGACAAACTGGACGAGCCAGAAGAACAGTCCCAGCATGAGGACATGGACTGTGGGGGCTCTGAGTATCCCACCCTCCCTGTAGCCGACACCCCCTCCAGTTCAGCTGGATTCCCCAGGAAGTCCCGGAGGGTCAGTCCACCATGGAACCACTCCACTCTGGTGGAGGGGAACGGCTCAGACAGCGGAGATTCGTACCACGGCAGAGACAGCATGAAGCATCGGAGCAGCTCCACCGGACCGAGAGCGAGGGTGCTCTCTAAATCAGACAGTAGGAGGCCGAGCGGGTCTCAGAGCCCGGACTCTGGGGGGGAGCTGAGCTCTGTGTCTCGACACAGCCGGGAGAGCAACAGCCCGACCATCTCCTCCCCAAACCGCAGAGTGTCAGCAGGGAGCAGCGCCAGCAGCAGACGAGCTCCAACTGACCTGCAGATATAAACCAAAGACTGACCGATGGTGGTGCGGCAACAGACGCTCTCTGGGGTCACACATTTGGAGTTCCTCTTTGACTAACTGCAGTGAGTGTTACACTCCTGACACCAGAAGAGCAGCCTTTATAAACATATTTGAAAAGAAGCTTCTAGAAAACATCTACTTTCTGATTAAACTGGTTCTCTTTCCTTTAATTTCCAGGTCTGATGGGCTTTTAATGATTTTGTTGTGTGCAGCAACTTTGAATGATTAAAGGGGAATGGAAAACCGGCTCACAGATCCATAATGTTGTTTTAGGTCATGTAGCGTCGTTATGCAACCAAAAACTGTCACATCAGCTCCAAGTCTGATTTAACTCCACCTGTTTCTACAAATCTGTACGTCCTTCAGCAACATTTAACCTAAACATAATCTGTTCTGGAAGTCAGAATATTTGATAGATATTTGGTGTCAGGAACACCAAATATCTCTGTGTTGAGTTCTTTTATTTTTGAGATTTTAATTTTTCACCCGGCACATGAGCGACCTCCAGATCACGACTCAATTTGAAGAGTTGAAAAGTTGTGTAAGCAGCGACACGTTACCCCTGTCCCAAATTTCCTGAAGCGTGTTGCTGGTGTCAACTTTAAATGAGCATATAGTGCCTGACTGTTCCATAAAATAATGTTATTTTCAGTTTCAACAACTTATTGGTTGTCTTTGCACTTTTTCAAATAAATACGTACGAATTAAATCTGTTCTTATCAAAGTTATACACAGTTGTATTATTAGAATTGTATGGAGAAAAAAATGTTTTTTACTAAATGCACACTCATGATATCGATTTGTATGTCTTAAGAACAGTTAACAGAGTTGTGTTAAGTAATTCTTTTAATGTATTTATTTGAGATGAGTGAGTGACTGTAAGCAGATTGTTTTTATCATTTGGAAATTAAGAAAATTAAGAGAAAAAGTTACGCCAAATACTGAAAAAAAAAACATTTTTATTTTTTTTACGTAACAAAAAATAACTGTGATTCAAAGTTCACTGTACACCCCTGACATGTAATAAACAAACATATTGTAAAAGGGAAAAAAAAACAAAAAGAAGTGATTTTTTCCATGCTCTTCTTTTGTCGCCCCATTAATTCTTCAGTCTACTCTGCAGCTCCATCTTCAGGCAGCTGTTCGTACTGCATCAGCTGGAAAGGAGACAGTGGCAGAGACATCAGGGGTTACAGAGAGGTTACCCAAGCTGCAGTTAAGACGGAAACATCGGCAGCTTTTTACCCTGTTTCTCAGCTCTTTGTTCTCCTCCATCAGCAGGTTGTATTTCTGTTGTAGATCAGCCAACTCCATACGAAGAGACTCTGTATCCGCCGACCCAGAACCAGCTGCTCCAAGGTGAAGGTTTATGAAACTGCTGCTGGTTAAGGTCAATCTGCTAAGTCTACAGAACTACAGGTGAGCTGAGCTATGAACACTACTGAACAGCTGCTAATGATCTCGTGAAATTGTACTTATCCAACCAAAGCAAAAGACAAAGTCCGGACAACAGCAAATCTTCACAAGTCCATCACTGTTGGATATTTGTCAGCTGTTGACTGAAAAATGTTTTTACTGGTTGCAGCTTTGAAACATTCATGCCAACAGTTTTCTGTCTGCAAACAAGTTTTTTGGTCTGAACACAATTCTAATCAAACTTATGACAGACTAAATTCACTTTCAAGAGTGAAAAATGTTTTTATTGTAAATAAATGTCTAACTCCTTCACCTGTGTACTTCTAACCATCACAGACTCTATAAATTGATGCCCATCTCCTAAATATTTGATCACATGATCAATTTCTTTTACCATTTCTAAGAATCAAGGGGTGGTTCATCCTACCCCACTCTCCCCTATTTCACAAAGATACTCCAGTGCATTGTTGGGTTTGTCAGCCTCCTCATAAAGTACCACTAAAACTGCAAAAGAGAAAGGACAAAATAATGAAACAGGAGAAACAGTTAGATTTACACTTTCCTTTGGATGCATTAACACAGTAATGAATAACGTTTTTAAACAGGATCATACCCACCGCTTGTTAAAGTGTCAATAACCCCGGACTTCTCTAGATATCTTCTAAATTGTTCCCGCTTCGACTCGGAGGCCTAAAGAATAAAACAAGTCACAATTTTACCGAGTTATCCAAGTCATGAGCGCAGTACTGAGAGGCTGCAGGTACATTACTGCTATGCTAGCTAGCAACTGCTGTAGGTTATGAAGCTCGGACCGCGTACAAATACGTTAAAATAACAAACATTTGACGTTAGACTCACTCTATAATGGGCCATGATGCGACGATAGTCCTGTAAACTGTATACTGGTGGGGGAAACAACAATTCTGGTCCAAACGAGCTCCTGATAGCTCGGAAAAGATGTTCGCTTCAGCCGCCAACACGCAGGAGACACACTATCGTTTCCATAACAACACATGACAAATGGCCGTTACTGTGCGGAAATACGTTTATTTCCGATAAACTGTGAAAATAGGTTAAAAAGCCGAAATTTAAGTGATTAATAAGCAGTAACATTTAATTCGGCTTCATTCTGTGGTTATATTTTAAGCAGATAGATGGACACAGCGAAGAAAGGTTATGGGGAGACTGTGAACGACTCGGCCTTTTAATTCGACTCCCGCAGGTGAACCGAAATAAGTTAATTTTTACAACCACATCACAGAAGCCCTGCTGTTTCCTCTTAATAATAGAGTTGAAATTCCAATTTCTTCAACCAACAACAGGGGGCGGAGCAGCCGATGGTCAGCTGCTGGGACGTCACTTCCTTTAAATCGATCTATAAAACACGCGTGTAGCCTTCACGAGCGGAGGTGGTTCAGTCGAATGTTTTGTAGATCGGTTCTTGGATGCCGTATTTTCATGTGACTCTTTGCTGCTGCCGAGAAAAACAGAAACACTTCACTCGTTTCCTCGCCGGCTGTGATGTGACACAAATCCTCGACTTTTATGATCTTTCACGAACATTACAACCGACCGAGCTCCTCCAGACAAGTCTCACCGATTTAGTCGACTTCCAAAGGTAAGTTTTATCGACTAAATCTCGATGGTAGTTGTTAACCAGTCATACACCTGTTAAATCTAGTTAACTTACTAGTTAGACACAAGACTGTAATGTAGCTTGCACAGGTTATTATTTACATTTGTCGTAGTCGATTAATCGACTCTACGACAAAATGACTTATGCAGTTGAACATGCCAGCTTTTTAGGGGAAAAAAGGGAGACATTTTTTGTTGATTTTCACTTCTTTATATGTATTTAGTTGATTGGAAACAGAAAGGAAAAGAATAAATCGATTAATCGATCAGGAAGCTAATATGAATTATAATGTAATGATGGTTAACAATGATATATCTTGATAATGACAGCTCAAGCAAGTATCTGCCACCCTAACTGTTAAAGTGATGGCTTTATTCATATTAGTATTATTGCATTTTCCCATGCAAGACATTTGACTCTGATGATTTACGGTGGGTACTTTTAATATGTTCCGTTTGTTCCAATTTGATCCAACTGTGTCCGATGTTATCATCAGTAATATTGGTATCAGTGCTCACAATGAGACTCATTCACTGTGTAAATAACCGGAACAAGCAAACATGCACTCACCCTCCTTAACTGCACAAACTTGAGAAAACCTGCTTAAATTGCCTGTTTTTATCTGCAGGTCATCATTTCAACCAGAAAACAGAAGTAGGCAGAAAAACAACCTACAGTGCATCAGTATTTTTAAGAAAAGAGAAGTGAATATGTTTTTATTTCTCATCACCTCCAACACACACACTCACTCTCAGACATTCACTTGCACACAGGAATCACATGGCAGTGGCAAATGGTTGTATGTGCTTCGTCATGAAAACCAGCAGAGACGCCACAAAGCACAATATGTTGGTGCTGCACAATAATATATCGTTTATGATGTTAACTTGTGGCTGTATCTGATTGCTCTGATTCACACTGTTTGTGAGTCTTCTCTGCATGCAAGTTTATTTAAACAAGACAGTAAAATGATCTTTATAGCACATGAAATTTGGCCAATATGAATGATGTTCAGGAAAAGACTCAGTTTTGAAAGTATTGATTTAGCTGGTGTTATTCCCTCCAGCAGGTCATTCAAAATACAGAGTTTAATCAGAGGTTCCCTTCTTAGGAAAATCACCTGCTTATACTGGGTTAAAGGTTCAGAAATACACTCAAGGGGGCAGATTTTAAGGTGGTGACTCGTCTTATCTTAAATTCAATAACGGCTGGTGTCAAAATCAATACATCCTGTGGTGATAAATGAGGAAAAGTGCTTTAAAAACATGTTTGTGGGACATTTGCAACACCTGAACATATGTGGGGAGATAACTTAAAGAGGTAATGTTTACCTGTCTGGAATAAACAGTTTACATTACAGTCTGTCTCTGATAAAGGAAACGAGGCAGACGGGTTAAAGCAAGTCCTAAAGATAAAGAAACACATCCAGGAAATAAATACTGGATGTTTTCACTGGGCTTTTTCCTTCTCTGACCATTTTATCACCTGGTTTAAATGCAAAATATTGAATATTAAGAGGTTATTTTGGGAAATGGGTCATAGTTTATGGCAGAAAGAAAAAATATGCTCTTTTTTATTAAGAATAAATCTTAGATAAGTCTTTTAGCTTCAGGAAACACTGATCAGCGTGTTTACATCAAAGTTTTTCAACAATATACCAAAAAAATGTTTAAAATAGTGATGGAATTCAATGAAAAATATGATAAATTTCTTATATCTTTAACATTTTATACAAAAATATCTATGTACTTAAACACAGTGGCTTCAGTGTTGTGAGTGTGAGTGTGTGTGGCATGTGCTGACTAAACCCTTTTTTGTGCAGAGGTTTCAGAGCAGCGAGCGTGGTTGCTCTCGCCGCTGATTGTCGGATCAAAGATTGGAGCAGCTGACACATTCCTTATAACTACTGAAATGTGAAACTTTGACTGACCGGATGGACATGTGACCCCCACTGTAGTGAAACCTGGAGGGTCCCTCACACTCACTGTAACAATTTATTGACGTGTTAACTTCAAAATAACACCATCTGACTCACATGATGTCTGTTTGTTTGTCCTCCAGCTCCACGACGTGAAAACACGTAATATCTGTCTCACACTTCTGCTCCTATCAGCCAAGAGTTTGCCAAGCTAAACTATGACTCAGTAACTCAGTCTCTACTTGGATAAATAAGTCCGCTCTATGTGCGAGTGTCACATGCACATGGAGGATCTGCAGCTGAAGTGAAAAACTGCCAACGAAGACAATAAAGTTTCACAAAGTACATCGCTTATTTTGATAATATTTGGATTACTTTTATCCTCGGCACTAACAGGGAGGTTTAAGATGTGCAGTAAAGTGTCCAAAATCAACTGTGATTCGCCCAGATTTCCAGGACGGTCTCATCCGTCACATGTTCTTCTCACATCCTCCTCGTGTGTCTCTGTCTTTGCTTTTGTTTGTGTTTTTCTGATCACTTCCCCTTTTTTGTGTTTTTGCAGGTTTTGAAGGGCGCCATGACTCAGTGACATCATTTTAAGCTCTTAATTTTTTTATGTGTCGGAGTGCCATGGCGCCTCCAAATGGCTACTCCATCAACTCGGCTCCTCTGGACGAGAGCGAGGACGGTGAACCTCTCATCGAGAGAGACCCAGGTGGGTTTATCTTTGGGGCAGGTGAGGCGTTTTCAACTTGGCCTAATTTCTTTAGCGAAGAGACTAAACACAACTCACCTACTCTCCTCCAGCAGCTGCTTGTTTGAGACCTCAGGCCAGTTCATTGCGGACTACAGTGGGGTGCCTCAGCTCAAGGAAGAACATTTATGATCATTTCCTCATGGAAATACAATCAGACCGAGACGCTAAGGCAGAAGAACTTCCACATCTGCAGTGAAAAATGATTAATATGGTGATTATTACTTCAAGGAAATGATAAAGAAATGATCATAGATGTTCTTCCTTGAGCTGCGAAACTCCGCTGTAGTCTGTAATGGACTGGCCTGAGGCCTCCCTACAAACAAGCAGCTGCTGGAAGAGAGTAGGTGAGTTGTGCTTAGTGTCTTTGCTAAAGAAATTAGTCAAAGGTAAAAAGATGTTTGGTGGCTAGTACTATGGCTGTGACCCTATATGTCCTGTTGATGAAGTTAGGTGCTGTTCTGAGCATTATTTGTGGCTATAGAGTGGGGGTGTCTATCTGGGTGTTATGGTGTGTTTGACTCTAAATTAATTTTGCTCCGGAATATCCCTTTAAATATAATTTAACCTGATGATAGATTCCTGGAGGAGCTCAGGTGTGTCTCACTCAGAGCGGTTTTATGATTGTAGGTTATATTCACATCAGCACCTCCCTGGTTACAGATTACAGATTACATAAGAGCTCGGTGAGATAACTGACCATCAGACGGCGGCTGTGAAGTTGACTGTGCAGCAAAATAAAGACATAAAAGTGAAGAGTTCACTGTGAGACGACCCCGAAGGAGTAAATCTATAAAGACTGTGTATAACTCTAAATACAGTACATTTCTCTCCCTTTTTCCAGCTGTGTGTGTATTTTTACAAACATCCACAGATAATGTCGGATTAAACCAAAGAGAACGATCATAATAATCATCACAAATAAACAAAGTCCACTCCAAAGAACAGATTTATAGGCACAGATTCTAGTCAGCGGCAGGATGACAGTATTTTGATATGAATAGGAAGTACTTACATCATTAATACTAACTGTCATTGCATCAATAAAGGGACCACAAGGTCCCATCTTTCAATAAAAGAGGCCCTCTGAAGCCTCAGTGAAAATGTGATCTGCTCCATTTGATAAATATCCCAGACTTTTTGAATCCAGATGTTGTCTGAGGAGGTTCTGATGGTTCTAGACGTCAAGGCTGCAGTCAATAATGTGTTTAAGATGTTTTATTTTTCGGACCTCCTGTCCAAACCTTCAGGTATTACTCCCAGTATTGCGACCTTGAAGTCTTGTGGGATATTCATTTTAAAAACCTCCGTCCAAAACACACTTAATTTAGGGCGGAGCCAAAACATGTGATTAGCCATTCAGGCTCTGCAGTTTCTCCAACATGAGGTGGGATATTGAGGACCCATCTTGGACGTCCAGCTGTGAATATCTCTGTTTTCTCTCCGATCAGTTCCTCCTCGGTGCTGCTCGGCTCGCCTCAACTTGGCCTTCCTCATGTTCTTGGGGTTCAGCGTGGTCTACGGCCTCCGGGTCAACCTCAGCGTCGCCATGGTGGCCATGGTGAACGTCACCGACCCCAAACCGGCCCAGAACAGCTCCATAGTCCACGCCTGTCCTCTGCCGGAGGGGATGGGGAACATGAGTGATACTTTCCCACAACCTGACGGGGTAACGAGCCCAGACTGATTCAAGACACATCATGAGACGTTGTTGTTTTTTAATCTGACGGGACAGACGTGTTTTACTCATCCCCTCACCACCAGTACCCCTCTTCTTCTTCGTCCCAGATCCCTCAGTACCCGTGGGACTCTGAGACTCAGGGCTGGCTGCTGGGGGCTTTCTTCTTCGGATACCTGTGCACACAGATCCCAGGAGGCTACCTGTCCGGTCACTACGGGGGGACCATCTTCATGGGTTTGGGTGTGCTGGGCACTGCTGTCCTCACCCTGCTCACCCCCCTGGCCGCACAGATGGGGTCCTACTGGCTGTTCGCGCTGAGAGCTCTGGAGGGATTCGGAGAGGTGAGTCGAGATTTGCTCAGAGATTTTCTAATAACTTCAGAGTTTGTAAAAATTGGGGAAAGTCTGTGTTTGTGTTTGAGCTCTGTCTTCTTTTTACCCTCCAGGGTGTGACGTTCCCGGCCATGATGGCGATTTGGGCTCGCTGGGCCCCTCCTCTGGAGCGCTCTCGCCTGATGACCTTTTCAGGATCTGGGGCGAACTTCGGGGCTTTTGTGTCTCTGCCGCTCACAGGCTACATCTGCCAAACTCTGGGCTGGCCCGCCGTCTTCTACCTCTGTGGTGAGGGAGGGAAACACACACGAACATGAAAACAAATACAGAGTCGTACGCAGAGACAGGAAAGATGTTAGTCCTCCAATCACAGAGAAGGGGGAGCACAATAATCAGATTTTCTTCTTGGATGTTGTTGAGGAGAAACAAAACTAACAGATCTGACCGAACAGACTGGCTGAAGTTTAGACTGTTGGATCTTAATGGAGGCCTAAAATCACACCTGCATTATCACAAGTGTCCAGAATGACAACAAACAGAGATCTGTGAGATTGTAATCACAGCTCAATAATAAGTAGGTGTAATATTAATTTAGGATGTCTTTCTGCAGTATCAACTCTTTAAAGTGAAAAGAGCCTCATTATCTGACCTGCACATGAACTTGTGTTGTTCATTTGTGGTGCATTAAGTCTGAAACTCGCTCTGAGTGAAAGCTCATTTGTCCATAGATGATAACAGACCATAACATGCAAGAAATAAACCCCATGTCTGGCAAAAAACATTGAGAAACATCAAAATTGAGGAACTGCATTGATCCATCTGGAAAATGTGTGGTCCAAGTTTTTATTTGATGCCGTAATTCAGTTAAATGTGTCTTTTAATGCTTCAGTTTTTGTAATTTGGTACACTTGGAGTCTGAAAAGGTCGGATACAGAAAAAAATCTTACTACTTTTGTAAAATTGTACATTGGCTAGAGTCTCATATTCAGGTTAATACGGTAATTACAGAAATCAGAGCACAAAGTCAAGGTTGAACTCTTGGACCCTGACAGCTGTAAGTCTCTCACTTTCAAAATAACATAACTTTAACTTTACATAACTTTAACTTTATATAACTTTAACTTTAACTTTATGACAGCGGACCTTCACTTTAACCTCCCGTCCTTTAGTTATTCATCACGTCTCAATAAAACTCTGGTGTATCTGCGTGTCTCTGTCAGGTGGTGCCGGTTGTCTCTGGGCTGTCTTTTGGTTTATATTTGTGTCCGATGACCCCCGCAAACATCCTCGAATCAGCAAAGAGGAGAGAGATTACATCATAGGCTCCATCGGGCCTCAGGTAAGCGAACATGACATATGATCCACTTTATTTTTATTTATTTATTCATTTATTTTTATTTATTTAACAACAAAACAGAGTGACGACAACAACAGAAACAACAACAAAAAAATAAAAAATTTACAAAAATACTTTTGTGAGGGAGGGGAGGGGGAAAGAATTTATATAATATGTAATAGAGAATTTAACAAGAAAAGAAAAAAATCTTAATTGGATTACATTGGAATATCTGTATAGTAATAACTATATATATACACATACATGCACACATATGCAAATATACATACATATACATATATATACACACATATATGATATGACATATGATCCACTTTAATGTGTTTGTCGTGTCTCATTTCTCAAAGACTGACCGTCAGTTTATTTAAAGAGGTCTTTTAAAAACAAGATAAATCAGGAAATCTTTAGACAGAAGGCAGTTGTTTAGTTTTCCTGTTCAAATGAAAATGAAAGTAACACTCGACTTGAAGGGAAGTTTCAGCTGTCTCGCTGTTCCTCTCACCTTTACTCAATCGAGAGGATTAAATGTCTTTCTGAAGTTCCCTCTCAAGCTTCCTGTTTTCATTTCCTTCGTTGTTTTCTGTTTTTGTCGCCCTTTTGTCCTCTGAGCTGACCTGTAATAAAGAAAGAGGATAAATGTATTTATCAGTATTTTTAAAGATTGAGTCTTTACTCTGAACTCCACAGGGTACAGGTCACGGCTGGTCCGTCCCCCTGCTGCCCATGCTGCTGTCAGTTCCCCTGTGGGCCATCATCGTCACCCAGATGTGTTCGAACTGGGCGTACTACACCCTGCTCACCTCCCTGCCCACCTATATGAACAACATCCTGCACTTTGACCTCAAATCGGTGAGGTTTCCCATCACCTCCTCTCCTGTTTTACAACCAAATACAGTGTAGAAATAACAAGAGCCGAGTTTTATTTTAAAAAATTAGGCTTTAATTTGAAGTGACGCCTCTTTGCGACTCAATCATCATGACTTTCTTCACCCAGAATGGTTTCCTGTCCGCTCTGCCGTACCTCGGCGGCTGGCTGGCCTCCGTGCTGTCGGGCGTCATCGCTGACAGCCTGATTGAGAGGAGAGTGTTCAGCATCACCGCCGTACGAAAGATCTTCACCCTCACAGGTCAGGGAGTGTTTCCTAGATAGACGTTGATTTCTTCAAATCTAGCAGTGTAGAGATGTTTGAACACCCACCCCTTCTCGTGTGCAGGTCTGCTGCCCGGTGCAGCCGCTCTCCTGGCCGTCGCTTACTCCGGCTGCAGCCACATCCTCACTGTCACCTTCCTCACGCTCTCCACGACCATCGGGGGAACCAGCGCCTCAGGAGTCTTCATCAACCAGATAGACATCGCTCCTCGGTGGGTGTCAGCATCAGTACAGGCTCTCTCGTTACAAATTCAGGCTCTGCAAAAAAACAAAAGATAGATACGAGAACAAACAAAAATCACGGATTAGATACAAAACTTTTGATTTAGTTCTTATGAGTGTTTTCAAAGAAATAAAAGAAAAACAAACAGAATAATTTTGACTTTATGAGGCCAGACAGTTCAGTTTGACTCTGCTTCCAAAAATACCCTGCAAAAAAGGAATTTCAAGAAAGGAAAAAACAACCTTGTATGAAGGAAATAAGTCTTATTTTAGTACAAAAAGAACATTAATCTTGTGAAGCATGTTTGACATTAGAAAAATGATCTGATTTTAAGAGGAAATGGCTTTTTCTTGATATTCCAGCTAATTTTGAGATCGAATGAACCAGAAAAAGAGCAGAAAAATGTTTTATAATAAAATCCAGCAGAGCAACAAGATCATTCGTCTCATTTTAAGAGTAAGACATATGTACAACTTCTTAATTCAAGAACGCCATGAAACAGGAACAATTGATTTTTTGTTTTTATTAAGTTTTCCATTAGAGGTCGTCTGAACCTGACAGAATCTGCTGCCTCGGACATTATCCGACATATAAAGACGTCAGGACGTCAAAACAACAAAGAACAACAAAGAACATGCTTGTTCTCCACATGCCTGCGTGTGGAATAAAAACATATATTTAATGAGAATGTTTTGGTATCTTGATTTAAGACAACGTCACTTTTATTTGTTATGCTGTTTACATTATTCACCTCAGTCCTAGATTCAAGTGTATTTTCTTGAAGTTCATTTATTCAAGAGACTAAAATTCTAATTTTAAGTAACTTCATCTTCATTTTTTATTTCTTGCTGTAAAAAAAATTAGTTTAATATCAGATTTTCTGTCTCGTTCAAAGTTTCATCAAGTCTGTCAGGGCCAAGAAATTTGTTCTTATTTTGAGAATTCTTGTGAAGCAAAAAAAAAATCTTACTCCATTATCAGATTCTTTGATTGAATATAAGAATATTTTGCTTCTTTCTCGTAGGGCTGTTTTTGCAGTGTAATGTTTTGACTGATGTGCAGCTCGTGTTTTTTAACTTTTTAATGTGCTTTTTTTAAAACAGTCCAAATCAGTTCTCAAGAGTAGTTTTGTTCCCTTCTGCAGGTACGCAGGTTTTCTTCTTGGAATCACAAACACATTCGGGACCATCCCCGGAGTCTTAGCTCCCATCGCTACCGGATACTTTACCGAGGATGTGAGTCAGGAGGGTTTGTTTATAGAATCTGGATTTTAAAGGTTTTAAAGACTGCAGACCGTCCTGGAGGTCTTGATGAGCTTCTTTCCTCATAACCTCTGTTTCTCACTTCAGTACATATGAGCTTTTGATTAATCGTCTTCTTCTTCTTCTGTGGTATTCAGCACACGCTGGCAGGCTGGAGGAAAGTGTTCTGGGTGGCGGCTGGAATCAATATCGGCGGCGCCATCTTCTACACCTTATTTGGCAGCGGGAAGATCCAGCCGTGGGCCATCACAGAGGAGGAGGCCGCAGAAGCAGAGAAAAACAGGAGCACAGCGGTCATCACGTAAAAACCACTTACCCAGAAATCCCACGAACGTCAGAGAGACTCTAAAGGTTTTAAAACAGTGCAGTTTTTACGCCTCATGAATACGGGATGCAAAAGTGGCAATATTAATTTTATTACACCAGTTTAATTATGTTTTATAAAAGTTTTATCTGACAACTTTTGCAGAGTTTTTTATGTTTCTGCTTTTTAGAAGTTAAAACTTTTTGTCTTTTGTAGATTTCAACATGTTTTTTTAAACATTCTTGCAAAGAAAATGAAAATTACAAAGCTGCTTTTTACATCCCAATCTCATTTTTGACACAGGAAACAGATTCAGGATTTGCACTCGTGTAAAAAAAAAACGTGTATCAACATCTGCTGGATTCTCTCTGATTTTCTCACTGTGAATTCCTCAAAACTTCTGCTCCTGTTGGGTTTACGTTTCCTAAAAACGAAACATGAGACGGGGGTTGAGCTACATCTTAAAGTAATGATTATGTTCTGATCTGTGACTACGCAGAGTTAAAACACATCTTTTTTTTTTACAATTTGAAGGTTTTTTTTAGCTGTTATGAGGATGGGACTGATTTCTTATGAACAAACACAATCTGAAAACACTTTTAACCTCTTCTTGACTGTTCAGCAGGACCGAAAGACGCACTTTTTACATTCAAAAATACACCGAAATGAGCCTTATCTTCAATAATGGTGCCACTGAAGTGCAAAAATAATCACACCAGCTGTGACTGAAGCACCTTCAGCCGCCGGGACTGAAATACTTTCCTGTAAAAGAGACACAAACTATTGCTGTGTACTTTTTGTGTTACATTCCTAAGAACAGTGTGGAAAATAGGACATTTTTCAAACTTCTCACACATTCTCGTCAACTCGTGTCAAAGTGCGCTGTGATTGTAAACTTATTAAGTTTTTAAACGGATGCAATAATTTATTTACCCTCTCTGTGCTTTGAGAACGTCGATGTGGTAAAGATGTGCTCAGTATCTTTGTTTGACTTTGTATTTTATTGTAAAGAGAATCAAATTTGTTTTACTGTGGAAAAAAAGAAACTGAACTAAAATAAAGACCTTTTTATTCTGGTTTTTAGTTAAATTTTGTTTCAATCTTTTAATCTGCATTATGTGATTTTACCCTATTTTAGATCCAGAGTAACTATTTTATATTTTATTACCTCTTTTTTTAATTTACTCTCTTTTATTGTTTGATTTTAAGACAGTTTTATTGAATTATCCTTTAACGCTTTATCACCTTTATAATATTTTATCATGATTTTATCGTTTTCATCCTAGATCCAGTGTTTCCTCATCTTTTTTAACTCAAGATAGCGTTTCCTCAGTCATCTTTTATAATAATGATATTTTTTTTATCAGCTGCTATAAAGTTTAATCCCCAAACATGTGAATTTACTTAGTTTTAAACTGGATTAATCGCTCTGCACCACAGGGATTGAGCTGCTTTGAACACTTTTTGTCTTTTTTCAGCCACTAGATGGTGTAAGAAACACGAATTTTCTCTGCCAAGAGGAAATGAACGGTGTGTTTTTCAATGATACCTCATACAACAAATGAGAGGTTTATGACTGGGGGATTATTTTGGGGATATTTGGGGTCAATTTTAGTGTAATTTGGGGTAGAAACTCAGAATTTACTGATTTGTGTTTTTTAATTTTGGCAGCTTGTTTATTTAAGAGATATTTTCGGTGACACTTGTTGCTGTTTCCTGTTAAAACTACAATATTTAATAGTTTGTGAGCAGCAGGGCGGAGCTGTTGTTGTTACCAGGTTGGTGTTAAAGCTTGCATCAGATCAGGCACCCGGATGTTCTCCGTGTGGTGTTACAGGAAATGTCGTCCCCCTTATCGCCGGTATCACCTCGCTTTGTGTTCTGCTTGTTATTATTAGCTCAAAGGTTACCGAGAGTCAGCTAAACTTTCGCTTTCATTCACCATCAAACAACGACTCATTTATATTGTTTAATTTATAGCCAGGTTTGTACAGTACTTTAATTTATTGAGTGTTTTTGTGCCTCTTTTCAGTCAAACTCAATGATTTACCGAAACTCTCCAAATTGAGAATTTACTGTTTCTTTCGATGTTCAGTATCTACTTTTGATTTTCTCACTTTTTTATTTTTCATAGCGAGTTATTAATTGTTATTTTTATACTCAACAATATTTGTTTTAGTTTTATAAAGATTAATACTGTTCATCTTTTGAAAGAGCACAAGATACAAAGGAAACACATCACAAACAAACCCCCTTTATATGAATATTCCTAGTTCTGTGCTTAAATAACAAATTCTGGAGCTAAAACAATATTTAAAAAAACAAGCAAGTGCTGGAATTCAGGTTTTGTAGATCTTGAAATATATAAAAAGTTGAGAAATAAATACTAAAAAGAAAATAAGTTAAATGAACTCCCTACACTTAGAGAAATACAAATGTAGACTAGTCACTGAAAACTGAAAAAGTCCATAAAAGCGATAAGAATTTAAATTGTATGATCATAAAATATTACATATATATTCAAAACAGAAAACAACTAGAAGAGGAGAGTGCTGATTCAAAATGATGAGAGTTTTTGAATGTGGTCCAGAAAAATTTATTATTTTTAACCGAAAATGAAGTTTATTGCCATTGAGTCCTGATGGAATCGTGTTGACTCCTATTTATATACTTAAAATAAATTATTTATGACAGTACTAGTTTTGCCGACCTAGAAAAGGCCATAGCAAGTACACTCTTCATGTATTTAGAGTAAATTATTTACACCAAGACTCCACCTATGGAATATTCAGAAAGCCTGCACATAGACAAACTGGTGTTCTCCCAGCCTGCATTAGTTCACTTTAAGAAAACAGGACCTTGGTATTTCACCCACTGCTCATAATCGGTCCATATATTGACAATTTTCAGTTTCATTATGACTTGATCTCTGACGCAACTCGAAAGTAGAGTGGAGAATATCACACCTGATCATTAGAAACATAAAAATAGGTTTATTCTTCATACAGAACCAAGACAATATTTCAACAAGCTTTACTGATTCATAAAATAGCAGCAGCCTTAGAAAGAGGCAGTTCAAAAATAGAGACACCCCTCCTCCTTCCCCCACCAGCTGGGAGATACAATCACAGCCAGAGGTAGGTGAACCAAATATTTGGCCCCCTCTAAAGTAGGAGCTAACATGTAACCAAGCAGCCACCTTCCCTGGAGGTAGTGATATTCATGAGATTATCATCTTTTTTTTTTTTAATTCTAACACCCGGGCAGTGAAACAAATGCAAGTGCTTTCCAAAACACCAAATGGGGTTTCTTTGTTCCCAAGTGTGAACCGGGTGTTTGCAAGTGTGGAGCGAGGGGCTGCAGGCGACAGGATATGTGGAGCTGCTCTGTGTTGCTAATTCGCTTGATTTGCATTAACTGTTTCCTGCCTGGGCTCAGATTGTAATTGCATACAATGTTCCAACATTAACATTTTGATGAAGTGTAACTCTGCCTGTATGCGCATGAATGCCAGAGCTGTTGGATCTTCTGAATGTTGGCGTCGGGCAGAGCGTAATTTCTTTTTTATTCTGCGCCCACATGGACACTAAATTGTTCCTTGAAACCGGCAGATACAAAAGACTCTGGAGCATCAAAATTAGGAGACCCAACTCCTGGATCAGCATGAACTGTATGTGATATTTATGGGTACAAAAGTGCTTCACATAGATGACAAAATACAACAGACAAAGCATAAAATCATCCTATAATAGAAGAAACTTCAGTTCAAGTGAAAAAAAAAGCATATTTAAGTTTGGTTGGGGTTAAAAACATACAAATTTGGCTTGACATGTGCAGAAGAAAACTTGGATCAGATGCTCCAAATGTTGGGTTAATAGTTTTCTAGTTTTGATGAAGTAACAAACATCCCGATGCACCAAGACGCGTCAGGGAAGAGACGGTTTTCACATTTTGGAGAACTTGCTGGACCTCGACCTCATCCAGCAGCTTTGAGATGAAGCAGAGCGTCCTCCTCCAAAAAACGGTGTCTGAAATCGGTGCTGTTGTACCTGAAAGATAGAAAAGATATACATTTTTGTCATTTGAAGCCTCAGAGCTGCAGAACAATGTATGATGTTTAAAAATACAACAAAACCTCATTATTTATTTTGCTTGTCTGTCCTAGGAAACAACTTTTCCCCAGCCGGTGGCCAAAATGTTCAGATCTTTCCTGTTGCTATGACTACCACTCATACCCAGTGACTCATCACTGACGTGCTGCCAGGGACCGGGTGCCAGCCGGCCTGTTGAATCACATTCTCCCTTTCACACACGCACACACTCTCACCCCTCTAGTTAGTGCCTGAAATAAGAGCCCAGCTGTTGTACTTTGTTCAGTCATTACAGGCGAGTCTGCACACACACACACACACACACACACACACACACACACACACACACAGATATACAGAGTACATGTGTGTGTTATTAGCCATGCTCACAGGCGTGTTTCCTCTGTTCTGTTTAAATATGACTTTAATCCTTTCACTCAAATCACACTCCACTCTTCTTCTGTTAGTTTTGGTGATCTGCTAAATTTACTTTGGGGTAATAGCCGGGTCTATGCGTCTAAATTTGTTCCAAATATTTCGTTATTTAAGGACCAAAACTTAAAACCAAACAACGTCCTTTTTGCCTCTGCCTCTGAACAGTGTTGCTGTGAGCGTGGATGATATACCAGAGTAGTGACAGTGGTTTGAGACTTTTAAAGTTTGTTCAAATTCACCTGAGAACCTCACATGTCTGCCTTGCTCATAGGGAACTGTGACAGGTGGTTGTTTATTTTATCAAATATGGAGGAGAAAGTTTGAGATCAGGGCATGCAGAGTAAAATAATGACCCCGGAAGACAGAGCCACCTCCCTGTACTCACAGTTTAAACAGGTCAAGTTCTTTGGTGTCGACTTTTCAGCCTGGACTCTGAGCTCACTCCTGGGTCTCTGCCAAGTTTCTCCACTCCACCTTCTGTGGGCTGGGAGAGGTCTCCTTGTCACCAACACAGACTGCCCTGTTCATGTCCCTCTCTGTCTCTGTCCCTCCAAACCCAGTTTACCTTTCCTTTACAGGTTTCTTGACTGTCGCTGAGACTCACTGGAGATGAATTCCTGATGTGATCCAAGTTAAGAGGCTCGTTGCCTTAACTGAGAAATGTCACTGTAAAATATTATTGGTTTACTTTTATGTTGCACAAGTAGTGCCTGTCTACAGTATAAAGGCCAAAACTGAAACTAGATAACATTAATGATTTACCAATTATGTGGGCCACAACCTAGTCTTATGAATAAGACGGTGGATTGTCTTAGTCTAAAATCGCAAGACTGAGTTGATTTAAGGACAAGTTGGAAAACTGTTCCACACGTTAGATGAATCTGCGTTTGTCTGATACTAGATTTTTGTGTTTACATAAAAATGTAAGCTCTATAAACATGTTCTTAGACATACAAGACGTTGAGTGAGTGATAGTCAAGATATACAGGATTAAAGAAAGCTTTAACGCACGCTAGGTTACCCTGTTTAATACATCCTGGTTGACTTTACCAAATTACATAAGTAGTTAAAGCCTCTGTGAGGAATTTTTGACTTTTTAAAAATTAACTGAAATTTATATTTATTAATTTTTACGATGTACAGAAGCGAACGAGACAATCAGCGACAAGATTGATGATTTTTACACCAGAATCAACCAAACAGCTGAGGACTGATTGAGGAACTGTAACATAAATTTACCATAAGAGGAAAAAATGCCACCAGAGAATAATTGTACGGTCTGTTCAATTAAGAGAGCACGGCTCTTAGAACCACAGCCAAGCCAGGTCACATGAGTACCACATACCGTACTCCATAAACTGGCTCAGACCACATTTTTAAGCCTCAGGTTATGAATGGCGGGCGTTCAAGAGCTGTGGGAACAATTAGAGTCAGATGCTATTTTAAAACTGTGTAATGCTTTTCAATGTTTTACAACCTTGTCAGACTGGTTATTTAATAATTTCATGAACCGTAGATGAACATGTTTAGACTTGTATGGACTTGAAATGAATGCTGACAGATGGAGTGTGTATATAGGTTTGTATAACGGTTTCTTTGATAGTAATTAAGCATTAAATACTTTTTATTCATGTGAATGTACCCAGTGTGACTCCAGCAGGAAACAACTCTTCTAACACTTACTCTTTATGACTCCGTTAGCATGCTGCAGTTCTCTTCATGCCCCTCAGTCATCTTATCGCCTCCCTCTTGTCCTCATGTCTCCCCCCGGCCCGCCTCTTGTCCTCACCTCCTCGCTCGGCCCTCCCTCCCCTCGTGGTCGCTCGGCTCTGCGCTGAGTGAAAGCAGCAGCTGCCAAGTCCAAGTAGCTGTTACCTGAACTGTAGGGAAAGCAGAGCAAGTAGTGAGTGTGTGTGTATTTGGGATATATCCGCATGTGTGTGTGTGTGTAGCAGAGGATGGCAGCTGCTTCTAAACTGGGCGACACGCCAAAGTGATGGTGGAGGAAGAGGCAGAATCTGGCCTCCTGACCTCCAGGTAGCATCCCAGTGGCAAAACAGCCTTCTGTCAGGTTTATCCCTGTTTTTCAGCTTCTGTAGAGTGAAGTTACGCTGAATTTTACAGTGTGCTTATTTAAATTGAACTCTGGGAACATTTAAACAAAATTCAATCAAACACTTGTAAATGAACCTGCTCCAAATGTAAACAAGCCACAGATAAGGTGTCTCAAAAAACAGCATGAGTTCATCTTTTCAGCGTCTGGGCTCTGTTTGAATGCAAATCTCATTCGGATTTAGTTAATCTTGTCAGGCTGGGGAGTCGTCTCTGTACTAACAGTGGGTGGGTGACAGAGGGAGGGAGGGCAAGGGTCAAGCAATGGCCTGGGGGAAGATTGTGAGCTTGTGTGTCGGTAAATAATCAAATGCTGAGCTTTGAATACAGTATCAGATTTATTTTCTTGAAATCACTGTTACCCACATTTGGTATTATTCAGGGTTAAAATGTTCAGTGTGTGCCAATGAGGACATAAGAATAGCTTGATATTCACTGATAGCCCAAACTGATCAATTGAAAGGTGATTGTATAATGATACATCACAATATGTGGTAACTGGATGTCAAACTGCAGAATTGGTGTTATGTTTACACGATGGGTCAGGAAAATGACCTCTTCTGTAAAATATCGTACAATAATTTTAACGTACGCATCAAATTTGCATCATGGTATAGAAAGAATAAAAATGTATAATTGTAATTATTGGATTTTATTGAATATTAATAATAATAGCGTTATTTATTAGAGCTGTGACGATGTGCTTTTTTTCCCGCTTCGATTCTTCTACGATTTTTTGGATGCCGATTCGACTGGATTGCAATTCTACGATATTGTCGATTTTTAGTCTGCATTTGTAACAGCAGAGAAACAGTTGAACGATGATGATTGTCTACTGACTGTTCCAGGGACCATATATTTTTAAGAGTTATTTAAAAAAAACGATGTTTGAACTAGAAAATCGATTAAAAAATTGTGATATTTATGTGAATAAATTTTTTCTCCCGCCCTTATTATCTATGACATGTTCCTATTCAAATATTTCCATCTAAATATTGAAAAGTTATGTATTAAAACTTTTGACGTTTTAAATGAAAGATTTAACCTGTTCAAGTATATTTTTTATTGTAATTAATTTTATTTTTTGATCAGTAAAGTCAGAAACAACTTCCAGATCACTCTTGGTCTTCCTTCTTCTGAAAGCTGATCACTTTTTGTCACGAAGCCGCAAAATAATCGATCCACAACTTTTCTAAAGACTTTGGGTTTTAGTCTTTGGTTTGAGCATCATCAACCCCGTCACATCGCTCTGGTGTAAAGCTCGTACAAACTACAATACACTCGATTCTGATGATGAGACATCATACATGTTCCAGGCGCTTCATCCGGTGGCGTGCTGACGTTTTTTGCAGGAATGTGTGTGATTTGCGGGGTCTGCACCGGGGAGGGCGACGGGAAGTCAGGCCGCCTCCCATTCAGTATAAAACCTCCCAGTCCGCCCCGACTCTTCCTCTTTCTGTTACCTGGCTAGGGGCAGCAGCTTTGGCCGTGAAAACCCAGAAACACCGGTGAGTCCAGCTTTGATTCATTATACACAGAGCCAGAACAGGACAACAGGCCTCAGATTGGACTGTGAACTTTAGCAGGTGTCTAAAAAGCGTCCGCGTCTCTAATATTTGACAGTTTAATAGGCGAAAACTTTTCTGTTATGTAACTTCAAACAAACCTGTGGATTTTTTTGAGAGATAAAACAAACGCCGCTAACGTTAGCAATCCCGGTTCATGTATTCACTTGACTCACGCGGTTTATTTATTCAGTTTAATCGAGTTTATGTGTGAGTTTTTTAACAAAAGAGACAACAAGGGAGGAGAGAGTGTGTGGGGGGAGAGAGGAACAAAGAGAGGGGGCTAGAAGAGAAGAGATCTGAAGATGCTCGAATGGTATTTCTTCTCTCTACATCCATGAAACAACTGCTCGTCTTGCCCGCTGACAGGTGTTGGGAGCCCGGACTAAATAGCTTCTGAATATTTGGAAGTCTTTGTAACTTTATACGACGTGGCCCATAGAGTAACACGTGTCTCGCCTGGCCTATGGCCGAGTGAGGCCTAGCAGCCACCGCCTGGTAGCCGCTGTCTTACAATGTCATTTTTAACCTCACAGTAGAGTTGAAGTATGGATATTAACGCGGTTATAAAGTGGGAAAAGAGTATTTTAAGGTTGGACTTTAGTTCTAGCTGTTCTATAAAACACAACCGGTGTGGTGTCTTAATTTACGAAGGGTCCGAGCCGCCATGTTCCACCATATATGTTTCATGTTCAATGAGCTTTTGGGTGTTAGAAATATTAAATGAAGGGATATGAGACAGTGTGTGTGTGATAACGGCAGCTAACGGGTTGACTTTTAATCTGTGACAGAAACAAAAATGGGAAAGGAAAAGACCCACATCAACATCGTGGTCATTGGCCATGTCGACTCCGGCAAATCCACCTCTACCGGCCATCTGATCTACAAGTGCGGAGGAATCGACAAGAGAACCATCGAGAAGTTCGAGAAGGAAGCCGCCGAGGTGAGTTTTTCGAACGTTTATCGTCGTATCTGTAAAACCGTTAGATTCAAGATGGCGGCGTCAGCATGCCTCCTCTCAGCCCCGCTGCCCGGCACGAATGGAGCAGCCGTGTGCGCGCACGCGGGGTGTGGCTTAACGCCGCCAGTCAGTGATGGTGACTGAGCAGATATTTCACCACGGGCCTGAGGCTACAGTACAAAGACTTGTGAAACACTACAGAAAGCATATTATCAAAGATGTGGAAAGAAATTTCTTATAAAAAAATACTCGGTTTCATCAAACACTGACTCAAACTTTTGAATTTGATACCACACTACTGTCAAAGTTGACAACACTCAACTGTGTTCAGAAGTTCAATATCCCCTTTTAACTTGGTCAAACTGCTACATTAAAACTTCTCTGAATACTGTGTAATGTGTTTTCTAGAAATTGAACCACAATCATGTTTATCCCTTCTGTAGATGGGCAAGGGCTCCTTCAAGTACGCCTGGGTGCTGGACAAACTGAAGGCCGAGCGTGAGCGTGGTATCACCATCGATATCGCTCTGTGGAAGTTTGAGACCAGCAAGTACTACGTGACCATCATTGATGCCCCTGGACACAGAGACTTCATCAAGAACATGATCACTGGAACATCTCAGGTATGAGCAGTCATCATGATCACTGGAACCTCAAAGACAAAGTTGGAGAGTGTTTTGGACTTCAACTAAATGAGTATTTCTTTTTAGGCTGACTGCGCCGTGCTGATTGTTGCTGCTGGTGTTGGTGAGTTTGAGGCCGGTATCTCCAAGAACGGTCAGACCCGTGAGCACGCCCTGCTGGCCTTCACCCTCGGTGTGAAGCAGCTCATCGTTGGAGTCAACAAGATGGACTCAACCGAGCCCCCTTACAGCCAGGCCCGTTTTGAGGAAATCACCAAGGAAGTGAGCACCTACATCAAGAAGATCGGATACAACCCCGCCACAGTTGCCTTTGTCCCCATCTCTGGATGGCACGGAGACAACATGCTGGAGACCAGTGAGAAGGTGAGGCTTGTATTCATTTCACCTAAGTGAAACAGGGGTCTGTTTTGAAGGTGAATAGATGTCTAACTTAACTTAAATGTTTCTTTTTAGATGGGCTGGTTCAAGGGATGGAAGATTGAGCGCAAGGAGGGCAATGCCAGTGGAACCACCCTGCTGGAGGCTCTTGATGCTATCCTGCCACCTGCCCGCCCCACCGACAAGCCCCTGCGTCTCCCCCTGCAGGACGTCTACAAAATTGGAGGTAAGACTTGAGTTCTCAATGGTCTGTTTGCACAAAGCATTTCATAGCAGGTGCTTTTTTGAGTCTCAAAATATTATTTACCGAGCACTGTCTTCTCTTAGGCATTGGAACTGTCCCCGTCGGCCGTGTTGAGACTGGTGTCCTGAAGCCCGGTATGGTCGTCACCTTTGCTCCCCCCATGCTGACCACTGAGGTGAAGTCTGTGGAGATGCACCACGAGGCTCTGCCAGAAGCTGTGCCCGGTGACAACGTTGGTTTCAACATCAAGAACGTGTCCGTCAAGGAAATCCGTCGTGGATACGTTGCTGGTGACAGCAAGAACGACCCACCCAAGGGAGCTGAATTCTTCAATGCTCAGGTTTTGTGTTGAGATGGTTTCAGCAGATTTATACATCCATTAAGTTTGATCAGCAGAGATCTAACACTGCGTATTTCCACAGGTCATCATCCTGAACCACCCCGGACAGATCAATGCAGGTTACGCCCCTGTGCTGGATTGCCACACCGCTCACATTGCCTGCAAGTTCAACGAGCTGATCGAGAAGATCGATCGCCGTTCTGGCAAGAAGCTTGAGGACAACCCCAAGTTTGTAAAGTCTGGTGATGCTGCCATTGTCAAAATGACACCACAGAAGCCCATGGTTGTGGAGTCTTTCTCCAGCTACCCTCCCCTCGGTATGTTTTATAGAAATCTAACACACATTATCCTGGCTATAGATGCAGTAAACCGTAAATGCAAGAAGTACACATGAATGCTAACTGCTTACCTTGTTCGCTCTCAGGTCGTTTCGCTGTGCGTGACATGAGGCAGACAGTGGCTGTCGGTGTCATCAAGTCAGTTGAGACCAAGGAAGTGAGCGGAAAGACAACCAAGGCTGCAGAGAAGGCCCAGAAGAAGAAATGAATGATCGTGAAGGACATCCAGCAACAAGATGTGTGCCGGCAGCAGCGGGCCACACCTTCCTCTCTCTACTGCCCCCACCCTGGATCATCTTCTCTGAGGCAGAGTTCTCTCCTCAAGGACTGGCTTATGCTGATTAAAACCCATCGCAAAAGTTTTCGCAGGAAAAAAGAACTTTAGTGGCATCTTCACCTACCGAAATCAATGACATTACTTCTCAGTTAAGTTTAAGTTTGAAATGGTTTAGAACTGTATCTTGATGTTTAAAAACGCCACAAGTTTAATTGGAAAGAACGCTGCTGGTAACTAATAAAAATAAATGTCTTTGAAAAAATTGAAAATTTGCTCGTCCTTGTCCTTCAGTGCTACAATTGGTTCCGTTTTGGCTGTCACAGGCGAGCCTCCGTCTCTGCAGCTGTTTTTTGACCATGCTATCTGTGTCCGCTGATGCACTTGTCATCCAATCGCCTGGATAGGAGTTATGCCTCGCCAGCCAATAGCTCCCCTTATTTTTGTCTGACAGCAACGAGAGACCATGCACAGCCCTCCCTCTCCCCAAGTTCGGTATAAAAACTCTGGACAGATCACATTCTGTCCTTTTTTTCCTCCGCTCTTTATCAGGGGACGTCTTCATAGCTGGGCACAGGTTAGTTAAATGTCATTTGATCGTAAAATAATGAATTTAAGGTTTAAGATTGCATGTTGATGATGTAGGATGAGCTTGTCTGTGAGGCAGACATTTTAAAAGCACTGCAGATCACTCAAATGCAAGGCTGAATACCACATGCTGTAAGGCTTTACTGAATCTTGTATTGGTTAAGGAGAAAGGTAAACATGCTGGCTCACCTTTTAAGGCTTTAATATCCAAAATAATCCAGCATATTAAATTCGACTGTCTGTGGGGTTAAATGTACTATTTTGTTGTAAATCTCATCTTAGAGGTAGCAGTAATTTTGCTCTTTGTCTATAAATGTGCTGCCAAATTGTTCTTTCTGCCAGTCATGGTAGTCCTTTCTTTCTACTCTCGTGAACGCGCATCATTCCACCCCTGTGCGGGCTGCACGCTCCCGATTATGCGAGCTTACATCAGTTTTTAACATGGCGGCTCTCCGCTGCCGGCGCAACATGGAGGCTGTGCAGCCGGCATCGAGCACATGGCGCGTGACTTAACGGTTCCTACTCGGTGCGTGCACGAGCACCAAAAACGATTTGTCAGAAAGAAACGAGTGTTTCCGAACTTGACACTTTTGAGACGTCAGGAATCATGGATTAAGTATTATGATGGCGTTAGACACCTCAGAGTCATGTAATGAGCCAGTTTAATTCATATTAAGTTGAACAGCCGTAAGCTAACGTTAGCTCACGTATTCTGCCGCAGTTATGACAGGGTGAATATCATGAATCACGAGCCATTTGAAGTGTGAAGATAACGTGTCCCACAGCAACGAAACCGAATAAAAATCAAATAATTGAATGTAGTCGTTGTATGACTCCTCTCTGTGCCGTTTATTCACCAGTAAATCAAAATGGGAAAGGAAAAGACCCATATCAACATTGTGGTCATCGGCCATGTCGACTCCGGCAAGTCCACCACCACCGGCCACCTGATCTACAAGTGCGGAGGAATCGACAAAAGAACCATCGAGAAGTTCGAGAAGGAAGCTGCTGAGGTTCGTTATGGTTACATGGACATGAGTCAGAACCAGGGATAAGAGCCTATAGATGTAGAGGCAGTGATCCAGCAGCAGAAGTGAGGGGAAACGGGTGTGGTGTGTCTAACTGTTCCTTCTTACATCCAGGCTTAAACTGCCATCTACTGTTGAAGGATGTGTACTATCCTTTCCTCCACCACATGTCCCCTTCAATCTTCAGTCACTGAACATTTTACTGTTATGAAAGCTTGAACTGTGAAGCTACAAGTGAAATAAGAGATGATTTCATAAAGAAATGAGTATAACACTCAGTACTGCACCAAAGAAAACCCTCCAGATGTGTTAAAATTGGCAGTAAATGTTTGTTTCCCTCATCTGTTTTAATATTGCACAAATAATCCTTGTTCTTGAATATTTTATCCATACAGACACCTTCATCGTATGCTTAAAAATTGCGCCTATCCTTTTGATTAGATTTTCTATGGGGAAAAAAACAACTTTGCAAAATTTTATCAATGCCAAGTGCTTTTCCTTGTGCTGATTTATAAGATGAAAAAATAGGTACCGGACTTTGCTCATGTTCCCTAAATTACAGTTTCTATATTTGAAATATTTCTATAGTAAAGGCAAAGTCTGTTTGATTTAGTTGTTTTTGAACGCACTAATCTGTGAACATGTAATCTAGAGTCGTACCCGAAGGTATTTACCATAAGAAGACAGATTGTGTGATAATTTTGAGTAAATAAGGTCAAAGGTGTAATCACATTAAAGAGGTGTTTCTACTGTGTACAATCCCTGATCTACCTTCAATTCAGGATAATTATCAGGGGTGTTTTGGTCAGCAGTCTTAGATAACACTTTTAGGAGTGTTATCTAAGTTTGTCATTTTTACGCAGAAAGGTTTTTACAGGCTTCAGGTATATCAGATTATTTCCAGCCTTTTCTCATATTGTCTTGACTTCTACAGATGGGCAAGGGCTCCTTCAAGTACGCCTGGGTGCTGGACAAACTGAAGGCCGAGCGTGAGCGTGGTATCACCATCGATATCGCTCTGTGGAAGTTTGAGACCAGCAAGTACTACGTGACCATCATTGATGCCCCTGGACACAGAGACTTCATCAAGAACATGATCACTGGAACCTCTCAGGTAAAGATTCACCTTTACACAAACTCTTCTCAGATTTGTGCCCTAATAACTTAGGAAGCTCTTCCTGTTTAGGCTGACTGCGCCGTGCTGATTGTTGCTGCTGGTGTTGGTGAGTTTGAGGCCGGTATCTCCAAGAACGGTCAGACCCGTGAGCACGCCCTGCTGGCCTACACTCTGGGTGTGAAGCAGCTCATTGTTGGAGTCAACAAGATGGACTCCACTGAGCCCCCTTACAGCCAGAAGCGTTTCGAGGAAATCACTAAGGAAGTGAGCGCCTACATCAAGAAGATTGGCTACAACCCCGCCACAGTTGCCTTTGTCCCCATCTCTGGATGGCACGGAGACAACATGCTGGAGGCCAGCGACAAGGTAACAAACGTACCAAGATTATTTTCCTGTTTTAATGAACTTTTCCTCAGAGAATAGATTATCGAGAATCAAAAATATTTCACTCTCCTACCTCATAACTTATCTCCTTCAGTCTTTCCCTCGTGCTCATCACGTGTTGTTTGTCCTCCATTTTAGATGGGCTGGTTCAAGGGCTGGAAGATCGAGCGTAAGGAAGGTGGTGCAAATGGCGTCACCCTGCTGGAGGCTCTTGACTCCATCATGCCTCCAAGCCGTCCTACTGACAAGCCCCTGCGTCTGCCCCTGCAGGACGTGTACAAAATTGGCGGTAAGGAGTGCCACCTCAACACCTGGTTGAAGAAAAGGGTGCAGCAACATAAAAAAAACATGAAATTCTACATGATTAGTCCACCCACTCGTATCGCAATTACTAAAATATTACTATCTCTTAAATCCCAGCACAAATAAAATTGGAGCTTTCAAATTAATATTCAAATTACAACAGATAAAAGAACTATAAGATGCGAAATACTTTTTTTTATTAATAAAAAATTAAGGCTTATTATTCCTTGCGTTTTGATAATTTCCCTCTCTTAGTTCAACGATAAAGAGATAGAAAAAAAGTGAACTGCCACTGACAGCATCAACAAATCAATGATTCAAAACAACTTTTCATCCACTCAGACTCATTAAAAAATCGGCCAAAACTACAGCAAATTATTATGCAAGTATTAAGGTTCAGTGACTGGATTGACTGGATGTGAGGAGCTACGTGCTAAGGCCCGAGCAACAAAAACATCTATTGAAACAGATAGATGAAGCATGCAAAGTCAGGGTGGATATAGATTTAGAGGAAACAGATGGGAACTGCCCTTCGATACTAGAGTCAAACTCCTAATAATGTACAAAATTTCAGCATCACGGAAAAGGACACAAAGTTAAGTCGCTCACCTGAAATTCTGCTGCAACAAAAGCTCCAGCAGCTTCAAGTGACCTTGGAGACTTATTTGGATGTGTCAAACTGTTGACTCGTCCTCTACAGTCTTGAACAGGAACACAAAATGTGGGAGTGGTTGCAGGTAGATTTGCATCGAGTTGAGGCAGGCCAGTTACAGAGGAGGAACTGAACGGACTGGAAAGTTTAACGAACACTTAAACCACACCTTTACCTACATCTGCCACGTACTAACACAGTTAGGTTTGTCATGTTTGTAGTCTGACAAGTCTGACAAAAAGTACCATGCCAAGAACCAAAATCAAAAAGGAACACAATTAAGATATCTGCTGAGCAAAAAGTCATTTTTCAAGCATAAACTTTACAATCTTCTGTCCATGAAAGCCTCTCCTGGCTTAAAGTCTTTTATTTTAGGAAATAAATCAACCAAAAACTCTCTCTTAGGTATTGGAACTGTCCCCGTCGGTCGTGTTGAGACTGGTGTCCTGAAGCCCGGTATGGTCGTCACCTTTGCTCCCCCCAACCTGACCACTGAGGTGAAGTCTGTGGAGATGCACCACGAGGCTCTGACAGAAGCTCTGCCTGGTGACAACGTCGGGTTCAACATCAAGAACGTGTCCGTCAAGGAAATCCGCCGTGGAAACGTGGCTGGTGACAGCAAGAACGACCCACCCATGGCTGCTGATAACTTCACCGCCCAGGTGAGTCTCAAAGAAGAGACTGAAGAGATGCGATAAATTTACACTGGGTTATTTCAAGTGTTTCAAGCATCCACATTTTTTTTCTTTTTGGTGATTTTATGATAAAAAGATAACAGCAAGAGACACTGATAAAAAAGATTCCCAGCAGGCCTTTTCTTTCTTTGTCAGAGGAACGTCTGTAAGCCTCCCTCCCCCACAGA